TATTAGTCATAAATTAATACCATTAGAAGAGCAAGTCCATAAAAAACTGGAAAAATATATTTATACATTAGGCACGGATATCAAAATACATATATCTAACGTTAGGCACCGATCAAAATTAATGTTCGGATCTCTAAACTGTAAGATCTAATGATATCTTTTAAATAAATCATTTTAACGGATTAAAACGCGATACATTAATTAAACTTATTTGAAAATGATTTTTTAATATATCGCGTTTTAAACCGTTAAAGTGTTTTATTTAAATGTGTACTACTCGCGTAAACTATAGACAGTATTTTAAATATATAATATAAAGATAAGAACAATACCTTTTGCGACTGTTTAATCGCAAAGCGTACTGTTAGGTTACGAATATCGTAGCATGTCGTAGCAACAGCACTGACTTTCCACTACAAAATGAGAATAATAAAAAAAGTATAGAAAAATATAAATAACAATTATATAGTTATATTAACATTGTCTAACTTGTCTAACATTAGGTTGTAAAACGGTTTTTCATATTTTTTCAAAAGGTATTGTTTTATTGAAGCAAAGCGTCAAAACGCAAAAAATGCTATTGTAAAATTTGAAATGTTCAAAAATGGAATGCCTAAAGAACCTATACTTTTTTTATAGATGTTTAAAGCTTTATAAATATTTATGTTATGCGATATACAGTAAGATCATTATAATATTAGAAACTTAGCGATAATATGGATTTAAATAAATGATTGTAAAGACAAGTCCCAACGACAAGTTACACTCTACAGCAAAATCGCACGTTACATTTGAAACATGTAGTATTGGCACAAGCTTTTTCCCAAAACTGGTAACACTGTACAATAAAACATTTATACGAAAAACAAAGCAGTTAAATTAACGGAAACTCGAATTTAGAACAAGTGTTGTGACGGCTAAACAAAAGCGATTTAATAATGCAGTTTCCAATTGGCGCTACGTAAATAACAGGGGAGCAACGCAACCGACGATGTTATGGAGCAATGGATTTTTCTCGTTTTAAATCCGAATTCGAGTGGATTTCCTTTATCAAGGCACATTCTTCACACAAAAAAAGGACAACTTAGAATTGATAGAAAAAACGATTTTTTGAATATTTTTTATTATTATTAGGTTTCGAATTCTGTACACTAAATAATTTAAAAATACTAATTTTATATTAACAATGCTGTGTAGATTAGTCATTGGGATTGTTAAGTGATGTATTATATGTAAGTGATCTCTTGATGTACCATAAAAAATAGATAGATTTAAAAACGTACGTTTCCTTTTTAATGCTTGATAATCTACAAGTGTCAAATTAACGTCTTTATTTTTATATATCTTGTTGGTCATTTATTGTTTGCTTAACACATAATAATTTTTAACTAATTAACCGCGAATTTATAATAACATGTAAGCTAATATGACGTAATTAATAGTTATCAACTAAATCCTTTTTCATTCAAAATATTGCGTAGTTTAATGAACAAAATTTCTTTATTAAAGTACTAATAAAAATCTAAATTACTAACCACAATTAATTGCATTTCAGTATATAGTGTTAAACGGGTTTTTCTTTGCGAATTAAGATAATACCGAAAATTTGAACTTTTTATATGTTCCCCGTTTCACAAAGTTACGTGCTAAACGTAACAGTGAAAGTTAATGAAGAAAACAAGAAAATATTTTATAACAAAAACATCAAGTTAGAAGTTACGTAAATCGCAAAAACTCCGTTATCCGAGAAAAAGCCTTACAAGTGACCCTCATTACCCGCATTGTTGTGCTTTTAACGTTTTCCCAGCCCTCGGCTCAGGCTAGCATAAATAAATCAAATTTAATTAACTCAGATTAATTTTCGCGGCGCCGCCGTCGCCTCACCCACCTCTTATGAAGCGTCCCTTTTTATTTGGCCGGAGGTAAAATTCTCCGTTCTAAACTCCGCTGGCGCTGATTTACTATGGATTCTTTAATAAAAAGTTTACACTTAGATGAACGTGTCGTCGCTCTATACTGGGGAAGCCTTACGACAATAATTGTATTCGGTTAATTTAATCACATTTCGGTTAACTATATCCCGTGATTCATAAACCAAATTAGACTAGACTTCTCTGAGGTATACATGGTGCTACTTGAATTGCAATGGTTGATACTAACTTATGGGCATGTTCTACAAATTTCATTAGGTAAATTAAGTCATTTTTAAGAACGTTCTTAGCAATGTATAATATAGCTTTAGTGTTACCCTTATAATCAATTACTATTGTTACTTTCCATCTTCAAGGTTGCCTGGAAGAATTCGCTTTTTAGCAATAACGCCGCCGTTTCTCGCTAGATATTTTTTGTAATTTCCTTAAATTCAATCTTATATTTGTAATATTCTTGGGGGTGATGATAGACTATTTTGTTTTTGTTTGTTTTCAGACGATCTGTATTTTATGCCCTAAGCTTTGAATTATTGATAGTACTGCTCAACTTATTAATATCCGGCTACTGGACACAAGCCTCTTATCGCATACGGAAGAAGGTTTTAAAGGTGTCCAGTACAAGTAGACTAGCTTTAATACCGTTCAATTAGTTACAATAACCGAGACGGCAGGTTAACGTGCCGGGACAATATGTATTTCCAAACCCCGGGATGATTTTTTATGATAGAGGAGGACAAACGATCATAGGGTTACTTGTTGATAGGTTTATCCCAGCCATTTAATATTTAAGCAAGACGCGCTAGCGACGTATATGTATTTTTGCTTTGGATATTGGAAATTTTTATCACAACCATCGATAGGTACTGCGCCTGTCTAAGGCTAAATCTGGCTTTATTTTGAGGTATTATTAATATTTCCTAAAATAAAAACAATAGATAACAAATATATGATCGTAGTCATGTACGATTTGGCCAGTGTTCTTTTAGAATCTGATCTATTAATTCCTTGATATCTAGAACCATTCAACGTTCTAACGTGTTAATCTTATACTCTGATGTCATTTCCAAAAATTGTCAAATGATTTGCACAACGATATCGTGTAAAAGAAATGCGGGCAGGCAAATAACGGTCTGGGTGGCTCTCTGGAGTACGGTGAAGTGGTCGGTACACACTCAACACAACACCGGTAGCTAGTAAACATCCCTACCACACGCTCACTACCAAAATTTAATAGTGACCTCATAGTTCTCCAGTATTAAGTTATAAAAACATTTACAAGCTTTATTACGTCATTGGTAAACCGTTTAGCAATTAGTCGTAGTTTAGTAGTAGTTAGTTAGCAGTAAGATTAATATGTCTTACTAATTGAGTATTTAAAAACTGTTTATCTGCCTCCCTCTTCCTCCCTATTAATAAAACATTGTTTTAATCTAAGATATATAAAAAATCTATTGTGGAAATTATCTGGCTTACATGTCTGTAGTTTACGCGAGTAGTACACATTTAAATAAAACACTTTAACGGTTTGAAACGCGATTTATATTATTTATAAATAAGTTTAACTAATACATATCGCGTTTTAAACCGTTAAAGTGTTTTTTTATTGTATGTACCTACATAGTTATGAGAATTGATTCTAATCTTTAATTGATTTTGCAATCATTTTATTATGTTGTATCAGACAAACTTCAAAATGTTGTAAAGGATTGAAATGAAACAAGAAACCTATTAGTAGATTATGTTGTTGACCGAACTACTTCAACATAATACAGTTTTTTGGTACGGCCACCCACATATCGCTGGTATGGAAAAGATGTCACGTCATTTAGGTATACTTATTTACTTTGTGTTTAAACATCAATGTATTTCCACAGAAATTTCGGTGCAAGATAATTTATTTAGCTCAAATGGAAAAAAATTAAGATATTTTTTTAGCTAACGACTGGAAGTCTATGGGGGAGGACTATGGCCAGCAGTGGACACCGAACGGCTGAAGATATTTTATAGGTCAGGTCTTTTGCTTATTATAGATATTTGATGTTTTTCTTTTAATTTACTTCATTATAACGGAAGCTAAATTTTCACATAAACGATACAACATTTCTTTAATACCTATCACAAGATGTGCGAAGATATTAACTTAACAGTCTTGCTTATACAGCCAATTCGTCATTTGTTTTAATATTGTGTTATATACAGGCGGTCTTTAATTTAAGTTATTACATATCCTAAATATGTAATAACATAGATTATTATACGAGCTTCTTGATGGTCCAAGCCTATCCTACAATCGCGGAAAACCTTGTTTGACCCGTGTACGGACAAACGCCCGTACAAATTTACTGTATCTTTATTATATAAATCTAAATCTATGTCAACGTTGTGCTCACTCAAATGTTTATATTAAAAGCAAATATTACAAGGTTAGCTTAGTGAGCATCTTACTTTCCCACTTCCTTGTAAATTATATTAAACCAACATTTATAGGAAATAAATCATTTGCACTACATCATTCATTGGGTTGGATTACCTCGCCTTCCTCTTAAGCTTTATCTTAACATTTCTCTTATATAACTTTCATATACATTTACGTATACTTTCCAAACTGTTATACACAACAGTCACTGGTACCCGAAACTCGGGAGTCAAACTGTTATACACTACAACTCGCCTTGGACGCGTTTTTATTCCCGTATTTAACCAACTGTACCGCACATGCACAGACAACTTGGAAAGAAGATTAGAGATCTAGCAAAAGAAGAGAGACAGAGAGTAAAGCTGACTTCGGGAAACAAATAAAAAAAACTAAATTAATAAAATTAAATGTTCCACAAGTTAGACATAGAAACGAAAGGACGGCCATTTAAAAGATGGAAAGATGACCTAAGAAATGGGTTCTGAATAGTCTATGGTGTAGGATGGACATCATTGACAGCTTTTAGAGGAGGCCTATGTCGGAAGGCAAATCGAAACACAATCTTCTTGTTGAACCAATAAATTAAGACTTCGACTATTTTGAGTTGATGGAAATCAGGTAATTAAAACTAGTAATTGACGAAAAATACATACCTCGACCCTTTCCTCCTTCAAATCTACACGTAACGCTAGTTGCTCGCGAAGCACCACATCTGGATAGTGGGTCTTGTCGAATGTACTCTCTAATTGTTCTAACTGCTCTTCTGTGAAGATGGTTCTATGCCGTCGCTTGCGTTTCGGCGGAGGACCTGATAAGCCAGCCAGCGCTGCCGCCGCGTACCCTCCGTACAGGTTTGCATAGTTACTCGCGTTTGTCACTGCATTACCTACACCTGCAAAAATAATGTGTTACGTTAAAACGAGCCCTTTTTACTACATATTCAGAATGACAGAGAAGGAGGGAGTTTACTTGGTGGTAGGTGAAATATCCCAGCCATATATCTAATATCTAAACAAGACTGCTCTCGACCTATTTTGGCTTTGGATACTGGAAAATTCATACATAGAAACGGAAACGTGATTAAACTTCACTGCTTTTTCATCTGTGGACAGTGGTTTGTGACTCGGGCGGAATTTCGATATTTCTACCCATATAATGTCCAGATCTCCAGACGAAGTCCAACATGTTTTCAAAAAAATTATAAATCAACCAAAATTTTTTGACCCGGTGGGGATCGAATTTACGACCCGTTAATAGCCGTACATTGCTAGTATTACAACCACTAGCAAAATATTCCCCATAGGATATTGTAGATGGAAAGGTAGCTCTTGAAAGTAGGCACGTGTACTTAATACGTCTCTCGTGAGGAAGATTTAAAAATATAAAAAGCAAAGAGAGTCGTGGATGTCAAACTGTATTAGAATTAGCATGCGGGAGGACGAGCGGAGCGTAAATATCCCAGCTTAAGGCCCTCTCCGGAGCATGAGCTCCACTCTGCGGACCTCGCCAACCGTTAAAAATATTAACGCTACAAATAAGAATTGAATATTTTTGCATATTTCCTTTAACATCGGCGAGGTATTAGGTTGTATTATTTCCGATGGAAGTATAAAAGCTTTTAACGCCGGCGGCGCAGCGTTAAGACGCTATCGACAAAGTTATCGATGTAGCACGCCCCTCGCTCTGCTGAAATATTATATTCTTAGTGGGAAATTACGTGTGAGAATTTTTCTTTTTAGTCTTTAATAAATAGTTATTGATGATACATAAAATAATCTATGCTAATATTATAAAGCTAAAGAATTTATTTGTTCGAACGCGCTAATCTCAGGAACTACTTACTAGCTCAAATTGTATCTTTTGTGTTGATTAGAAAATTTGTCGAGGAGTTAAGGCTAAGGCTAAAAAACTGTGTCCAATGGGGGCGAGGGGACGGGGGGAAAAGGGGGAAAAAGGGGAAAATTTTTTTTTTTGGGGGGGGGGGGGGGGGGGGGGGGGGGGAAAGGGGGGGAAAAAAAAAAAAAAAAAAAAAGGGGGAAATTTTTTTCTATATTTTAAGGTTAACTTGCTAAAACGCGGGGACGCGAACGATGATAGGGTAGCTTTAATTTATAAAGATCAGGTGGAGGTTTGCATAAACAAATTTTGACACCCAAAATAGATATCCTACGCAGTTGAAGTCGCTGGGACATGTGGTATTATATTTTTTTGGCATTGTAATTGCAAGTTGAAAAGCAATCGTTAATATTTTTTTTTTTTAATAGAAAGATTAACAAAATCTTTAATCCATTATATTTAAGGAAATAATCAAACCAAAATAAGGTTTACAACATACGAGAATTTTAGTGCTTAATGCAATAATAATAATGAAACATAATATATATGTTAAAGACTTCTAGCCTCAACAAGTAAAGCCCTTGAGGTATTTTCAAATTTAAAAGTGTTTTTAGTAAGGAAAAAAGACCTTAATTGAGATAAACCCTGTCTTTCCCCCACGATCCCCAGCTAAGCGAGGGTCCGCCTGGAGCTCTATATTTCTTATTCCTACTTAACCAAAGTAAACAGTTATTTTAGACGGTTCGGAAATTGACTCGATTAAACCACAGTTTTTTTTGGTTTATTTGAATATTTTTAACTATACCTGTATATGCGAGAGTACACAAATATAATTAAAACGTAAATAATTGCAACACTAAAGGGTTGTCATGATTCAATGGGTCTTCATAGTCTTTTAACTAGCAAATTTGTTTTCCCAATCGATGATCTAACATGTTACATAATTGTTATAAGGATTTAAAAAAACATTCAGGTTCCACTTTAGCTGGATAAGATGTATGTAATGTAGGCTTTCGTGAGCAATTTGCAAAGTTACTTGAGTTTCTAGCTATTCGGAAGACTTCATTTTGGTTGGTGGAACCCTAAGTAGCAAAAGCTAAATAAATAAAAATAACTCATATTACTTTCTTATACAATTTCTAATATAAATCTTTTTTTTTTTTTTTAACTAAAACAGTTAAAGATCGTAGATCGAGAAAGCCGGCACTCAAGTCCCGCCCGTATCGTCGATTTTTTTAAACCTAAATAGATCTTTAATTTATAGTGTAAAGAGCATTTAGCAAATTAATACATGAGGCATAAGATTTGACTCTCTGTAGGTACCTACAATATAAGTAATACAAGAGTATTATAGTAAAACTAAATGGGTAAGGATGAAATAAGGGATTTCAGTATGAATTTAACTAATTTAAAAATATTCCTAGCTAGAATCATGTTATCTACATAAGAAAACTGTCTCCCATGTTTTTTTTGATAGATATTCACATTTAAATAAAACACTTAACGGTTTAAAACGCGATATATTAGTTAAACTTATTTAGTTAGTCTCCCCGTGACCACGGCTGCTGCAAAGCATCCGAAACGTCGGGCCGAAGTTAAAAATCATTTTCAAATAAGTTTAACTAATATATCGCGTTTTTAACCATTAAAGTGTTTTATTTAGAAATTTAAAAATAACCGACAAAATCGTAATTAAAACACATTTAAAATAAAATATTGTAACAGCGAATAATAATATAATATTTTGATGGATAAATTCGATTCTCAAATTACTGAATATGTTCTTGGAAATTGTTTCCTTATTTTTTAATATTCAGTATATCATTGTATTTCGGGCTGTTCGGCGAAACGTCGAGAACCTCTTCTCGCTCACGTTGGCCGAACTGCCCGAAAACAATGATATGCTGAACGATGGCCGTGAAAGCATTACACAACTCTTTTCTTTTTTACTCTTTTGATATTATTTACTTCTTGTATCATTAAGTAATTATTTAATATCAAAATCGGAATGTTGTTTATATAAATATCGCTGACTTAAATGTGATCAAATACCCCCCCCCCCCCCCCCCCCCCCCCCCCTTTTCTTCTTACAGTTGACAGTTGTTTTAAATATTATTTCAATGTTTCTCATACGACTTTAATAGAATTTAATTTAATATAATTAGGCTTTAAAGAATGTATCAGACCATATAGGTAAAGGGGCGAAATTAGATTTAAAAGGATTAAAAGGTTAGGAGCATGAGAAATGATGAGGCTATTTAATGTGTGTAGTCTAATTTTTTACATTTGTATAGCCCATTATATGATACTTACTTAGTAAGTGTTAATTAGAGCATACCTACCTACAATTATAATATCGGTACTCGTACCAACATACTAAAACATTACCCGGGCCATCGTCCGCATTCACAAAGCTACGATTTGATCCTCAAGTAGTGATTACAACTCGTCTTTAAATTTTTGATTTCTTCAAAAAGTAACTAGTTAAATATTTGAAAATGATTTTTAATTTCGGCCCGACGTTGTCTCCCCGTGACCACGGCTGCTGCAAAACATCCGAAACGTCGGGCCGAAGTTAAAAATCATTTTCAAATTAATTTAACTAATATATCGCGTCTTAAACCGTTAAATTGTTTTATTTAAATGTGTACTACTCGCGTAAACTATAGACTATATTCTGTCTTTTTGAAAAATTAAAACGTTTAGTTAACACATCAAGTGAGCAAGATAAAAGAATTATATTTTCGCGTTATATTAAATCACGAAATAAAGATACCTTTATGTAGTAGACCTTATTTCAACCAATTTCGAAAGAATTTTGTTTGAATGTATAAAGTTAATAAATAAATTTTTAACAGCGCCATAGCACCCTTAGATTAAATTACCTTAAAAACAGAGAAATTGAACTTGTTTAAAATATAACATTTATTATATTAACTAAATAAATAGTGTGAGAGTGTACTTGTCCTTTTTTCACTGCCTTAACAATCTACTGTTTGACAAGGATATATTATTTAATAGATAATAATGCGTGGAACTATACCTATAACTTTCACATACCAAATAATTCATGTGCTCTGTGGAAAGGTGTGTGCGCCAGATGATGAAGCTGCAAGGGCGGTATCTGGGGCGGAGGTCGCGGCGCCAGGATGCTGTCGATGGTGAAGAGCGGCGGCGGCGGGCGATCCGCGAGCGACGCTTGCCCGCCCAGCAGCAGAGCCGTGCTCAGCAGCGCCGGCGCCTCTCGCCTCCACTCACCCATTCCGCCGCCGCTATCGCGCTCCGCCACGCTGGTCGCTACGCTCCACACTCAAAGACACACCGCATCATATAGAACTCATCACTTCACTCAGTACACTGTATTACGCACTATCCTGATTAATGATAGATCTGAGATATTCGATGTGGATCGTGTAATAGCAGCTCGGTGGCGCGGACGGAACTCCGCTGCGTGTGGGGTGCTCGCTGATACAGGGCGTGCGCTGGGGCGTGCTGGCCTCGGCCCCGCCCCTCCGAGCTTAATGGAAATGACAATACGACGCTCCCAAACATCCACGAGCACTAACCCCTCCTCGTAATTCATAATACTCGACGTTTAATGCATTTAGATAATACACATCTACGGTCTGTCTATAGCGCGAATGTGATATCGGCGCGAGTTTTGTTAGCTTGCGTTTATGCTTATTAAGTTATTATCTTTTTATCATTTTATTCTAATGTTCTAATTTACTTTAAAACATTTTTTTATGAAACACCTTAACGGTTTAAAACGCTAAATATATTAGTTAAACTTGTTAATAAATTATTTTTAACTAAGACCCGATGTTTCTATCCAATGTCTCCCCGTGACCATGGCTGCTGCAAAGCATCCGAAACGTTAAATATACTTAAAAATTATTAAAAGACAAGTTTAACTAATGTATTTCGCGTTTTAAACCGTTAAAGTGTCTTATTTAAATGTGTAAGTACTACTCGCGTAAACTACAGACAGTATTTAAATAAAATAATGCTTCAGTTGTTGTTGGCAAAATAGATAATACAGGATAGGTGACGTATGTACATACTGGTATATAGGGGCGCTAATAAGGACCAAATCTAAAAACTAAAAAGTGTCTAATAATATTAATCATACTAAGAAAATAATTTATGAGTCTAAAATCCCACAAATATTAAGCATATAGCTCGTAAAAGGGATATCTACGAAGGCGTATACTTACGTAGGAAAACTAAGATTTTTTACTTATTTGTTTTTAATACTGGCAAGCGAATGAACATAAAGAATAAATACAGACTTGGATTACAAAACAGCATACAATAGCGCTTTACGCGACAATTGTAAACGAGGATTCTACATTGATATAAAACTGCACACGAATTGAGACGCTGTCTATTTTGCAGATACTTGCGCCTGAGGCTTGTGCGACGTGTTCGCCCTTTTGCAGCTTACCACGTTAACAATTATATTATTGCTGATCCACCTACGACAGGCCTTTTCACATAAAAAGCCTAAAAAGGGATGTCGGGCTGGCAAAATTCAACAAAACATACAAAACACTTTGTTAAATTTATTACGCAATTTGCATTGTCAAAACCATTTGTAATTTCGGGCTTTCATGGTCCTATGTATTACGTATATATTTTTAATAAAATTAATTCTTTATTGTTTTATTATCTATACTAATATTATGAACTGAACTATTTTGAATATGTCTACTGGTTCAAATTTGCCATGATTCTATGTCAGGTTTATCGAGGCTTATAAAACATCAAGCTGTGATCAATAGGAGCGAAGAAACGGTGCAAAATGTGTAAAAAACAGGAAAATTTATCATATTTGAAGGAAATCATTTGATGGAAATCATATTTGAGTTTCCGTAGCGTGCGCTACTAAAAGATTCAACATATCTAAAATAATTTCGTACGAAGACTTAAATCGAAAATAAATTAGTAGGCCAGTAGGTACATGTCTATGTTTTAATATTAATACACAAAAGCGTTTTTATGGTATTCAAATTATTAATTCGTCGCAATACTTGCTACATGGCAAAAGAACCTTTGCCAGATCAGCTAGTTAGATAAAAAGGAACCAAAGCGCGCAGCTCCGGCAGGCAGCAGTCAGGCAAATATTGACAAAGGTGGGTGACTAGAAACCCGAGCGCTCTCTTGTTTGCCTGTAATTGATGTAATTAGTCGTGTCGACCATCTGCGAACGATAAAACTTGGAATCCAATGTTTGAATAGTTAATACGATACTTTTACGAACCGGAAACCTTTCTATGGTGTCCTGTTCTGGTAAATATTGGTCGCACTCGGGGATGCGTGACGTAGACGCCACTACGATTACCCTATTTCGTTCCAGGTTGCCCTAAAAGCGGGATAAGTATGTGAGCCTATAAAGACGAACGAAGTGTTCTCATTATACAATAAAGGCGATAAAAGTTTGACTACATGAAACGAGTAATATACCCCCCCCCATGGTAGTGGCCTTGTAGATAAGGCTACAGCAGAAACGTAAATACCTATAGTATTTAAACCTTTAGAATTAAGTAATCATCGAATAAACCTTATTTGCGCGTTTAAAACGTTAAATTTTATATTTACTATAATAACTTATTAGTTACTTAGTACCTACTTACGACGTTTTAAATGCTTTATAGTTTAGTGGGGTGTAATATTATTTAATGTTACTCGCATAAATTACAGACAATACTTAATTAAACTACGTATACATTTTCTCATTACTATTAAAAAATGTGTAGGTACATACTTATGTACACAGTTTTATAGACGACCATTACTTCAAAGTAATATCTATATTATAAAAAAATCACATGTCCGTCAGTGTATATTATGTATTGATTCGTTTAAGTAGGTAAGTTTGTCACCGATTTACCTACATGTAAACAGTTGGCAGCTGGCTTTGCGTACGCTGCGTACGCGCAATAGAAAATTATCTCGGTATAATACGGCGATTATCCGCGTATGACTTAATACGGCCGGTCACATAAAGGGCATAAGCATTAAAATATCGAACAATAGCGGGGATTATCCCGGGATAACCTCCCGAGGGACAACAATATGTTTCTTAACCGAGTATGCCATGAACATAACGTCGTATATAAGTCGTTTCTGCATATCTGCTTGATTTCACAGGATATATCAAGTTTGTACTTAGTACTTTTGTATTTAAATACATAATATCCTAATGGTTTTATCTTAGTATTTATATGTTAATAGTGTAATTTTACACGAAATCCAGTTATTTGCCTGAAAGAAATGAAAAATCTTTTCGAAAAATATAGTATTTTAATATATATTTTTTTAAACCTAGAACACCTCAAACGCTGTATTTGAATGATCGAATGTCATTTTAATTTATCAGATGTTTTGATAGTCAATTTTAAATCGAGTTATTTCGTCTGGTACACGTACACGTACGACGAACTTAAATACGTATTCATTTCGTAACTATCTATTCATTGCATTAAAAAAATACATACGTACAGATAAATCATGTTTTAATAAAAAAAAAATATAACAGAAACTTACCAAAATGCCTTTACTTGTTTAAAGGTTTGTCTAAGATCGATTTTTCTTATATTTATCTACTTACCTATCGTAATTCCTTCCTTAATAATTACATATTATAAAAATATAGGTACCTATACAGATAACATAACATAGGGCGGTAACATACCAACCTTATAAGCTAGTGACTTCGTAGTATTTACCCTAAATATACACAAACCTATTTAAATATGTATGAGCCAAGAAAAGGTAGTATTACAGCGGTAATAGCATTATTTCAGTCTTCAGTAAGGCCTAACAAGATTTTAGTATTGTAGTAAGCTAGGCTCCTTAGACAATAATTCGCATAAGTATGACGCCCTGGTTGCAGTAAGAGCATTAGTAACTGGATAATGTTTTAACTAGGTCTTTGTTACATACATTTTCTAGGATATTAGGCGGGGAAATACGCCGGCCTATATAGTCTGTTAAGGACATTCTTAGCATTGTTGGCTCCACTATTTGATGTTCGTTAGTCTTATGGTAGCAATGTATTGCTTAAAATCGCGGATTGATAGGAATATCGAATTCCCAACAGGTCATGAACCCTCGTCGAGCCTCGTTAGCGAATAACTCCCCAATAGGTCGGCATAGTATCTTGTTCAGGTGTTATATGCCTGGGGTTCCACCTTCCATTATGTTAACCTATGTTTGTATGTCTTTTTCTCTTATAAAAATTATTTAAGACACCATATAAATTTAAGTCCTGTTCGAGTCGTAAATTATTTAAATTTCTACTCTATTTTTAATTTATTTGTCGCCAATTGGTTTTCACTTGTCATTTATAAAAATTTGCCTTTTTCTTGATGGCGATAACACAGTCCCTCAAATAAAGCATAGCACTAATAAATATCTTATCTAGAATCCAAATACTAATACATATAACTAAAGTAATTATTGGGTATAATTATAAACACCATTAAACAGATTTTAAAATCTGTCAAATTAGTTATTTAAACTAACACCCCACCGTAATTGGGTTGAGATTATTGCCAGTTATTTTAGTTCTTTCTCTTCTCGTTCTTTATTTGGGAACAGGTTAGTCTAGTGTACTGCCATATAAAGAGAATTAAAAAAATTCTAATCCGATATTTTGATGTGGAAGTCAGACCCGTAGCGTGTGTCTAATACTACTCGAATTGCAACGGTCGGCGGTAGGTTCTGGGAGATGTATATGTTGATATATAGATTGATACGGAGCACAAATTACTATTATTAATAGACAAAAGAACGCCACCTTGAAACCTATGCACTTTGGAAAGTACTAAGGTATCTTTAGAAAAGAACTCAATGGACCGTGTCGGTCGTGAACTTATTTTCTACGATGCTTGTGCAACACAAATTTAACTTGCTACATATTTGGAGGTAGCATACCATTTACGCAACTCATTTAACGATAAAGTATTTTTTTAAATTTCTGTTTGCTATATTGTCTCATCTTCACTGAATATGATCGAACATGTAAGACGCGGATATAAAAAAAACACAACAACAACTAGATACAAACATAAATTGACATAACTTACATATTTTAAAATATTTTCTTTTGAAAGGTACCTACAACCGTGAGGGTTTCTACCGCAATCTTTGACTATCTAATTGTCTCTTGTTTACGAATTAGGTTCTTATTATAAAAATAAAAGTAAAGATTTAAATAAAACACTTAACGGTCTAAAACGCGATATATTACTTAAACTTATTTGAAAATGATTTTTAACTTGTGGTCACGGGGAGACTAACTAAATAAGTTTAACTAATATATCGCGTTTTAAACCGTTAAGTGTTTTATTTAAATGTGTACTATTCGAGTAAACTATAGACAGTATTTAAAAGTAAAGATATTTTAATTAACTAAACTTCTGCTGTGTCAATAGGTATACATTTTATATGAGAGGTATTTATATAACATTTTATATGAGAGGAGGACAAACAAAAATGGAGTTTATATTTCATTCTATGGAAGGTAGAGTACCTCAGCCATACAATAGGTACAATGTCTATACAAGATTCGCTGTCCATCTATTTTGGCTTAGGATACTTGGTAATCCACAGATTACAACCAAAACGCGATTAGACCACCCATTTATTATTCAGAAGTCTTACATGTTACAGACAAATTATACATTAATTAGGAATATGTCGGACCTGGGGATTGGACCCTCGACCTTAAATTGATACATACATTACTACCATAAAACCCCAAAATGATTTATATAGAATTATGACATTAATAATTAAAACCTATATAACCTCATATAGGATTAGTAATTATTAATGTCATCAGGGGCATCAGTGGTATCTTGATGGTGTCGCTTAGCGTTACATTAAACTCGAGAGGTACGAGGCCCTGGGAAACAGTTTCGGACAAGAAACAATGCTATTCAACTAATCGGCCTATAAATAGAAATGTGTCTGCACCATGCCTCGCATAGGAGAAACGTCATACCATATGCTACAAACACTCACGACGGTACAAAATTGTGGGTAGGCGAGCCATATCATGGTCATCCTTAACAGGCATTGTCATATTTCCAATATCTCAGAAGATCTTGGTCAGTTATCAATTGATCAATTTTTAATCATTTCAGCATTCATTGCCTCTAGGTTTATATATATTTTTTCAGTTTCTAACAAAAATATATCCCGATCGAAGTATCACCCGCGAGTTTTTCTACCTACTTTGTATTTTAACTTCGTAGGTAGCAAAATGTTTTGTATAGAAAATTGTTCTTCCGCTAACAAGGGCGTGGAATAAATAAGATTATTCACTCGGAAAAATTGTTTAACACTAACCAAATAGAGGCCATACAGATATGAAAGGATCCACTAAGCAGATAATTTTAGTCGGTTCCGACTAAAGCGTGTCTAATCAGTTGAGTGGAAAGATTTTGACATGATTAAAAGAAATAGAATCAACTTCACGTAATAATAATAACTCATGCTACAAATATTGAGTTTAACCTACCGCATTAGTTGAGCAGTTTTTGTAGAAAGAACAAATTTGCTTAAAACATTGACCGTTTTATTTGACCTTGGAAAAATAAAGCGAAAAATTCGCTGTTGATGCTGAATATTTCCTAATAGTGGTTGTAGACTCTAACACTTGCTAGTATAAAACAGATCATTTACTTTGAGAGGTCAGTTGTAACCGGACTTCCGATAGCAAACCATCAACAAAGGAGTAACAACAGCAATGAGGGCTGTAATTGTTTTAGGCGCCTTATGCATGGCGGCCGCCTGCGCTGCCTACGAGTCTGACGATCAGGCGGTAGCTGCAAGCCACCATGAACACGGTGGTGGACATGAACATCACGCCCATCACCATCACCACCACGAAGGCAAGGGCGACAAGGGTCATAAGGGGCATCATCATCACCACAAAGGTGATGAAGGACATCATGGAAAACACCATCACGAAGGACACCATCACGAGCACGGAGGCGGTCACAAGAAGCACTGGGATGAACATGACCATCACGGAGAGCATCATAAACATGGCCACCATCATAAAGGCGAAAAGCACGGACAACACGAACATCACGATAAAGGGGAGAAAACCGACGGTTACCACAAGAAGTACCACAAAGACCACTTCCACAAAGACCATCACTTTCATGACGGCCATCACGACGAAGGTAAACACCATAAGTATGGTCATCATCACGGACACCACGAGAAACACGACGGTCATCACAAGAAGGGCGGCCACCACCACTCCGGTCATCACGAGGGACATCACGGCAAACATGGTCACCATGATCATGGTCATTATGACGAAGGTCATCATGGCCATAAAGGACACCACGGACATGAAGAACACGACCACCATCACCACCACCACGGCAAGAAAGGTGGACACGATGACCACAAAGAATGGGGATTCCACCATGGGAAACACTGATCTGTTATATTTGTTAGATTATAGAACGCTCAACGTAATGATAAATTTGTTATTGTTTTTTAATAAAATAAGTAAATGATGTTCTTTAAATAAGTTTTTTACTTTTTTACACTACCTACCTATCATTTTTTTATGAAGAACTGAATAAAAGAAGAGATATAGTATATTTGTTGTTTAACTTGTTTAATCCGGACAAATAAATTTGTTGCAATTAGATTAGATACCCATCTATGATACTTACATTTGTTGTAAGTTGACCTTTTGATGTAAGTACAAAAAGGATGATTGGTTTCAAGTTAGTAACATTTACTGCACAAAATATTATCAGAAATCGTTTACTCACTCTACATACGAATAAAATAAATTCGTTTATTTTTGGCAAACCTAAAGTAGGTACAGCTATCAGTAGGTAATTCTTATCGTATGTAGCATAAAAAAGGTCCAATATAAAAACTAAAAATATTAATCCGTTTTCGTTATAAGTAAGTACTGTTGTTATTTGTAGGACTTACGAAAAATATATTTTTGTCGATCTTTGCATACAATTAAAAAAGGTCGTAGAGCATACGGACAACCAACATCGGTCGGGCCTAGATGATATAAATTTAATTATAAAAAATTTTTATATAATTATTATATTGTACCTAAGTATCCTTAAGATAAGTTGATTTTTATAACTCCTTACGAGCGATATATACGATTGAATGGATAATTGTAAAAATATTCTTCCTTCAAAAATGATAAATTAACTACAAAGTTAATTTAATAGAACTTTTTGTGATCAAACATTATCGCCTAATGGCTACCTTCAATTGACTCATGTTTCTTGACAAACCTTGTGTAGCAATAAAGAGAAACGATACTAGGTTTTTTGTTTCATTTTTGTTAGTATATTTTTTATCCTAACCTTTGTTCTTAAGTCTAATTGCAACGTTTTTACTAGATGTGTGAGCTGTGAGTTAAGAAGAAGGCGCAGGTTAGGTATAACTAAACTAATTCTTACGCCTTACTGTGTTCAATGAGAACCCATTGTTCAATTTTAATCGTACTGTGAGGTAATAACCTATAGTCTTTTGAATGTACAGTCATGTTAAACGTCTGGTACAACAACCAACCGGCTTGCCTCGTGCAGACGGCAGTGGCGAAACTATAGGGTGGCAAGTCGGCAAAATGCCACGGGCCCCCAGCCCGAAGATGCCCCCGGTCAGAGGAAATCTCAATTGTTGGTTCAGCTTCGTTATATATTGGGGAAGTGGGAGGGCCCATTTGATGAATTTGCCACGGGCCTCGAACGGTATAGTTACGCCACTGGCAGACGGTATCCAATAAGAAATTAAAGAAACCTTTCCAACATTGAGCCATAGAAAGCGGTTTAGCTTATCCTGCATGATTAACCTAGGCTTTTTTTAGGACTAGTTCATTATACTAGAAATAAGCCATAATATATACTATTTCTAGAACTATTACAGCCAAACCGAAGAAAGATAAAATTAAATAACTTATAATATTTTACAATGACGCTCTCTCGTACTAGATATAACTATTATATAATAAATAAGTACATTATCACTTTAACAGAAGGATTGAAAACACCCACCTCTTTTTGCATGTGCAGTAATGATATCGGTAGTGTTCCAGTTTATATTGAATAAATACGCTAGTAAGTATACAATTTCTACCAATATTATTTGTTTTTATAAAGTAACTTTTATTTCGTAAACTGTGGTCAGATAGAAAAGTGGTATTAGCCATTTTTCTCTGATCAAAAATGATGGAATAAGCAATATCTTTATGCGTAACAATTGTTAGGGCGTCCTTGCCAACAATTTCACTAGACGCAATCAACTACTCTAAGGTTTTATATAAATGCCTTCTCAAGCTATTGTGAAGTCAGTCGAGTCCGATATTTTAAGAAAAGCTTATAGAAAGAAATTTCTTTCACGATAAGGACGCTACAGCCGTCGTCCTTTTAGTTGTGTATGCAAATTTTATATTATTAAAAAAGTTTTCTTTCAGCGATAAAATATCAGTAGTTTACCTAAATAGTAGTTGCAACAAAGAACTGCTATATTTGTACTGCTATTTACATTGTAATCGAGATGTCGTCACCGCAATGGCCAAAATCAGTCACCTAGAAATCGATAGCAATGATTGCTACAGATCACTCCGTAACCAGCAATGAAATCGGCTTTATTTATAAATTCAAAGTGCGGATATAGTTAATGCACAATAAAAGCTAGGAGGTCGAACTAAACGACTGTCGCGATAAGGAACTATGTTTTAATTTATTTTATTTTATCTTAAATAGAAGAAATATCGCGATGGCGCGATTAGTTTTGTGGATACTAGCGGTGTGTACAATCCTTGTATGGACCAAGGCTCGCCATGTAGATGATGTACCAAAACAGGTTGGACTTAAGGGCGATTCGGCAGAAAGTGAAAATCTTGATCAAGTGGTAGCAGGTACTGGTAAGCATGAAGCCAAAGAAACACACCACGAAGCAGGTGGTGGTCACGAACACCACGCTCATCACCACAAGGAAGGTGAAGAAAAAGGTGATAAGGGGTACAAGTCCCATCATCACCACGATAAAGGTGAACATGGTCATCATGAAAAACATCACCACGAAGGACACCACGATGAGCACGGTGGACATAAAAAGAAGCACCACGATGAACACGACAAGCATGGTGAGCACCATGAAGCAGCCCACGGCCACAAGGGCGGGAAATTTGGCCATAAGAAGGGCCACAAGAAAGGTTCCAAAACTACCGGATTTCATCACAAATCGCACAAAGATGAATATCACAAGGAACATAAATTCTATGACGACTTCCACAAAGGAGGACATCATCACAAACACGGAGACTTCCATGGTCATCACGATAGTAAGGATGGTCATCACAAAAAGGGAGGTCATCATGAGAAGGGACATCACGAAAAACACCACGGTAAGAAAGGACATCATGACAAGGGTCATTACGATGAAGATCACAAGGGGCACAAGGGCCATCACGGTCATGAAGAACATCACGCCCATCATCATGATCACGGCAAAAAAGGGGGACATGCTGGGGGCAAAGAATATGGATTCAGCCATGGAAAGAAAGCCTAGCACTGAGCTCAAAACTGTGATATTGTATTTTGTTATATGTTTTTACTTTTTGAAATAAAGATCTCGTTTATAAAAATAATTATTATCTATGAACAAAATCATATTATAGTATGTCAAAACTGACAAAATGTATGATATTATTAAAACCTTAAAAAGGCTGATATAAAAAAAAAATAATTAATTTATTAAATTAATCTTATGTACCCACAAAACAATAATTTAATGCTTTTTGTCTACCCTACTACACTGCATGTAGATGTTAATCTTTCAAGCACTGTATCGATCTTTAAGTAGATTCTCTCGCACGAGATTCGATCGATCTTTAAGTAGAACATCTCAACGCAGCAGGGCAATATTTAGATTTTGTTTTAAATTAGACAAAAAGCCAGTTAATTGAAGAGGTTGTATCGATAATACATGGTAAATTTAAATGTAAAACTCAAATAATAATAGCTACATATTCTTTTCTTGCTATAATATATAAATAAATTATTATTGGGTAAGAAGTCGTTGCACTACAAACAAATTATTTTTGCAAAATGAAATGCAGCTAAAATGCTAGTATTATAAACAATTATGGAAATAAAGAGAATAAATCAGATTAAGAAAAATTTTATGTAAAAATATTACAAAATTGTCATCAATGGGGCAAGATGATCAAATTCAATTTTTTCTGTTATGTTCTTGGTCTTGATATTTTCATCTTGATTAGCAATGAATATCAGATTACCATCATCCCTCCATCCATATTTCTTAACCCAGTGTTTTAAGGTGACATCTACAAAACCATAAAAAAATTAGAACTCGGTCACTCAAAAAATTTAACTATTACTAGAAATCATATTTATAACTCATATAATTCTAGCACTTATTTAATTGAGAACCCTTTTATCCAACTTACCATCAATTCCTCCTAACAGATTTGCTAAATTAGCTTTGTCAATAGTCTGAAAAGTTATCCCAACTACGTGACAAACAAACTTTCGAATTGAGTCATGAAAGCTGCTGATGCGATTGCAAAGTTCAGGCATTTGGTGCACTCTATTCCAGAACTGAGCAAAGTCACATTGTTCTAATATATCCGCCAAATACTTAATCTGAGAGATTGTTTCATTCTCAACCTAAAATTAAAAATAATTCATTTAATACTATGAAACACAAGGCTGAATAGAAGGACCTAAGCAAATTATAATACTTACAACCGACTCCAGTAACAGGCATTTGCACAAAGTAAAATCAGTATGAGGGAAATTTGTAAGCGCCTTCAATAGAATTTGGCATGTAATATCTGGGTTGAATTTCTCTGGATTAAACTGATATAATTTTAAGACAGCTAGGTTAGCTTCCAAGTCATAGGTATTTTCCCTGGACTGCATTTCAACATACCTCTCCAATGTTTGCAGGTTGGCCGGGTTGTACCTTTCGATACTTTTTAATATCGTAGCAACAGTTTGCCTCATGGTTTCTGCCATGTTTTTGAAAATACTTCTGATCTGACCAAAATACTCGAAAAACCAAGACAGGAAACAAATCCACAGACAACCACGATACACTCCAGTGAAAAACCACAGCCTAAAGTATAGATTATATATACTGATTAATGTTTTACACTATATGTTATCACTACATCCTTACACAGATATTATCAGAAATGCTCGACCACAGATGCTACATAAGACACATCGGTGCTCTTTGCTTTGAATTCGTGTACTCTGTGGTTAGGTATTGACTTCATAGATAATCTTTACTTAATATATAAAGCTGAAGAGTTTGTTTGAACGCGCTAATCTCAGGAACTACGGGTTCGAATTGAGAATTTTTTGTGTTGGTTAGAGCATTTATCGAGGAAGGCTAATAGACTATAAAACATTGCCCTGTGACTAGTACAAGCGTAGATACAGCGAGAAATATAAAAAAAAATGGGGAAAATATTCATCATTATGGGTTTCCGAGGCGTACGCTGAAAAACGGCTCAAGATATCTAAAAAATATATGAAAAAATGATTCCTCCATAAATGACCTAAAGAAAAGTCAAGAACGCTACATATTTATCTTTTAAGAGTAACTTGGAAGAACAACGGGAAGGGGCGCGACTGACGTTATTGTCAGTCGTTATATTCTTTATATTTTTTTGATGTTATGGGAAACCCATAACGATGAATATTTTCTCCATTTTTTCGGCTTTAGTTTATAAAGATGAAGGGGTTTAAAAAAACGAATTTGGAAGCCCAAAATAACGATTCTCGCAGACGAAGTCGCTGAGGCAACTAGTGGATAATAATAACTATAGGCACTTTTTTAAAGTCAGATTTGTTTTGATTTCAATAAGGACACAATGTGATTACAAAATCACACTATGATATCTGGAAGTTTAAGAATTTTGAGTATCACAGGCATTTTCAGGAACTCAATTCATAGATTTTTTTGCGCGTTCCTTTCAATTATTCCATCAAAATTTAGTGCTCTATAACTAAAAACAAATAGGATTCACAATGTGAATCCTTAACTTTTTAGGAATCATTTTGTTTATTTAAATGGCATAATAATTGCTAAAATGACACCCCTTTAACTATATTATCATTATTTTATTATTAACACAACACTGTACTTATGTGACCATAATATCTTAACACTATTGCTTCTTAAAACTTTTCAATATTGGATAAATATTATCAAATGCTTCATAAATTTCTTGCCTTACTTTTGCTCCTGTTAATACTACTTTGCCTGATACAAATATTAAAAGCACAATTCTCGGCTTAACCATACGATATATAAGTCCAGGAAATAGTTCTGGTTCATAAGAACTAAACTGACCATGAGTCAGTACTAAACCCTCCAGTCGAATTGGGAACTTGACATCACAACTTCCGACCATGTTTTGTATTTTGAAATCCAAAAATTTTGCCTGAAACAATTAAATGATCATTTGTCATGGTATGTACAAAGGGGTTAATTCAACAGAATGTGTTTGTATGGAAGTAAAGATATATGTATTTTATAAAATAAAATATGAGTTATAAGTTTTATTATTAAATAAAGACAATAATTTTTTCTAATAAGGTTTAAGTGTGTCTTAAATGTCTTTTTATTTAAGTACTTACTGAGAACCCTAATTTTTGTATAATTCTTGCATATTTTCTGGCAGCTAATCTTGAGTCCTCTTCACTTTTGGCTCCAGTACACACCATTTTACCTGATGAAAAAATTAGAGCAGTTGTTCTTGGTTCTCGTATTCTCATTATAACAGCAGCAAATCTTTTTGGATTGTATTCTGCATTGCGGGCATGTAGTGCAATTTTCTTTAAATCCAATTTACATAGTAAATTGACAGTTGAAACAATATTCCTAAAATTAAAGACAATAATTTATTTATTTCACAAAAATGATTGAAAACCTAACAAATTGTTATGTGATGAATATAGCAAAGCTATACAAAAATATTGCAAATAAGCATTTTTGGTATAAAATGTACTTATACATACTGTAATTGAGGAAGTATTCCTGGGTCAGCTGAGTGTGGAGTCATTGGTGTCATTGGAGAAGGACATGTTTGATTTAACATTTGTTGGCCAGCTATGCTTCCACCAGTTATCATGGGCGACATCATATTTTGCTAAAATATAACACATTAGAAGTATAGCTACTTAATTCAAAATTTTAAGTTATTGCCATTTTACAATCCTATTCCTTATTATTTATGAAGATGTATATAGCAATTTTAAACTGTAAATGTATTACTACTTAATAACACACCGGAGTCTGGGGCTGCATCATTTGTTGTGGCGTGGCATAGCTAGCTGTAGGTGCATAAGTGTGCATAGAACGCTGTGGTGTTCCCATAAGAGAAGCACCAAAGCCCACAAGAGGTGAAGAGCCCAATGACGCTAACGAATGTTGTTGATGCTGCTGCTGTTGTTGCTGCTGCTGTTGTTGTTGCTGCTGTTGCATAGCATTTGGTAGAATTTGTTGATCTTCTTCAGGCTGATGTAAAGGAGTCCCTATGCCGGGTATGTTATATGGGCTAGGCAACATTTGATCCATTTTAGTGAACTAGTGTACAACAACTATGTACAAATACAAATTATTGTTTTAAATATATATTTCACTCATAAATTAGCTTTATACGTAGATGATTTCCACAACAGAAAAATCAGTAACAGTAAATTGTTGTAGAAAATTTAAATTGTATCGTAAACTATATTTCTCTTATACTCAAATCTAATAAAGAATATTTATAGGTTGCTTTGAAATTAACACAATATTATGATACTACACTGAGATATTATGTGCTATGAAAATCTTTCAAAATAAAATTTCTTAAATCACAGATATCTCACATATAACAATGACACCGATTACAATGTAAGCGGCACAGAGTTAACCTTTAGCCACAGTGCAGGTTTTATATTATCTATGAAAGCCGCACCGTTGCTATGTGCTGCTACCGTGTTAAAAAATAAACATAATTTTGTTGAAATATCACATTAAAATACATAATTACATGTAAAGTTTAATTCTGAACAACATTAAATGGTCATTGGAATGTAAAGCTGAACTCGTATATTTTGTGTTTTTTTTTTGTAATTAATCATTATGGTAAGATGGGTGGCTATTTATTTTCTTCAAATATCCAAACAAAACTATATTTTTTAACGTATAAGTATTAAACTGAGTGCAATATACATAAATATCTGTCTTTTTAGAGAAAGTTTTCGACATTTCTTAGTGAAAATTTTGTTTCAGGATACTCCAACCGGTTCTCCAAATATGTTACCACCGGCGCCGATGATTCCTCCGCCTATGTTAGGTGGTATGCCTCCACCCATGCCACCAAGTGTTGCAATGCCTCCAGTACCTGGGATGCCAGCTAATATGGCTGCTATTCCACCACCACTTGGTTTTCCACCTATGATGGCTCCCTTTACTATGCCACCACCTGGATTTCCTACATTTAAATCAGTATGAATTTCTTATATTTTATCAAAAGGAAGGCTCTAGTATTTTCTAAATACAAATATTTTATTTATTTATAAATATTCTTACTCAAAAAGCATTTAAATGCACTAGTGCAAGGATCTATTTTAGTCAAAACAAAGTCATTTTGTAACTTTTAATGTAATACAGTGCCACGTGGTGCACCAGTGCACGATGGCCCAAAGCTTAGGAGGATCTCTAACCACATCTTTTAAAAGAAATAAAAGTTCAAGCTATGTAAAACGAGGGTATGAGGTCCCAATATTTTTTTATGTACTCCCAGTACACAGTACTATCTTGGTCCATCTAGCTATGCTACTGGTGTAATAATAAGGATGGCTTCTTATTTATATTCATTAGTTATTTTCCTATTTTTTTAGGAGTTAACAGCTCCTGCACCAGAAATATCACCAATGACAAATCAGAGCAGCCCGTGGTCAGAACATAAAGCTCCTGATGGGCGTACATATTACTATAATTCTATTACTAAACAAAGCCTGTGGGAAAAACCCGATGACTTAAAAACTCCTGCAGAAGTAAGTTATTCCAATTATTATTCTTTTCACCATCATAAATAATATATTATATAGCTATGCAATCTCCAATCCTCAATCTTCCTCGTTTTTAGAAATTGTTATCAGCTTGTGTTTGGAAAGAATATACAACTGATGCAGGTCGTGTGTACTATCACAATATAGAAACCAAGGAATCCAGTTGGGTAATTCCAAAAGAACTTCAAGAAATAAAGGAAAAAATAGAAGCTGAGGAAGCAGCACAGTACGTACCTACTAATCAAATAATGGATAAATATTAGCAAAGCTGATTTATTGAGTCTCTCATGAACTCAAACCCCATACTTAAAAAATAATACTTTAACTACGACCCAAAGTTTTGTTGTTCTATATAATAATTTCAGACCGCCTCTGTAGCCAAATGGTTAAACATATTGCCTAGCATTGCATTGAGCGCGAGAGGGTTCAAATCCCAGGGAAACAACAAGAAATGTTTTGGTCACAGAGGGCACAGAAGTCTGATCAACTACTTGCCCGTTAAAAGAACGGATCAATGAAATGGACACAGAAATGTGTTCGCCCCCACGCCCCATGAGGGGAAAACTGGCTTTTACACACATGTAATAATTTCAACTCATTCAAACAGCTTATTTTTATCAAAGTTGGAAAATACAAACAATTAGTATTAATAAATTATTACATTAGAAAAATATATGATGTGTAGTAATAATTTTAGAGCCTTATATTTAATGACTTCCTATTTCCAGGTCCGCTTTAAATTCAGAAATTTTAGCAGCTGATGTACCTTTGCCTGCTTCCCCTGCAATATCAACACAAATGTCTGGAAGTTCAGCGTTAGATGAGGCGATGGCTAAAACTCTGGCTGCAATTGACCCATCTTTGACAAATGCAATTCCAATACCTGATGAAAGTAAATATAATATACTTCTAAGAAATTACAACACATGCATTTTACAATGTAGAAAAACCACTACCTGAATATAAAACCCATAGATCAAAATGCTTACCTGTACATCTATACTAATATATAAAGCTGAAGAGTTTGTTTATTTGTTTGTTTAGGCACAAATCTAGTTAATGATAAAATTATCAAAATTAAAATGACCTGTCCATCTGATATGTTTCTTCTGGGAGTTTTTAAATGGGTCTCGTACATTTTATATTTTTTTTATTTTAAATTTTATCCTTAATTTCAAGTAGTAAAACCAGAGGAAATAGTGGCGCCCCCCAGCCAAGTAAATAATAACGAAGGCGCAGATCAGCCGTTAGAGCTACAATACAAGGATAGGAAGGAAGCTATCGAAGCTTTTAAAGAACTTCTCCGTGACCGGGTAAATATAAAAAGTCTGTAAAGAAATAAAAACCAGAAAGTTTTTGGTATGTCTGTTTCACTGATGTATTCTATTTAGGGGCAAGTAATTGTGTTTGACTCCCGTGTACTGGTAAATGGCGGAGCCATTTTCATACATCCACAGTAACGACCTTACTAAGTCCTGGAAGTGGATGATAAAGATTAAATGCAACTTCCAAGAAAATTTATTAATACTTGTATAACATTTCAGAATGTACCGTCCAACGCTACTTGGGAGCAATGTGTTAAGATAATATCCAAAGACCAGCGATATGCATCGTTCAAAAAATTGAGTGAAAAGAAACAAGCTTTTAATGCTTATAAGACTCAAAAATTGAAAGACGAAAGAGAAGAGCAGAGGTAAGTCTATTAAACATGAAATTTTAAGTGGCTATAGAAGCAATTAAGTCAAGCCAGTCAACTTACAAAGTTATATTTTAAAATACGTAAAAGAAGCTAGAATACATAAGCTTTTGTATAATATGCAAAAAAAATCATGTACCAATTAATAGTTATTTATTGTTCATCTTTTACAGATTAAAAACCAAAAAGAATAGAGAAAACTTAGAAGAATTTATATTAACATGTGACAGAGTTACTTCGCTCACTAAATACTATAAATGTGAAGAAATGTTCGGTAATCTTGAGGTGTGTACTAACTAACATTTAAATTAATTTGGTCTCGCAACTAAAAATTATATTACTTCATAATTAAAACTATTCCTCCATAGTATAGTGACACAAGCGCTTTCCTTTTTTGTGGTTTGGTGCCCTGTGGGTTTACCCACATTGGATCCTGTGTTTTGTCTGCTTCATTGCAAAATCATATTTTGCAAAGCAATGTATTTACTTAGTTACGAAATAAAACACGATAACTTTGTTTTAAGGTCGTGTTAACTTTTTTGTTTTCGCACTTGGTCAACATTGTTTTTCTAATTAACCCATAGCACAGTTGTTGTCTGTCTGATAATGATTTAATTGCACATTACGATTTTAGATCTGGCGCTGCGTTCCCGAGTCGGATCGTCGTGATATATATGAGGACTGTATTTTTACTATAACTAAAAGAGAAAAAGAGGAAGCCAAAGCTTTGAAAAAGCGAAACATGAAAACTTTAGCTCAGGTAATGTTCATCTGGCTTTAATTTGTTTGTACTGATAGTAAGAATAAGGACAAATTAAGTGTACCAAACAAAAGGCTCCATAAACCTAGTAGTTGTTTTCAAGGTAACTGCATACGATACTTTAATAAAATCCCCAGCGAAGTGCAAGCACTCTCAATAAATAGGTTTAAATTGTATGTAAAACAAAAACCGCTTGAAAAGGGTTATTATGATGTTAATCAATATTTAAATAATAAAAATGCTTGGGTTGAAAAATATGTAGTGTACTAAAATTACATAAGGAATGTAAATTAAACTTGGCGACAAAAGGAGCGACGGCGAGTTTATTGCCAGTTCTTCTCGTTCGTTCTACGCCCTTGATTTGAGAACTGGTAGTAAATGTAAAGTTAGATTCTTTAATTATTTTGTGACGTTCATAAGTGTACAGTGTGTACCTATATGAATAAATGATTTTTGACTTTGAATATATTTAACAAAATATGCAAAATGAGGAATCACGGATCACGCTTTTTCAGGTAATGTAGCATCTGTTAATTGAATCATTCCATACTTTATTCCCAGGATTCAATGCCTGCACTTAACTGAATGCAAAACATTTCAAATAATAACGTTTTTCTACCTAAGGCAACGGTGTCTATAGTTATTGCATATCATAGAGACCTAGTGGTTAATGAACAAATAGGAGCAAAGTAATAAAAATTTGTTATATGTTCTAGGTCCTAGAAAATATGAGTGAAATAACATACAGTAGTACTTGGAGTGAAGCTCAGGTTTTACTTTTGGAGAATTCCTCATTTAAAAATGATGTCAGTTTATTGGGAATGGACAAAGAGGATGCTCTCATTGGTAAAGTCGATTATGGTATTAACTTAAGTTTTATTGATTATAATATATTTCAACAATGGGGCTTGTTAAGTCAATTGGTTAAGTAAGAACTGGTGGCTTCGTTTCTCGCCCGCGTCATAAAATGTTAGAATCTGAATTATTATCTTTTCGTCAGAATATTTATTGTTTAACCACTACCAAAGTTTAATCATAATGTAGTTGAATAATAATTTGTAGTCTTATCTTTTGTACTATCTCTAGTGTTTGAACAACATATAAGGAACTTGGAGGGGGAATATGTTCAAGAAAAGGAGCAGGTGAAGAAACGTAATAAACGCCAGCAGAGGAAAAATAGAGATAATTTTTTGGTTAGTATTATCAGTTTTTAATACAGAGAGATTTTACTTACGTAATATAAAGATAAAGCTCAGTGAACGGCAAATTTGTACTTTTAGAATAAAATGTAAATAGATCTGCAACATAGGTAATATATTTTGTTCCAACGGACGTTAACTGACTCTAAAACTCATTTACGGACACTTTTTTCAGTGAACTTGCAAAACAGGTAAAAAGTCTTCGATATTACCTTATTAGCAGAATAGTTGAAGGTGAATAATGAAGAGAAAAAAAACTCGAAAGGGAACGAATGTTTAGTTAATCAGTTTTTAAATATTTCATAAATTACTAATTACCCTGGTGACAGATAGACAGTGGTTTCCTAATAACTAGGTACCGCCTTACAGTTCTATTGCCCGTGTCTTATAAATACGTGTAAAAGGAAGTTAATGAATTCTTAACACAACAAATCAAACCTGTAACATTTTCAGGCACTTCTTGATGGGCTCCACGAAGAGGGAAAACTTACATCAATGTCCCTGTGGGTTGAACTGTACCCAGTAATATCTGCTGATATAAGATTTTCAGCTATGCTAGGTAAGAAGCAGTTCTAATCTTTATTTCAAAACAAGTCAGTCACCTTATATTCTTTCATTAAGCTTAAGGTACTGGTTTAAAGTTCTTGCAAAATAGCATCTGTCTTGTGAGCGACAGCATATTTGAAATAACTTGAAATGTTTCTAAGAATTGTTTCATACAACACTTCTTCATTTTAATATATTCAAACCTAAGAAGTTCATCTAAGAAAAAGGTATTTAAAAAATGGGGCCAATACACACATATGTGGCGCCATGTCGAAAAAGAAAATAAAATTTCAACAATATTCAAAACAGACTGATCTATGCATTAATATTATAATATTGAAGCAAACAAAACAAATTCCTGGTTGTATGGAATTTCTCATGTAAAAATCAATAAGTACATTATTACACTAAGCTTACAGAAAAAAATAATTAAAAAAATGTCGCCAGTTGTGTGTAGTATCTATAATTCATATATTTTTTAGAATCCAAAATTTAACTATGTTTTATGTTTTAAATAAGATAAATTGTATTGTTTTAGGACAGAGCGGCTCCACGCCATTAGATTTGTTTAAATTTTACGTGGAAAATCTGAAGGCACGCTTCCATGACGAAAAGAAAGTGATCAAAGAGATTCTGAAGGAGAAACAGTTTGAAGTGAAACCAGACACTACATTCGAAGAGTTTGCAACCGTTGTCTGCGAAGACAGCAAGTCCGCTTCTTTAGATGCCGGCAACGTTAAACTTACTTATAACTCACTCCTCGAAAAGGTTGGCAATGTGACTTTCTATGTTAACTACCATTCTTTCTCGACAAATTACAAATTAAATATAATACAAATAATAGTTGACATGAATGGAAATCAAAAACTACGTAGCGTGTCGTTGCAGCCCACTGTTCTTAACTCTGTTTATCAATCTTATTTTATATGTGTATCTCTGGCGCGATAATTATAAGTGATATGTAATTTTTTTTGTCATGTAAAATATACAAATTGTATACTGTGATCATATACCTGGTTAATTGGGATCTTAAGGAACCAAGACTTATGTACCAATAATTGAGAGTTTCCGATAATCCAGTTTTCGTATTAAGCAGGTTTTAAATTAGATTTGTCTGTGTATACATAGATAAAATACTATTTTGTTTATTTTTTTTAATTTCAAGGCTGAAGTTAAAAACAAAGAAAAGATTAAAGAGGAATCGAAAGCTCAAAAGAAGGTGGAGGGTGCATTTAAGTGGGCCTTAAGCGAAGCGGATATAGACCATGGATTACCGTGGAATGAAGTGCGCGATAAGCTTGATCTCACTGCACCGGAATTTGCCGCTATTTCAGATGAAGAAAACCGAATTCGCATATATAAGGTAAAAACTCGTTGGTCGCTTAGTAGCAATGAGGACAAACAGGTTGTGGGCTAGATTTCCAGCAACATGCTGGTTGCCAATTTAAAAAAAAGCAAGTGAAATTTTAAAAAGGCTTTATACACGAAAGTATGACAGCTCGATATTAGGTGCCGCCAAAGTCTGAAAATATATTTAATAAAAACACTTTTAAAGTTTGAAAACAACATTTTCTCCCCAAGATAAAGATGATGATAATACCAAAAAAAGTAACACAATAATTTATCACTTGGTCATTACCTCCTAGGACTTCCAACATGAACAAGAGAACAGCTGCATGCATTATCACCATCCTAAACCTAAGAAATCTAAAAGGTCAAAGAAGAAGAAGAGGTCGCGATCTGCTTCATTGGTGAGTGTTATCTCTATAGGTTTAAGTTTTTTTAAATACTTATTTGCTGACCAATGACACTTGATCATTTAACAGTATTAAAAAGTTTTGATAGGGCGAAGATAACTTCACGCCTTCTATTTTTTCTTCCTTCTTCTACTGCCATCCCCCTATCAAAACTTATTATTTTACTTTTATGTATGGATTTTTCCGTCTCTCTATGTAGTAATTATATTGTAAATAATAAAGAAAACCTTTTAACTTGCACGTTAAAACACATTTGAAAAGTTATATATTTTTACAAATGGCACTATATAAATTGAAAATAATTATGAATTGAAAAAAAAAATAGTCCTGGCCGAGTCGTAATTTTTTTTTCCAATTATAATCGATTTTAATGTAAAACACGTTGTTGAATAATTCCAGTCGGGTTCCGGGTCACCGTCGCCAATGGAGTCACGTGAGGAAAGAAGTCCCAGGAAAGAAGAAAGGGAAAAGGAGAAAGAAAGGGACAGTTCGCTTGAAAAGGGGGAGGTAGTACGCTCACCAACACCACCTTCTCCGACGCACTCTTCAGACGACACTAAGAAGCACAAGAAATCGAAGAAGAAGCACAAGAAACATTCTCCGCCACCGGTTTGTTTTATAATAAATCGAGTTAATTATTCATTAAGGCACTAGATGTATCGAATGTCCACAAGAATCAGTCCACTTCGTCTTAAACAACCATGATAGATATATTATACTGAACATTTACATTTTACATTTATTTTTAAAGCAACGTGTTCTACCCGTATTGAAAGAATTGTAACTACAAAATTATCTGTTTCGATAAGGACTACTAAATAAGTAAAAATAATATACACAAAGCAAAAGCGTTTGTTTCCATAACTTTGGAATTGAAAACTCGAATAGAACAATAAAAAAACAATGAACATGATTTAAGAGTATTGAATCAAACAATTTATACTTTTGTACAATTTTATACAAAAGTAAAGTCTAATTTTGGTCGATATTTCTATTAACTTCCAAAATGTATAAATTTCGGTTAGCTGGACATATGGTATCAAAGTTTTTTTTTGTGTACTTTATTAATATTGTAGTTCTAGTTTCCGAAGCATATGCATCCCATGAAACATGTTTTATGGCATCTTTTTACACTTGGTTTTATGCTATTAAAGTTTTAGTTCCCTCATCTTGTCTAGCAATGAGTTATAATAACGCAGTAGTATATTCGTATATATATGTTACTCAGGGTGCAATGTGTGAAAAGCTTTGCAATAGTGAATTTGAAAGTAATATTTCAGAAATCGCCTACTCCGGAAGAAGGTGGCATATCTGAAGAGGAGGCCGCCCGGCCTAAGAAGAAAAGCAAACGATCCGCACCATCTAGCCCTGACGATGAAGGATCACACAAGCCAAAAAAGAAAAAAGAGAAGAAGGACAAAAAAGAAAGGTGGGATATATTTAGAAGAACCATGACTAAGAGCCGATATGATTGAGTGAAGAAGGAAACATGTAAATGAACAGGGTTTTGTCTTAATACAAATTGGTTTTACGACCACGCAATAAATGATTTTTATTTAGTCATTTACACTTATGACATGCAAAATAAAAATAATTAATTTTCAGATTGCGATTATAAAAGGAGTAAATAGAGCGGCATTGTCGATATTTTACTTGTGTGACAAGCGGTACTAAATAATGTATGACTGAATGCGAAGGTCGAGCGGTGCGCTGTGGAGCGACGCCGAGTTGGAGTCGCGCCGCGCTGCCCTCCTCGCCCAACTGCACGAGCAAGAGACGGACTGACGTCGCGTCCACGTGCACATCTTTAACGACTACCCGCGCACCCCCCGCCACCGCCCGCCCACGCCAGGTGACCGCTCCCTCGCACATTGCGCCGACATTCCCTCAGCCACTCATACTCAGTGCGATTCAAAGTCCATCATTTACAGCCCCAATGAAAACTCAGACAGTGAAAACACAAAACGCTCATCCGAGTCGGACGCATCTAGTTCTTAGTATGTACATGTTATTCAGCATAGGTGCCGGCTTGTTTGTCAACGACAAATAGGACTGGGATTTAGCAAGCACATCTTAATTTCAATTTATTTTTATCGCCCGCTTAAAAGTTACGTTTTCGTGTTAATAATCAAATATATCCATCGTAATGTAACTATTGTATTGTAATATCTTAGATTACATACCTATAGTCTTTGTTCTGGCCACAGATAAGACAAAATGGTTTTTATGTTTTGCTCACTGCGGTTTTGCAGCCCACTGTACTGTAACTGCAGTGTAACTGTCGTAAACTTGATTTTGACTTTTGCTGTTAAATTGTTTCTACAGCAAAGTATCAAAGTTATTTTTCTTGCTTGTCACGATTGGAAACCGGCCAGGGGTACTAAGGCAAATATTACCCTCTCCTTGTCCCTCACGCAGAAATCATGCTTCTACGCGTCATAAAATTAAACGTTACATCTATAGGTATATAAACCAAGTGTAATATATAAATACATAGTAATCACGCCATCTGGCTTTTTAAAAAGTAACTTTAGTAATTAGAATATTTTTAATATAGCCATAAATAGCAAACAAAATTTTTCACGGTAATATTACCGATTAAGCATACTTGTGTATGAATAGATTTTTTTTTTGTACAATCTTACTTCCGATTGTATTTTTAGGGTAATTAATATAAATCTAATTATATAATTAGACGTTTTATTTAAAAAAAAACACATTTAAATATTTTACATAAAGTAAATAAAATATAGGAAATTTACTTGTTATTCATAAACTAAAAGTAGTTTGATTTATACTACGTCACCTTAAAGTACACTTAAAGCTTTGGAATGTTATATATTTAGAGACACAAAAACCTCAGACATAACAAAGAACAATCAATTGTGCCCAAAAATATTGTGTCGTTTCACGGTAATGTCAGTATGGCAATGCAACATAAAGCCGTTTAAAGTAAAATAAATAATGGATTTCATCAGATGCAGTGAATGATTATTATGTAAAAAAAATTCTCGCACTTGTCAGACTATAATAAAGTAATTTATATTCCTCTTCAAGAGTTCGTAGTTTCGTTTCAGAAAGTGCCAAAGCTTGTTGAAGCTGCACTGAGCCTTTATTCTTCTGTTCGGCGATCATGTCTCTTTCACTTTTAATATGATTCCAAATAGAATCAAACCAATGAAGAGATTCGAAATTGGAGTCCTAAAACACAAGGTTCTCTTTAAAATAATTTATCTATATTAATATAATGAAACTGAAGAGTTTGTTTGTTTTTCTAAACGCGCTCATAAAAAGTGCCGTTTTACCTGATCTAGTAACTTAAGAATATACGCGACTCCCATCGCGAAACCGTCGTCAGTAAAACCAGCGCCCACTTTATTTTTCTTTGACATCTTGTCCTTGGATAAAATCATATGTTCTACAAAGTTCAAAATAAGAGGAGGAACTATAATGTAAAAGTTTTTGAGATGAACATGTTTAGGATTTCTGAAAACAGGAGCGAATACTTCAACCAGCAGTTTAAAGTATTCAGTTCCTTGACTGAAGTTAGAAATAAGGCCATCAATACTATCGTCCAAGTAGTCCGCCGTTTCGATAGTTCTTTCAGAGTAATTATTAGTTTCGCACTGCGTTTTAAATTCCTTCGGGGATAGGGTGAATAAGAAGCTGGTAGCATCGGCACAGCTATGGCGACCTCCAGACCTGATCATCCTAACGTAGCCCATGGCATTGCCAATTTGAGTAATGAGATCCCTAAATAAATCCAAATAACTTTGTCCATCGGCAGCTAATCCAAGAACTTTTATGCCTTTATTAAATCTCTCTGCGGTTCTATATGGATACGTATTTCCATGCTCCCCAATGTTATCTTTGAAATTTCTTAGATCTTTTATCAGGCGGGATTTGATTTGTTCATCGTACATAAACTGGGAGAATTTAAAAAACTTATTCTTCAGAAATTGATATGTAAAATTGACTGTTGTGTTCATGATACCAGTGCCATGTGTTCGAATTGAATTAGCTATATGTTTAATATTAATAGAATTTAAATGTTTGTTATTGCTGCTCTTTTCAATGAATATTTGATTGTTTAAATTGTATTGATATTTAGATACAAATATATGTATATTTCTCATTATTTCCAATACATCTAAACCTTGCTCTAAAATTTGCGTGGGAAGATCATCTTGAATAAGTCTTAAATTAAACTTAAAGTTGGCCATTTGACGCATTTCACCGTAAGTTTTCCAATCAGACAGTACAACTGTAGTCAAGTTATAATATGTTTTTGATAAGTAATGTTCAACAGCAGGTATAACTCTCATATATACTGTATACAGTTTTAAAATATCCACATTCAGTAACACCTTTTTTATTATGTCGAATGATAATGGACTTAGTACATCCAACTGTAAATGAGAATGAATATGTAAACGCAAGTTTGTTTCTATGCTCTGACTGAAATTCTTTAGAATATTCTCTTCAATTATATTTTTCATGTTACACATGAATTCCTCAGATTGCTTCTTTTGAAAATATATGTCAGTGGTTTGTAAAAAACCAATGCAATCATCAATGACCATTAGGAAAAATTTCAATTTTAACGCATTCAACTGAGTGCTGAAATTTTGTTGAAAGTAAATTGGCATAACATTTTGGTGCCATAACATCCATGAGCAATTGCAAAACTTATCAATAGATGTAATGAAGTTTAAAAGTGTTTGTTCCTTTTCTAGTAGTAAGCCAATTTTTACATAAGTATCATCTAAATATGTGGCTTCTGGGACAAAACTCAATGCTACATTGGTGGCTATATTTCTTTCTATGGTAGCCGCTCCTCTAATTGCTTGTTCTGCTATAACTATGCAAGTCAGCTCATCCAATCTCTTATTAGCAAATGTCTTATTCTCAATTATTGTTTTTTTTACTTCAAGTATTGATGAGGCAGCTTGAAATGTTAAATGCTGAATAATCATTGTTGTAGAATGCAGAATTTGATAATGGTTTCTAGAAACGGCATTTTTGAGGGCTTTCAAAATATCAATTAATTCAAAAAGAGATATCAGTGAAGTTTTTGTCAAAGGAATCCCAAGTGATAGATGTAAATTTATGAAAGATAGCACTGAGTGGAATAAGGTGGATGCATACTCAAGGCCATCTAAAAGTGTTTTAGCAAGAACACTCATTTCACCCGCACTAAGTTTATTGTTACTGGAAAAGAGTTCTTCAACTGTTAGGACCCAATGAGAACAAATGCCTTGTAAAGTTATAATATCCTTAGTGAGGCTCGTTTTTTTGGACATCATATAAGCTTGTCGGGTTTTTAACATATTTTGTGACATTTTATGGCTACTTAACGATGGAACATATCTATGTAGGAACTGCTCTGGAAACCAAATGGCATTTCCTGCAATGTAGACGCTGTGTCCCTGTTAATGAGAGACATAAATTAGTTATAAAAATCATGTTATGTTATAGACAAGTCATGTTTTAGTTATACAAACCTTTAAATTAATTTCACATAAACTTCTAAACAGCTTTTTTTCAGTTATACCAAACATGTGGTGGTGTAGGGCAAACAAAGCATTTATTTTGATGCATTTGTACATATTTTCATAATTTGGCCTTTCTTGTGTAAGCTTTTCAAGATTTACCAGGGCTTGCTTAATGTAATTGGTAAATTCTGTTGATAATTGTTGATTAAGTTTCCCAGAAAGTTCTTTCTTTTTCAGAATCAGTGTATTGTCCAAAAAGTTTTGAACTATGTCATCACACATAAGTCTGCTGTCTATGTTGTCCAAAGCACTAATAATAGCAAGGAGCCTATCTTTATTCATATTGGGGTTTGCCAATAAAGAATGAGATTTAAAAGTTTTAACAAATGCTTTCCATTTTGTTTGTAAGGAACATTTTGATATTAATATTTCTGTTAATACTACAAGTGTAAATAATTCTCCAATGTGATTTATTATAAAGTGCCACTGAACGTCATCTGAAAAAGGAAAATTTTACTAAGATTTTTGTACTTGTTGCTACCTCTATAGATAATACACACAATACATCTAAAACTGTTGACTAACTTTTCTCACATGCATAAATTCATTGTGTTTTTACTTACATATATTTATGATTTCTTGTTTAAATATAGCAAATACTTGACTCAAAATATTATTCAAGACATCACTACAGTGAATTATAAAAGAGTTAAGCAAACAGATGGACTCTATTTGATTTGCTGTATCACTATCTTCATATTCATCATATATTGACAAAAACTGGAAGTGTCTGCAAAAAATGTACAATATCTAAGACACTTCATTTATTCCATTAAAAAATAATGTGAATGGTAAAACTTACTTTTCAAATGCCTCCTTTTTCAGACTTGTAACTTCAACACAAAGAGAAGTAAAAATACCCAATATTTTCGTCATAACAGGATTATCAGACGCTACTAGTTCTGTCGCAGCTACCCATTCTAGAGGAAGTGTTTCAACTTGTATTGGGAGGAATGTTTTGTTCAAACCAGAATTGTTACTTTTTAACATAGAGTTATAGTCTTGGTATTGTTGTTTAAAAAAGTTACCATAACTTTTCAATATATGGGTACCTGCTTCTTTTTCCATTTCTATTATTTACTACTGAAAAAAAAAACAAAACGTAAATTGAATACCTACACAAGAATCTTTTTATTTCTAAGTACATCATTAATCTCATACTTCAATCTTATAACAAATAATATGAAAAGAGAAAAATATATTATTTGGGTAATCTTAAAATAACAATTGGTATTTGTTGCACTGTTTTGTTGTCGTTCAATGTTTGACAATTGGCTTAAACGTTGATTTCACAGAAGAAAGTGACAAAACGGACGTGACGTACGGGATGGTTCTGAATGTCGCATTATGAAAAAAAGCCCTTTTACAACTTGAATTTAAAAGATATCTCTTAATTAGCACTAATATAGAATAATATATATGCACCATGGGACTAAAAACTGTATGACACCCTACAATCTACATCGTTTTATCGCACTGAGAGACTTCCACAGTTTATTCAGTGGACTACTTGACTACCAAAAGACTACAAGTACTGAAAGTAAACTTATCGGCTATTAAATTAGTACGATGATAATATTACGTACTAAGTATTAGAGCTAATGTAGCAGCCGAAACCTTTTCCATAATCTTCGCTTCTTATAGTTGTTCTTTTACAAATAATTTCGATGAGTCTGTGCAAAGGTACTATAGTCTATATCTTTTGACAAAGCGTAAATACCAAAGTAAACACTAAATTGTAAATTCGTTAATTGTTGGGCAATTAAGTTGTTCGATTGAAATAAGTTGTAATTTTGTATATATTTTACTATCGTGTAAAGAGAAAATGTCTAGCACGTCACAAAAACATAGGAATTTTGTCGCCGAACCCATGGGCGACAAGCCGGTGACTGACCTAGCTGGCGTGGGAGAAGTTTTAGGAAAGCGGTTAGAGACTGCCGGTTTCGATAAGGTATTTATTTAATTTGATTCTTTTAATGGCTTAAACAACCTTACATGGGTCTAGAGTCTAATAATTTTCAACTACTTAATAAAATGAAATGAAATACCGGAATTAATAAATAATTTATGTTAGTGTCACGTGACCCCAATTCCGCGGTACATATCATAATGTGATCTCGACTAAAAGTTAACTACATGGTTATATTTAAATGTATTTATTTATAGTACTCCTTTGTTTAATGCTGAAAAATTTGCACCCAAATTTACACCATTTTGTAAAATAATGAATGTATTTCTTTCAGGCTTATGTGGTCTTAGGTCAATTTCTAGTATTGAAAAAGGACCGTGAGTTATTTCAAGAATGGATGAAAGAAACATGTAATGCAAATTCAAAACAATCTACTGACTGCTACCAATGTCTAAGTGATTGGTGTGATGAGTTCTTGTAAGATAATATGTAGAAATAGAATTAAGATAAGCTTTATACAGTGTATGTTTGGTACATAATACCTCATTTAAGTAATACTTTATAGGTTTTTTTTATAATGTATACCTACCCAAAATAAGAAAAAACAACTCAAATACCGTCTCTACCATTGTAGGTAATATGCCACTGCCAAAAATTATAATTTTGAAATATACAAATGTCTTTCTTTTAACATAAATTATGCTGCACAAAGAATTTTAATGAGTAAGAGTTTTTTCTACAGCAATAACAATGTTAGTGTTGTTAAGCTTGATCTGGAGAGTATTTAAAACTTTATAAGAATTTGAACATTATTATATGTATCTAAATAAATATTACTATAAGTATTTTAAACTAAGTTTCAAATTCTATTGGTAAAGATATACAGTATGCCATCTCAATGTATAGTGAATATATTTTAATTAATTGTTTAATTTCTATAAAAAAATATTTTAGATAATAAAAATTGGTCATATTATATTCTTTTAAAATAATACCTTGTTTTTCTTCTTCAAAGATTAGCATAAGAATAAATTGCATTTTATTATATGAACAAAAAGTGGTGTATTGCTTTTTAAAACCCTTATAGTTTATTAACTACGTGGGATTGACAATATCCAAGATTTAAACCTTTAACAATTATTATATATTTGTTTTAAGTGTTTTACATCAATATAATTCATAAATTATCAATGAAGAGCCCAATGTTAATCGTAATATATTAAGATAAGCACTCTATTTACATATTTTACAAACATTTCTTTATACATTAGTTCAAAAGAACTCTTTAAAGTTTCATTTTTTGCGTTTATGAATTTGATATTGAAATTAATAAATCGTTAAAAGTAATATAACTCAAACTTTGCCTTAATAATATATGTAAATGTTTAACATTTGTGAGCTGATGGAAAAAAATGTTAAGCCAGGAATACAACAAAGAAAATAAAGAAAAATATCAGTACACCAAACACTTTAAACATCAGTGCTCTATTCCCAGTAACATTTTGAAAATATTTCATTATTTCCCTATGGCCTGCTTCAACATTCATTTCGGCCTCTGCAATATTAGTATCAATACGTCCAATAGCTTCATCTTGTTCCTTTACCATGTGCGCCAGTTGTTGAAATATTCCTCCTAGTTCTACTATAGTGCTCTCAATGTTATGCATTGTTTCTGCTCTTTGCTGAACATATGTGTCACTGTCATCTCTCAAGGCCATCTGTTGTGTTTGCATAGTTAATGCATCTCCCAAATCAATGCTTACTTCATCTGGTTGTAATAGAGATGGAATTTCTTTTACAATAGGTGCAGAATTTGAAAACTGTTCTCGTCTAGTATTCTGATATTTTAAGTTCTCTGATCTCACTTCCAACACCTGATAAAAAATATGTTCATTATAATATTAAGTTGATAACTCAAAAACATTTTACCTAAAAATGGTAAACTGTTTTTCACCTGCTTAAATTGATTACTCATTGATGCCAGTCTTGACTGTAAGGCCAATACAACACTCGAGGAATGGCTATGCATGCTTCTACGTCCTCTTGGCATCTCACCCAATTTAGCAATCTGTTGGTTTAAGGAGTTAAGATCTCCTTTTATAATGTAGGTTAGTTCTTGTATTTCCGTTGGTCTATCATCAAACAGAGATTTCTTCTTTGCAACTACAATATAAAAGAAAAATTATATAATTTTATGTTTTCTAAGTTTAACAGCTTATCTATGTATTGCTTGGTCAATAGTGTAATAAGTTGATTCAAGTTTTTTAATTGTATACTTACGTAAAGCCAACTTCTCTAGTTTAGCATAGGTACTTGTTATGTTTTTACTTATAACCTTAGCCATACTCATAAACTGGGAATATGTTGCTATGACAGCAGCTTTTCTTTCATCTTTCACAATTGGTCTAACTAAAGTTCTGCCTTGAAGACTGCGCACAGCTGATGCAAACTCTTGTGTTCTATCTCTTGCAGCCATCACTGGTTCAAATGTAAACTCTTCTAAGAAATCAAAAACACCGTCTTGATAGTATACGCTGTCGACAGATTGGCCAGCTAAAGATGAACTTGACACAAAATGTGACCCTTTCTTATCCAATTTACTATAAGGAATTACTTCTTGAAAATGAGATGCATGTTCAGGCACGCCAACGTTACGACGACGGGGAAGCATTGCATTCTAAACAAATAAAACTATGCCTAAATGTGTGACGAAAATATAAACTGAGAAACTTACAAGGTTTTTATTTAATACAATTCCTAATTAAAATGATTGTTTATTAAATCTAATCAACAGGTGATACATATTTTCTTAACGAACTGCACTACTGCAACCAAAGAAACTGAAAAATTTATATTCTTTAGTTTTAAAATCAACACAAAGTTAACAATTCGTCAAGTTAATTACTGTCACTTGGCAATTATTTTCCACAGATTACGTGGAAGTTAAAGACAATTGACACATAACTAAAGGACAAATAGAATGTAAACAAATACAAAATAGAGAACAAAGTCCACAGAGTTAATATTAATTACTAAATTTATTAAAAACCATTAATAATATTAAAGTTAATATTATTAACATTGTACGATACACACTATAATAAATAATATACAAAATTATTACACCGAAATCTAAAACATAACCAACTTTTGCAGTAACCTAACTGTTTATACCAAATGGTAATCCTATAACACTTAGTGTTGTCGGCAATTGATACGACACTTGTGATAATCATCGAGATTATATCGATAATTAAGTCACTCGTTATTGTCGTAATAGTTTAGTTCCCTACTGCATCTGTGGTTTTTAAAACACAAGCAGACTCGAGGCTTCAACTTCACATTTTGAATTTAGCAAGATTATCAAATAACAAATATCAAACAAATAACGATTGTATTTTGTTAGTGCAATGTAATATAAATATGATTACTATTTTAGCACATACATTTAATGTTTTGGCAAACGTAGCTCAATACCTTCTGCAGCTGGCCTCTTTTGTTGGACAAGTGATTGTATTTGTGATAACAAGTGCTATAAATTTTGTGTTAAATAGTGTTTCAAACGCTTCCCTATTCCTGCAAATTGTTTATGAAGATAATGTGTTCATATTTACGGAAGAATTGCCAACTTGGACTTCCCGTTATTTTCAAATTATTTGTACTCAATATTACTACGTTTTAAATTGTATAGGGCTGATGTGTAGTGAATTATACTTTACAATATCATCTGTTATGACAACCGTTACTTACTCATTTGATACACTTTTAACTATACTTTTGGATATTATGTTTGTATTTAAAAAATCCATCTTAATAATTGGTGAAGCATTGTGGCTCATATTGACCTTTCTACCGATTCAACTACCCTATTTAATTAAAATTTTTATGAAACACATCAAGGAATCTGTTACTAGTATAACATTTGATCTATATAAAATTCTATTGAAGCTTACTAACTTTTTGTCAGATGTACCTTTAGAATCCTTTCTTGGCATTATGACTGCCATAGCAATTATTCGTTTCTATATCAGTTTTCGGATAGAAATACAAACTGAACTGTTAAAACTTTATTGGATTGTTGTGAGAAAGATATGGTACTTTTATCATTCTGTTTACAATTACTTCACAGACTCAGATATAGGTATTATAACAAGAGTGGCTAATGGGGAAGCCCTTATGACCAGGAGTGCAAGTTTAGATGATAGTATTGATGAAGTAGCTAACACCTCAGATGCCTTATGTGTTATATGTCAAGAAAGACAAAAATGTGTTTTAATATTACCCTGCAAACATGTTTGTCTTTGTCGAGAATGTTGTGTTCGTTTATATGGATATCAACGGACGTGTCCTATTTGCAGGACATTTATATATCACTCTGTGACCATATATTTGTGATACTAAAATTTTGATACTGTGATTGATAGGCTATAAATGAAACTTAAATATAATGTTTTTTTTTATGAATTATGTTACATATATTATTGTCAAAATACATGATTTTAACTTATATTAGAAACCAATTTGTATTGTATGTTACTTTGTACTACTTTAAATGAATTTAAGGTAAACACTGCTACAACCAATATTGAAAACCCAATGAAGCATCCAAAAATATCTTGAATGTTCATATTAGACCATTCCTTGAATAGAATACCCGAGGCAACAATCACCAGGGTAGTAAACATTACATAGTACACTGGTGTCACAATATTAGTATTAAAAATATCAAGTGATTTATTTAAATAATTTAACTGAATTATTATCCCACCAACTGCCATAAGAAAAATAAATAACAATATATGTGAATTAGAATCATAAATAGTGATACCATCCTTAATACCAAGAGCAACAGCTTTACAGAAAACCACAGACAGGCTACCTATAGCTGAGCATATTATAAGATATACACTTATATTGGTTTTTCCATATTTAGGCACTAATATAATCTTAACTGCTAAAAACAATATTATTATACAACAGACATAAAGAACAAAAAGGGGATCACAAAGTCTAATTGTCAACTCTGAAAAGCTATTAACATTATCACTTTTTGGCGAGTAAATAATCAAAATCACAGAACCAATCACACAAAGGAAACAACCAACCTGAAAGGTAAAGAAAAGTAGAGTTAGAACACACATTTGGTGTGTGTAAAGTATTAGCCCAAAATTATGGCTTGATAAAATACAGTAGAACCTCGATAAGTCTCGCCACATCTTGAAAAAAAATTGTGTTCCCTTCCTTTCAAACACCAAAACCTCCGTTATTCGAAATCTCAATCCCCTATTAGTCGAAATAATCAGTGAATCCCTCCAAGCCAATTCGGTACATATATTCCCTCCATAACTCTTAAATAAGAAAAATTATTTTTACCTCTGTATCTCGAAAATAGCAACTTCTTATTTTACAACCTTTACAACTCTATTATTTTAGACTCATTACATCTATATTTCGAATACAAATAAGTTACCGACTTTAAGAATTTGCAATGAATGAATAGAATTAAATACTGTCTATAGTTTACGCGAGTAAACTTATTTGAATATGATTTTTAACTTCGGCCCTTTAACTAATATATCGCGTTTTAAAACGTTAAAGTGTTTTATTTGACTGAATAGAATTACTACGAATTTATGACTCATATTAACAAGTGTTTGCTTGCTTGATGTCAGGTGTTTCATTTTATTAGTTTTGATTTCATTTGAATGCAAGTTATTTGTTTTCAAGTGAAATGTTGTGAGAAATAGTTTGGTTCTACTGCAATAGATATCAATTTGTACATCAGTTTACAAATATTGTTGTAAACATGAGTGCAGTGAAACATATGTTACCTCTCTTACTAAAAATGTATAAGAATAAATCTCAACCTCTTTATGTCGAATCAAAATCCGCCTAAAACTCTATAACTCGAATTTTTTGACGTCTCCCTTCATATTCGACTTATAAGAGGTTCTACTGTATATAATGTAATTATTGTTTTTTAAATTGCATATACTTAATACTATTAGTACCTTGAAATAATGTAACATTTGTAAAACCCGAAATATGAAGAAAACTTTGCAAACTACCTTTCCAATGCTATAAAGATGCTCATCAAGAAACTTTGAAGATAATACTGCGGTAACAAAAATGCTTAAGGCACCAAGTGGTGTAACTAAGGCTGCAGGTACGAAAGCATAGGCTAGTAGATTTGCAGCCTCTCCAATTCCCACTGAAAACAAAAAAAAAGATAATATACCTACCAAATCTAAGTACTTTAATACTATTACTTTTTTGTATTAATTAAGATTGTGTTATTTACTTGTTAAAAGTCCTATCCACCACAACCATTGCTTAAGATAAGAGTAACCACCTGAAGAGGCCCTTAAATTTTTTTCTAATGATACTCTTTTTAATGCTACCTTTTTTATTATAAAACTAGATCCGATAAATACACTCGATGATATTGCTAAACTTAGTCCAAGAATATAAGATACATATTCTTCGTTTTCCTGAAGTACCATTTTGAGCATATAGTCTTAGAGAATATAATATGATAGTGATGATAATAGATTCTTGTAAACAAACCCGTGTCAGTTTTGGAATACAGACTCTGTGATCTAACTATAAACATTATTGTGTACCAATTACGGGTTCCCGCTAAAACTGACGTCAATGTCAAAATAAAGTTGGGATCTCACGTTATTCACAAATCTCAATGCACAATCATCATTATTTTAATATAGTACTAATATTAAATCACTTGTTTACTTTACTTTATTATAAATGTATGTAATTGGAATCGCCTTTATTGGACTTTAACCGGTAACTGGCACAGGTTTACAGTCAGCAATTCCTAACGTACATATTTTGGTATTTTCCACACAAACACTCCATTTGTTGAATTGCACTTCTTTCTTTTTGCAAAGTCTTACGTTTTCTGTAGAAGTAGCAGCCGAACTCAGTAAGTTAATAAAGCGTTCAGAATGGTTGGAAGAGCGAACAAGTTGTACGTGCATAAAAGAGGTAAAAAAATTATTATTAGAATTGAAACAAAAATTTTGTTTTGTAATTAAAAAAATAACATATATTTTTTTATATAGGTGGCAGAATGGAGGAGGTTCATATTGACAAAATAACTTCAAGAATTAAAAAGCTGTGTTATGGATTGAACATGGACTTTGTTGATCCTGTAAGTATCCTATGTTTAAGGAGTCTATTAAAATCTTAATTGTTTATTATTTTGGTTTAACATTAAAGCATGGTATCAAACTCTTATTTTAGGTAAGCATAACTCTGAAAGTTATCAGTGGTATTTATTCTGGTGTAACTACAGTTGAATTAGATAATTTGGCTGCTGAGACAGCAGCTACTATGACAACTGATCATCCAGATTATGCTATACTAGCAGCCAGGCTTGCTATATCAAATTTACATAAAGAAACAAAGAAACATTTTTCAGGTGAAGTAATTCTTTTTTCATAAGATTATTATAGATATAGAAGTGTTACCTAATATTTGTATAAAAATAATGAAATGTATATGTGTCTAAGGTCAATAAAAAATATGGTCATCAATAACATAAAACACAGGTATAATCATATAACAATAAGTAATAATTTCATCATCAATTGATGAAATTATTACTTAATTTAGTGATTTCGTTATATATTAATACATAAGCACTAAGTGATGCCTATAAAATGACTTAAGTTGCTTTTTTACAGTGAGTATTAGAACATGATACTTAATTCATTCAAGAAATATAATATCAGCAATTAGAACAGCCATACATTATTTTTGGAATAGAAACTCTAAATGTTCACTATTTTGTTACGCTTGTTGGTGTAATGGTAGCAATGTTAGGCTAATAATCAACGGGTTGTGGGTTTGATCCTCACCAGAACCAACAGGTTTTAATCATTTTTTTAAATACATGTTGGACTTCATCTGGAAATAAAATGGGTGAAATGAATTTAATATCATAGTCCTGTCCAAGTCATGAACAGATAGAAAATCTGTAAAATATGTTGATAGTAATTCTTGTATAGGTAGTATATGGCTGGGGAAAGACCTTCATATATATAAAATCACAGTAAGAATTGTTGAAACTTAAGACAAACAAAATGTTAACAATTGCCATATCTTTTTACAGATGTTATTGCTGATTTATACAACATTATCAATCCGCACACAAAGAAACAGGCTCCAATGATATCTGAATTCCATTACAATATTATAATGCAGAATAAGGAACGGCTAGATTCAGCCATTGTTTATGACAGAGATTTCAAATACAATTATTTTGGTTTTAAAACATTAGAAAGATCATATCTATTGAAAATAAATAACAAGGCAAGTATAAAATTGTAATAAATTGCACATACATTTGACGTTTATTGCATAAGAGTGTGCAAGACAATAGTATTGTAATATCTAATCTCTTAGTAATACCACAGTATTGTATGTGGCTTTGTGCCTACATTATCATTACATTTTTAAAACCTATTTGGTAGTGAAACCTTATAGTGTCAATTTTTGCAATGCTTATTGGTTAATAATATTTCCAAATTCTAGGTTGCAGAGAGGCCTCAACATATGCTTATGCGAGTGTCTATAGGCATTCATGGTGAAGACATTGATTCTGCAATAACCACTTATAATTTACTGTCTGAAAAATATTTTACTCATGCTAGCCCTACACTATTCTCGGCAGCAACACCCAGACCTCAGCTCTCTTCTTGTTTCCTAATGGCAATGAAAGATGACAGTATTGATGGAATTTATGATACTCTTAAACAATGTGCTCTAATATCAAAATATGCAGGTGGGATTGGCCTTCATGTACATTGCATACGAGCCAAGGGCTCATACATTGCTGGAACAAATGGGGTGTCTAATGGACTAGTTCCATTATTGAGAGTTTACAACAACACTGCAAGATATGTTGACCAGGGAGGTAACAAAAGACCGGGTGCATTTGCTGTTTACTTGGAGCCATGGCACTCTGATATTTTTGACTTTTTAGATTTAAAAAAGAATACTGGCAAAGAGGAAGTCCGTGCTCGTGATCTTTTTTATGCTCTTTGGATACCAGACTTATTTATGAAGAGAGTTGAACAAAACGAAAACTGGAGTCTGATGTGCCCTCATGATTCCCCTGGACTAGCGGATTGTTGGGGAAAAGAATTTGAAAAGTTGTATGAACAATATGAACAGGATAACAGGTTTGTCAAACAAGTGAGAGCTCAAGTATTGTGGAAGGCTATAATTGAGGCACAAGTTGAGACAGGAACACCATTTATGTTGTATAAAGATTCTTGTAATAGAAAAAGTAATCAAAAAAACCTTGGTACTATAAAATGTAGTAATCTCTGCACTGAGATTGTAGAATATACATCTACAGATGAAATAGCTGTATGCAATTTAGCATCAATAGCTCTGAATATGTTTGTTAATGATGATAAAACCTACAATTTTATAAAATTGAAAGAAGTTACTAAAATTATTACCCAGAATTTGAATAAAATTATAGATATTAATTATTACCCACTGCCTGAGGCAAAAAATTCTAACATGCGGCATAGACCAATAGGAATTGGTGTTCAGGGATTAGCGGATGCATTTGTTTTGATGCGTATCCCTTATGAAAGTGAAGAGGCTCTTAAGTTGAACCAGCAGATATTTGAGACTATTTATTATGGTGCATTGGAAGCTAGCTGTGAATTAGCACAAAAAGATGGAGCGTATAGTACTTATAAAGGGAGTCCTGCAAGCCAAGGAGTTTTGCAATATGATATGTGGAATAAAACTCCTACTGATCTATGGGATTGGTCAACTTTAAAAGAAAATATTTCTAAGCATGGACTCCGCAACTCATTACTATTGGCACCAATGCCAACCGCATCTACAGCACAAATTCTGGGCAATAATGAGTCATTTGAACCATTCACTTCTAACATATATCAGAGGAGGGTACTGTCTGGCGAGTTTCAAGTAGTAAACCATCATCTTTTGAGAGATTTAACACAAGCTGATCTATGGGATGAAGATATGAAAAATATTATTATTCATAATAATGGTTCTATTCAGAACATTGAAGCAATTCCCAAGGAAATTCGGGATCTGTATAAAACAGTTTGGGAAATTTCTGTTAAAACCACAATTCAAATGGCAGCTGATAGAGGGGCTTTTATTGATCAAAGTCAATCTTTTAATATTCACGTTGCTGAACCAAATTATGGAAAGTTAACTTCTATACATTTTTATGCCTGGAAAATGGGACTAAAAACTGGCATGTACTATCTGCGTACAAAGCCAGCTGCTAATGCTATACAGTTTACTGTTGATAAATCAAAAGTCAAGGTGGGAAATGGCAAGGTAGAGATGGAAGAGGCAGCCGAAATGTCAATGATAGCATGTTCATTGCTAAACAAAGATCAGTGCTTGAGTTGTGGTTCTTAATATTAAGTTTTTTTTACTTTTGGGGACACAGATAGGCCAGGAAATCAGTCCACATTTGCTGACCATTCCACTTATTCCCCCTTTAGTTTTAAGTTTCCTTATGTTTGTATTTTAATAAAAGAGAATGTGATCCTTTTTAAATAAATGATTATTCAACATTCAATTCTGATTTTGATTTAACACAATGATTTAGGGTTTTGTGCAAGGACTAAATTTATGATGCTGCTTCATTCCTTTAATTTTATTTTAAATAATCTTAACAACAAGCAAGCAAGATGATAATATAAATATGAAAATTTATATATGCAGAACAAAAAATTGTCAAGTCCATTGATAATAAAGATTAACCAAAAGCATAGTTTACCTTTCTCATTTTCAACTGAACCTAAAACAACCTTTTATATAATCTAAAGGAACGATGCTTGATAACTTAATAAAATAGTTTCACAAAACCAATGGTCGCATAAAGCACTGGGTAAATAATATACGAAAAGTAGAAAATTAGTAACAAAAACACATCTGTCAAAAACTATTTTAATTGAATTAATTTACTTGGTTTTCGTACTCTTAATTTTTTCTGTAGCTTCTTAGGATAGGATAAATGATATCCAAGGATTCATTGATTTCACCTCTCGACTTCCCTCCTGCAATGTTTTGTTTACTTTAGTATGGTCTAGAATGTTGATTAACAAATTCTATTTATTTTTTATTTACCTGTAATCACCATTTTTCCATTCACAAATATAAGAAGAACAACTCGAGGTCTCACCATTCTATACACAAGACCAGGGAACAATTCTGGTTCATATGATGCAAATTGTCCATGAGCTTGTTGTAGTGCCTCTAATCTAATAGGAAATCTCAAATCTGCTGTGGCAATAAAATTTTGGACTTTATAATTTATAAACTTTGCCTGCAAGAATTGATATCATTAAAATCCATTTTCAGAAAAGGGTAAAAATTATAAATGTATACATTAATCGTAGCCACTACTGCCTTAAATTTTTTACTTGTAACTTAGCTTTAAAATAGGTTAGCAGTTGATGTGGAATGGTCAGTTGGCAGTTTATTGGAGTCCCCAAGAGAAAACATTAATAATAGCAAATTAATTGAATATGCATATAAGTACATATTTAAAAAAATACCGGGAATCCTAATTTCTGAATGATTCTAGCAAATTTTCTTGTTGATATATAAGCATCATGTTCATTTCTTGCTCCTGTGCAAACAATTTTTCCTGATCTAAAACATATATTACTGCTAATTAGTACAAAGGTCTGGGCCTAATGTTAGCCAAAGAATAAGTACTTAAAAACAGTGTCTTACCAACTCACCGAAAAACTAAAGCTGTAGCTCTAGGTTCCAAAATTTTCATAACAACTCCATGAAATCTTGCTGGATTGTACTCAGAATATCGTGTGCGACAATATATATCCAATAAGTTTAATTCACATCCTAAGCTGACAGTTGCAACACAATTTCTGAAATAATAAGACTGTAAACTACACAATTGCTTGCCTAAGTCTAATTGTTTATTGAATATTTTGAACAATAACTTACTGTAACTTTATACTACTTTTAACTTGGCTAGCTGCACTTGCCATTGGTGTAACAGCTGTCATTGAAGAATGGGGATTGAAAATTTGTGGAGTATAGGATCTATTTGTTGGTGTCAGGGCTACTTCACCCACAATCCTTGTTTGTGATAATGCTTTAGCTTCAGAAGGTAGTGCATCACATTTTTGACTAGGTGTTGATAAAATAGTAATCTGACTCTCAGTATCATTTTGTGATACTTCTTCTTGTTTGTCCTGTAGAACATTAGAAACTTCAATATTAGGCACTTTCCATAATCAAACAGTGCAATACATGTATATTATAATCCTTATGTTTAACTAACTTACCATGTTTATTTATTATAATATTATATTAGTAGATAGACAGTGATTATAAAGTACTAGTAGGATGTCAATAGTTATGGTGTTTGTAAAAATGCCGTGTATACGGATCGGCAGGTGTGGAAGCAAAATTATTATGACCCAGATTGCAGCAGTACCAAGAAGTATTTGTTTATTAATTGATTAAATATTTTTTCATCGTGATAAGTTTACTAGTTGAGCTTTTTGAATAACGAAGTACATAATATAGTGTTTTTCCCAACTTGAGAATTTTAGATTATTTTCCTATGTACATTAATATTATACATATATATTCGTAAGCACGGCGATGACTTATCAATTGTCATTTGTCATCAGAGGTTGTTATTCTGTGAATACTGTCTAATCATCGATGTATTATATATCTGTGACCTATCATGTGCTGTCATCTCTGTCTTGTGTTTACATATATCCATTTAGAACTGTGACTATTACAAAATTTAATCCTCGAATATCCCAGCGATCTTGTTATATTTATTCCGAAAAATTTTGAGACAAAATGGCTCCTAAGGCAGCAGGAGACTCTGCAAAAGTAAAGAGTTCCTCAGTATATAAGGATAAGAGTAAGCCGACCGATATTCGCCTTAGCAATATAAATGCCGCAAAAGGTAAATATAAGTTAAATTAAATAATTTTGGTTTGTGTGGGAAAGAGTATTTTAAGTTCAATTATTTTTAGCTTGCATGTAAAAATACAGTCGTGTATCATATTATAAGGATATAATATACCTATCTTTCGTTTTGTTACAAATTCGATGGCTGTCAGGAACACCTGTTTATTCTTTGTCGATTTTCTCTGAAAGTAACATTGTATTTTACTATGTATCGTCTTTTCTCGTTCATATAATCATAAACAATGTTTATTTTCATATACGGTTTTTAGATATAAAATAATAATTTATTAAAAAAGGAAACCTTTTTCTAATGTAAAACAAAACTGTTTATTATTATTTTAGTATCCAAGAGGCTATTTGTATTGTTTAATAAACTGGATAAATTACTATATTATGTCAATTTAATTTCAGCTGTATCTGATGCTATTAGGACAAGTCTTGGCCCTCGTGGCATGGACAAAATGGTATGTAAATTCCATAATAAGGTGGCCTGCAATGTCTTTATATAGTATAGCAGCTATAAAGTTCAATTTATTAAGGATGCCAAAAATAACTCAGTCAAAGATTAGTTATGCCACAGTGATCTAATTTGCAGATTCAAGCGGCTAATGGTGAAGTAACCATAACAAATGATGGAGCCACCATCTTGAAACAAATGAATGTTATTCATCCAGCTGCAAAAATGGTATAAAAACGACTATATTTATCCTGCTAAGTATTATAAATGTGACATTTTATATATTAAAAATGTAAAACATAGTTAAAGATTTTTTAAATTGGCAATTTTATATACATAATATATACAAAAGTTCAATATTTCATTTGTTTTTAATATAATAAATGATGTAATGAGACAAAATATTTAATGGTTAAAGGGCTTCACACAAAGAGTATGACACAAAACTTGGTGGGTAATTGTGTTAAGTATTGGTTGATTTGTGCTTTTTTGATTAGTATTACTGTTATTTAGTGCTTTTTTGCCATTCTTAGTTGGTGGAATTGTCACGTGCACAAGACATAGAGGCAGGTGATGGGACCACGTCTGTTGTTGTTGTGGCTGGTGCTCTCCTGGATGCTGCTGAAAAACTTTTGCAAAAAGGAATACATCCTACAGTTATTTCAGATGGATTTCAAAAAGCTCTACAAATGGCTCTTCAGGTATATTCTTTTACTCAAAATACAATTTGCAGTTGTTTTAAGTTACACAAATTTATCAATAACAATTTGGTACTTCAGGTAATTGAAAACATGTCAACACCTGTAGATTTATCTAATGAAGATGTTCTACTGAAAGCAGCAGCAACATCACTCAACTCAAAAGTGGTGTCACAGCACTCAACTATTTTGGCCCCTATTGCTGTTCAAGCTATTCGTGCAGGTAAATATTTAATTTTCCTTATAATTTTTAATTTATGTTTTAAGGACAGCAAGCAGCCATCAGTGGCGGCTGGTGGGTTATGTAATGGTGGTGCAGCACTTTACTTAGTTAAAAAATTTTTTAAACATTCAATCATTGTGACGAACTTTTTCTGAAGCAAAATGTTCTATCACTTTCTTGTTATACAATTCGGGTTCTCTCGACCATCTTCGGTCTACTCGTGCAGCGCTCGAGAAGTTTTATTAGCAACTTGTAAAGTGTTCCCCATAATTGGATAATAATGTTTTGAAAACTTTATTATTGTTTACATGTTATTGCACATGAAGGCACTATATAATTTAAAAATGGAAAATAAATTGAAACAAATTTCGACGGCTTCTGCTCTGATGCACGGAACGCTGATGATGTCGGTTCAAGTCCTGTCCAAGTCGAATATTTTTTCAATTTATTGTCGATTTTTAAAATGTCATAATAAATATCAAAATTTATTATAATATTGTAATTTAAAATGACGTAATATTTTAACTTTTAAGTCTTTTGAATTGGTAGCTCGGTGCACGAGCGCACTTAAGGTACAGCTGGCACTGGTAGCCATACAGTTTTACTATTTTTAAATAAAAAAGTTAAATTTAATACGTTGATTCCAAACATGAACATGCACATTCATGTTGGGAAACATATTATATTTAACTTTAATTTTTTTATGCATGCAATGGTAAACTTAGATTTAAGTAGAAGTTTAATAAAATATTAATGTTAAAGGTTGCCATTATTTCTAGTCATGGAACCCATAGTAGGCGGAATAGGCGCCCGCGTTGACTTACGAGATGTAAAGGTGATTGAACGCATTGGAGGAACGGTGGAAGACACCGAGCTGATACAAGGACTGGTCATTGCTCATCGGGCTGCTAATGTTAACGGTCCGCACCGCATTGAAAAGGCCAAAGTTGGTCTCATTCAATTTTGCATTTCACCTCCCAAAACTGATGTAAGTTAGGATAATTGCAATTGAATTAGTATTATGTATTATCCAGTGTTTATTTTGTTCTTGTTGTCTTTAATTACTATTGATTACCACTTTTGGTACAGATGGATCACAATGTGATAGTGTCCGACTATGCTGCAATGGACCGTGTGTTAAAAGAAGAGCGTCAATACATTTTGAACATTGTGAAACAAATAAAGAAAGCGGGGTGTAATGTTTTATTAGTTCAGAAGTCCATCTTGAGGTAATTTTTGGTCTTCATGATGTTTTTTTATATTACAATTTATATAATATTAAAATTATAAGCAATCTTATCAAAACTTTTTTCAGAGATGCTCTTAGTGACTTAGCAGTGCACTTCTTAGATAAAATTAAAACAATGGTTATCAAGGACATTGAACGAGAAGACATTGAATTTGTTTGTAAAACATTAGGGTGTCGCCCTATAGCCTCATTAGACCATTTCACAGCTGAAAATCTTGTTAATGTGGACTTAGTTGAAGAAGTTAGTGGATCTGGCGGAAAATACATTAAGGTATAGACATCCAAAGTGCTCAATAAAGTCCGCTGTCCTTGATCAAGTAAAAGATTTGAGGAATAAAGTTTTACCAGTTTTAAGATTTTTGTTTAATACAACTAACTCAATATTTTATTTTATTTATAGATGACGGGATGTCAAAGCGGTGGCCGCACGGTATCGGTTGTAACCCGCGGTACAAGCAGCGCAGTAGTTGCGGAAGCCGCTCGTTCTCTACACGACGCTTTATGTGCTGTACGCTGCGTTGCGAGGAGACCTGCATTATTGCCAGGTATAAAGTCGTAAATAAAATTTTTACCTATTTTTATTTACGACTTTAACCAACAAACCAACCAACCAACCAACAACAAACATTTATACATGTTCTAATCTTTATACAATTTAGAAACTATGATCTGGGAATAATGAAGACTAGTGCACAACAACAGTTATGCAGATGCAGATATCAAAATCTAGTATACTGCCAATTAAATTGACCTGTTTTAAATTACCATTCATTAAGTTAGTATTGTCTTCTCAATATGGGAACTTGACACAGGTGGGGGCGCGCCGGAAGCTGCAGCAGCTGCTGCGCTCTCCAAGGCTGCGCTAGCCGCTCCAGGTGCTGATCATTATTGTTTGCGTGCCTATGCTGACGCTCTAGAAGTTATACCATCAACTCTTGCTGAAAATGCGGGTGAGAGTTTGTTTTATAATATACACTTTTAATCTGATATTTAACATATAACATTTTAAGTTGAACAAGTTTTCTTGCAACAACCTCTTTCGAGTTACATAATATCGATAGCTACACCTCTTGCGCAGGATTAAACCCCATAGAAACAGTGACCGAATTACGAGCTGCACACGCAAGTGGTTCAGCTAGCGGAGCGGGTGTAAATGTGCGGCGTGGGCGGGTCACTGACATGCGTCACGAGCATGTTCTTCAGCCATTGCATGTTACTGCTTCTGCGCTAGCACTCGCCACAGAGACTGTACGCGCCATACTTAAAATTGATGACATTGTAAGTAGCATCTAAATTTTAAATGTGATTAATATATATTTTTTTAATAAACAAATATTATAAATTTATTCCTTTTGTTGCAGGTGAACACCCTTAATTAAATGAAAGCTGTAAATTATATTGTTTTAGTAACTGCTAGCACTACAAAATGATATTTAACACAGTATTGACACTGCTTGAGGTTTTTAGCTTGAGTTAATAAATAATATGTTATTCTTAAAGTGGGCCCCTCCTTAGAAATGGGTCTTGTTTAGTATTAATTCAAATAAAATTATTAACAGTAACATCTTCTTTTATTTAATACATGTATTCATTATTTGATACAAGAAAAACAGGAAACATACTTTATCGTTGATATGGATGTATTTGGTTAGCAGCCTTTATATTTGTTTTTATGGCAGATGGGGCTTTAGGCATATTTGGTGCTGCAGTTCCCATTTGGGGTGTAGGTCCCCGTGATGGCCCAATACCGGGTGGTACAACCCCTGATGGTACACACGGTGGCATACCTGGTCGAAGACCTTTTCCAGTTCCTACTGCAGTAACCAAAGCATGTGTGTCGGCTATACTATGGGTTGGTTGCATGCCTAAAATTGATGAATTGAACATCATTACAAGATTACAAGTGTAGTTATATTAAAATATATTATTAATCTAACAATTATATAAACATTTTATAAGTCAATTAACTATGTGGTTAATGTAAAATAAAATATACTTTCTCTGTAAAATTTTAAAAATTATTTAGATTCATCAAGAAATTTAAAAAATGCTTTGTCTGTTCGTTTTGATTCCAAAAATATTATATAAGTTAAATTCTAAAATTGTCGTGTTTTTATTAACCTTAGGAGCAATTTATATTACTGCCAGGCAGTCTTGCCATTAAAGAAATCGTTCAGACAATAATACGCCTTTTGAGACAATTTAAGCTGTAAAATACAGTATCATTTTAATAAACCAACCTGCAGATCTCATGGATTCTCCTTCCCAGTCTTCCCGGCCTTTGGAAATTATTTCCCAAACATGGCTAATGACTTTCGTGAACTGTGCCACTTGTTTCTAAAAGAAAATTATATAGGTAAATACTGAAAGTTATATGCTATGTAAGTAAGAGCATAAGGATTATTTATATATTGAAGGACATTATTTTTCCTTAAATCTCAATGGTTGCATACCTGTGCAGTATCATAGTTTAATGTACTGGCTTTGTGTATAAGCTGCTGTAATCTTTGCTCAGCCTGAGGTTCCAGCTTTGTACGTAAAAGATCAGGTACCAGATCATGAGTACAAGCTGGGACTCTTCCTTCTGTTAGCCGAGAGAGTTCTTCATCACGCTCACAACCTAGTTGAAGAGGAAGTACAACAACAGACCTTAGAGATGGTGCTAGTTCAGCTTGTAATATTTTACTCAGCCCAGTCAGCTAAAAGTGAAGTTTTCTTATAAAATAAATACAGAATCGAATTCATAACACATTTCTTTCTTAACAAATACATACATGTCCAGACAAAATAGCATAATTGTCAAGAAATGATGGCCAATTAATAGTCTCGTACTCCGTTTCCAATTTTGTAATCAAAGCTTGGATAGCAGTCTTTAAATCATTTACCCTATTAAGGATAGCGTGCAAAGTGGCTTCTAACTGCTTTTCTTCCCTCTGCATCGTAAGGCCGTTGAGTTCTGTACGGTCTGACAGCAAGGTGTAAGTTTGATATGATGCTAGAAATGTATTAAGCACAACTTATGTGTAAATTTGAAATTTCTGAAAACGTAGCTATACCACCTTTATTCGTTTTTCGTAACTAATTCTAGTTCTAATTAAGAGTATACACATTCAATTTTGTATGCTCTTGTTTTATTTGTTATACTTGATTATTCTACTCGCATCCTTGATACTACGATGCCTGCTCGTTTGTGTTATAGATATAGTTGGAAAGTGTTTCCACAGATCTAAGATTGCTGTTTGCTATAGTATATCACTAGTTTCCATAGATTCAAATTAATTAAAATTGTATCTTTGTTGTGTGAAGTTGTTTCTGAACCCTATGTTTAACCCTCCCTTGAACACTTCCTGCCGCCAGTTGTGTAATTTACTTAAAAACAAAAAGTGTTATTGTGCGTTATAAAAATACATCAAAAACTTTATAGGGTCTATATAAGAAGAAAAGTGTGAAGTGAAAGTAAGACTTAGCTTAAAAGTCTCGTTACCAGGCCACTATATAAAAAAAAAATCTGACAACAAGAAAAAAATATATCGTGTTATCAGTAATGCCAAATAATTGAAGTTTAAGTGAATAAACAATCACAAATATAAAGACTTAAAAAGAGATTTCGCGACCTTAAGTTTAACATAATGTGCAATGTCGAACAAATAGCAGACTGTGGTGATATATTAAGTTTGGGAAGAGCATTATTTATTACAGAAAAGGATGGTTTGTTTATGAACAACTGTTTATAACAAAACTAAATTATTTACAATATATTTATTAGATTCGCTTAAACAGGAAGTTGTTTGATTTTTAGATCCAGCTTGGCTATCCCAATGTACGGTTTCGCTGTCCTCCTGTGGCAATTTTTTAGCTGTAGGATATAAATATAGAATTTGCTTTCTTACTACACAATGGATCAATTCTATTGAAAGCAATAGCTACCTTATATCATGGAGTGGTACATTGGCATCGGAAATAACATCAGTATTGGCAGTTTCTTTGTGTCCAACACAGCTCTCAACCCAGGTGGCTACACTTTTTTACATTAAGTCAATTTTACATATCTGCTGCAATAGTCACAGATATAACTGACATCTTCTAGTTGAATTTTATTTTTATTATAAATTAGTTCATTACTTTTTCAGAGTGGGCCTGACTGGTTCTGTGTTATAGTAGGCTTTGTAAATGGAACTGTTGGATTTTATACAAACACAGGACACCTCCTGTTACTTGAAAAGTTAGATGACAAACCTGTAATAAAACTTTCATGCCATACTGGTACCTATGGGACAATGCCTGATGATATTCACGTTCTATTTTGTCATTGTGTCTGCGTCATTCCTGGGACAACATTATTCCAAACTTTAAGAAATGCTAAGGCCCATCAAGCAAAAGGTAATTTACTCATTAATATCTTCACAGGTGAAAATGATCTAAAGTATGCTTATAGGGCTTGAGAAGTGTATTACTAGAATAAGGGGACATACCTGTTAGTAAAATCTTTATGAACAAGTTCTTTTTAGTAAAATTAGAAACAAAAGTGACTAGAACAGTATTTTGTCTTCTTCCAGTGATTTCTTTAGTTCATGTTTTTCATACAAAATGGCCAATTTCATTCTAAACTTAAAAAAATATTATTATTTTAAACAATTGTCAGCCTATGGTTATAAACCATATTAAACAATATAAGGTCTTTATTGTTTTACAGAACAACAAAAAAATTTGATGACCTTAACATTTAATATCTTATTTCTACTTACTAAATAATGAAAAGAAAAAGAACATTTTATTTTTCTCTCTTAACTTCTCTTCTCTTCCTGCTTCTCAAATAACATTCCTATAAACTTATTTAATTATTATTGTAAACAGTAATAATCTAATAACATATACTATTATAATATATTTATTCTTTCATTCATAATAAATATGAGTAATGTGATACAGAAGTGTCAGTGTTAATTCATTAATAATTGTTATGTTATAGTTTATGCAGGCATTCAAGAGGACTCTGCAATAGACAGTAAAAATTTAAACATCAGAAAGTGGACATTCTCTGACCAAGAATCTATCTCTGATGCTGCAGTAGTAGGCCTTGAGCTCAAGAATACTTATGACCATTTACTTGCAGCTTCAACATATGGCGGATATGGCATATGGTTTGTTCAGAGAAGTTATTAGATTACCACATTTCCAAACAAGATTCATTTATTATATGTTTATGCAATAAATGAATTTATATATGAGACTACTAGATGCCTAATAACAAAAAACATGATTTTCAATGAGGAGGACAATAAAAATTATGATAACAATTTTTGGTCACTGGGTTTTTGTAGATTAACAGTTTTCGATTATTAAAATATAAATAACTCAAGAAAGTCATAAAAAAAGCAGATAGGCTACTCTGTCTCTAGCAGCGTCATATATAATCTATAAGTTTATTTATAGTATAAAGTCATAATTTTATATCATAAACATTTTTACTATTTTATTATATGTATAGACTTAATCCTAATGAAATAATGCCCTTGCTATTGTAGGTATCGTAGTGTTCCTCCAGTTAACACTCTGGTGTCAGCAACTGGACAGAGTCCCTACTTAGGTTTTCATTATGCTATTGAAGGGGGTACCACACCCCCCTTACAAGATGTAGCTAGAGCTGTCGCAAATAAAATAAAATCTGCACTTCCGTAAGTGTTTTACATTAAAAATAATAATAAAGGTAAGGTAATTATTAAAATTATAAAATTTGAGAAGAGGGTATTACTATATATTTTTTTACATATTTATACTATTTAGTTGTTTTTGCTTTCAGAGGTTGGCTCGGTGGTTCTATTGAGGCTGCTGCTCCTAACACTGAGCCACTCATTCGAGCTGAATCTTTAATTATGAGAAATGGGATTAGCGATCCTCTGAGGTGTGGGACATCTGTAATTGTATCACCTGATCGAAGACTTGCTGCCATCACAGATAATCTTGGAAGAGTCTCGGTTCTAGATGTCAATAAGGGATATCTAATAAGGCTATTTAAAGGCTACAGAGATGCTCAATGTGCTTTTATCCAAGTGAGTACGCCCAACCATCTACTTTTTAATACTTTTATTCATATAAAAAAAATGCTAAGTTTTATTGCAACTAACAGTTATGGTCAAATTGTAACTTATAATTTAACATTGTTTACAAATAAAATATAGTAAGTTAAGATATAAGAAATGTTGGCAATGTCAAACAAGTAGAGCACAAATTATATATGTATATAATAAAAAATAAATGATTTCTGCCACTTATGAAAAATAAAAAAAATATTTACTCTTGATTCACTGAGTGATGATAATAACCTTTTCTTTCAGTTATTTGACTCTGACACTAAAAAACCGCAAATCTCATTGGTAAAAGATATTAAACGGGCTATTTTTCTTATAATTTATAATCCCAAAAAAGGACTCATTGATATAAGGCTAATGCAACGAGGAAACAGGGTGGCAGTATTTACCGCAACCAAGAATGGCAAGCTTCTATACAACACCTGTGGGCTTGTTGGAGCTGAAAAGAACTATACGCATAAAAAGTTGAACCTACCTGAATTTCAATGTGTGCTTATTGATCCTGACGGGAAACTGAAAACCTTCAATATTCCATTCTACTACTCATTGGAAGGAGTACAGTTGCAGAGGTCAAAAGATTTGTATACCTTACGCGGGATCAGAGAGGTTTTAAAAAAAGGAACTCGTTTAGAGAAAGAAACACTAAATGACGTATTGAAGAATATATCTTATCTTGAAACTTATGAATGTAAGAAGCACTGCACAGATATTCTTATTAAACATTATGAGACATCAAGTAATCTCTTGGTGGCATGTTTAGAAATATTTTGGGACAGCTACAACAAAGACGACTGTGCAATGGACCAGAACATTAAATACTATTTTACAACAATAGTATTAGCAGCTTTATTTTATCGTCACATTCACGCCGAAGATACAAATGATATGCAAAGCTTAGCTTTAAAAGTGTATAAAGCAAATGATATTTTAATTTCGTCTGACGATGTTGCTTATTTACATACAGTTGACGATACTGATTTAAATTTTCACCTCCTGGAAGACGACAACTGTGTTTTGGAACGTTTGTTTATCTTAGCACAGGAAAAAGAATATAAGGAATACCAACACACCAAAGTCACTTTTGCTGATAAACAGTGTAGTACTTTTAAAGAATTTAATTCAAATTTTTATTTCAACGAGCAAAGTAATTACATTTCCTTAAAAGCGGATATCAGTGATGAAAAAATTTCTTATTTGGCATCAGATATATTTAAATCAATTCTAAAATTAAATAGCATGCATAAGATAACAAAATTTATTAAAGTCAGCTTGATTGATCCAAAAGATATCTTTAAACTAGTTATTACGCATTTAATGAACATGCCACTAGAAGATTTTAGTATAGACTTGATCGAGAAACTTATACAGATCTTTTACTACACATGCTGTGCATCAAATGAAGCAACCAGTATAAATTATAATGAAATATCATTATGGTGGGAGAGCATCCGTACTGTAATAATTAATATGACGTGCCCTCTGAGAAGCATGATTATCGCTATGGCTTGTAAAGTGGTAGTTAAAACTTTAGAAACTAAAAATGACAAGGATGATGCTTGGGAGTCAGTGACTGCAGAGAACGCCAAGTGGGGCATTTTGATTGGTAAACTTGAAGATATATCAATCCTTAGCATCATTCTAATATTTAAAGATTCATATCAAGGAAACGCTATGATGAAACTGCAACATGACGATATAAACGTCAATTTCAAGTACATTTATAGCCGTGGAAAAGGGTCAGTCACAGAGTTAATTGCAAAATGGCTTTGCAGTATGGGAGTACCTCCCGAAGCTGTGGTAGCTAATGAAATTATGGAAGCTTATGATGCCGTCCAAGATGATAGTAACGCATGTGATGAAGATCAGGGGATATATATTTTTATGGAAAATAACAGACACTGTGTTGATAAGAATCCCAAAATATTTAAATGGCTTTCCCTTTTAAGACGCCAGTTTCCTTTAAGTACAAAGTCGGATTATATTGTTGCTAATATGTGCTGGGAATATGCCGTCGAATGGCAAAGGTGCATGAGTAAATACGAAGCGTTGGCAGCAGTGGTTCACTGTCTCGAGAACATAAATAATGTACACCTACGACTTGGGATTTTCTCAATCACTTGGTGCACTTACATAAAGCAAATATTTGACGGCTGTTGCCGTTTAGTGAATAAGATAGGAAAGCTACCAAAAGACAATCTTTGTTTACAGGACTTAAACTTTACAAGCGACAATTTAACGAAATTTCTACAAGTTGCAACAACATTTTTGGAAAAGTTTTGCTATTGCTGTGTTTCTGTGTCTGATCAAGAGAAAGTGACGATTCACTTCGAGAAAATATGGGATGAGAGCTTGCCATCTTTAGTTGAGGTTGCGCAGGATACCAATAATGTTAATTACGACTTATTGCATATAGTTTATCAGATATCGTGTACTATTTATTACTTGTGTCATTTTAATCTGAAAGTGTCTAAGCCTCTAGACACATTGTACGATATAGATTATCATAGCGTTCTCGAAGCAGCGGTCAGTACTACAAAGAGAGAAGTTAATTTGAAACCATCAGAAAAATTGTTAAGCCCCAGAATGAAATATTTAACTAAACTCATTCGCGCCGCAATTGAGACCATAACTTGTGTAAATGGTGACGACATTAATAAAATGTACAATGATGATGAGTGCTCAAAATGGATTGAGAATATTTCTAGTCTAGCTGACCTATGGGGCATAAACAACAACCTAGTGCGACGTCAACACGTGAGTTTTAAACCTTTTAGTTTAAATGTACAATAAAATGAAATAAAATTGCATTTTTTATTTTTAGATCATTGGTCTGTATCATTTGGGATATGATTGCCTTGCTGAAAATATCGTAACTGTAATAAATGAACCAGAATTATTGCTACCACCTCTTCTTGCTATAACAATTCAACGGTTTAAGAGAAGTCTAGAACACTCGAACAATCAGCCAGAGTGGATTGTTTCAATGCCACCACAAGTTTACAAAAGGATTCAGAACACGGTATGTTTGTAGATTTTAAAGCAAAGAATATGAACTTCGTCATGTTCACCCTATAAAATCATTAATCATATCTATTTTTGACAGTATTATCATCGACCAATAAGGCCAATTTCTATTTATTATTATAATTTTAAAAAAAAGCTATATAATAGTATTGGTTTAATTTTCAGCCTCTGGATTCATCGATTCCCTCGCATCCATCTCTGAAGTCGACCAGATCCTTTCTTCAGAAGTTGTTAATAGAAATTGATAAAAAGGCAACAAATACAAATAATGCTGATCCACAAGACTTAAAATTTGCAAAACTTCTTATTGATAGTTGCGAAATTTTGTTACGCAAAGTGCTATAAGTCATGTTATGTGTCTATAAAAATATATCTGATGGTGTTATCAAGCAAGTAATGCGTATATTAAATTTTTTCTTAAATTATAAATCTATTTAGAATAAAAAGAAATTTACGACACGAGCGCGACTTGAGCCGGGATCCAAAGCGTTCAGGGCTGTTACACTAACCAATTGAGCTACCGTATCCTACACGCCATCGACGATTTTTGCTCAATGTTATTTTAACTTGTTTAACATCTACTGGTTGAGGTTTAATTTCTTATGCCTAAAAAATCATTGAAGATGAAACTACAGAATTTAACGTTTGAAAATTTTGTGCACATGATGGCATTATATAAATTAAAAATCTATTTAAATTTATTCCTCAGCTGTAAACCATAAGGCATTGAACCTCAATACGAAAGTGGTAAGGTCTAGATTTTTAAGTATTCAAACATTTTCTCTTTTTAAACAAGTTAAATAGGTATATTACTGATTGTTAGTGGTTTCCCACCTAGTACAAAAACATCCTGCTTTTGAAGTCATCATGAAGGTACTTAAACGTTTAAATAAAAAAACCCGACGTTTCGGATGCTTTGCAGCAGCCGTGTCTCCCCGTGACCACGTTTGATACAAAGCATCCAAAACGTCGGGCCAAAGTTAAAAATCATTTTTAAATAAGTTTAACTAATATATCGCGTTTTAAACCGTTAGTGTTTTATTCCTTATAGTTATTAAAATTATTTTTACTATATGTACCAGCATATTCGGCGTACCCGTACCATTTACGCCACGAGGTAGCAGCAGTTTTCAAAGCTAGTTTAATAATAATACTACAAGAAACAAGAAAAATTTTGACACCTCATACCATCAGTTAATATTGTACAAATAGTCAAATACAGTAAAATAATATAAGAGTACTATATTAAAAAAATACAAAGTTTTGTTTAAATATTAAACAGCGAATATAACTTTTTTTGTGGTTAATTTGTTAAGGTAGACAGATAGGACCCTAACAACTAAACAAATTTCCCATTCATAGAATTAAACCCTATGTGCTACTTGTGCCCCACTTTTGATGGTCGACGCTAAAGCTTAACAAAATTTAGTTAGTCATGTTGCTACGAAATGAATGGTGATGTATTCAGTGATACACAACACGTAATTACAAGTCTTGATCTTGAAGTGCCACTACCAAGCAAGAATTTTGCATATAAAATTTGACTCAAAAGCCTTGTTTCTAAGCTATTAAAACTCCGAGGCATTTATTGTACATCTATCGTCTGTGTAACCTAAAATGATTCAACCGTAATCTGTGGCTGAGTGTCATTTTGTTGCACTACCTACTCTGGTATGTCCATTAACTCTTGTTATTATTATAAACAGGAAGTTTAAAATAAGTGTTATTTACTTATTTCGCCCCACTACTTACCTACCTGACTATCTTTTCAAACGAGAATTAAAAATAATGTCTTCAATGGAAGAAATAGAAGATGAAGCAAAAGCAGCTGCAGAGAAAATGGTTATGAATATGATGCAAAGACCAGGTCAGTTGGAAAAAGTAAGTAATTTTGTACATATAAAAGTTTGTAACAAAACATTCCGCTAAATAGATTAATAAACGAAAAATAAGTTAGTCTACTAAAAAAGATGGTAAACACTACTTTTCCTTTTTTAAAGGTGGAACAATACAAAAAGAGAATAACACACAAGAAAGCTTCTATAGAAGCGCAACTAAAGTCAGCTGTTCAAGGTAAACTAGATGGAGTCAGAGTTGGGCTACAACAATTACAAGAATGTCTGGATGATATACAACAAATTAGTTTAAAGTAAAGAACTAACTATTGTTTTTTTTAAATGTTAAGTAATATTAATAAGATTTAACTTTAAATTTATTTCCTGTATAGAATGGATGAACTAGAAGATCTTTTAAAAGGAGTACCGCCACTTGTAGCAACTTTACAGGCAGTTAGAGAGGAAGACTGTCGACACTCGCAATATGTTACAGCTATGGACAGCCTAAAACACATATTTACTGTACCAGAAAGTGTAGCAAAGACTAAGCAATGGATTGGTGAAGGAAAGTTGCTTCACGCTCATCAGGTTATCATTAAAAGTTATGTCTAGCGTAGTAACTGTACAGAACCATCCAGAATTTATCCTTTACAGATTTCATGATTTTTTAGACTAACAATGGAGGTTCAATGATAAACCTCCAGTCAAATCTTGTAATTGTACTTTAGACAATATAATATATAAACTAGTCTTAAATAGGAAATCAAGACCCTATCCTAGACCTAGGGTGAGATATTCGTAGGGAATTACAAAAGTACATAAGATAAATCAACTTTTAAATAAAACACTTTAACAGTATAAAACGCGATATATTAGTTAAACTTATTTGAAAATTATTTCTAACTTCGGCCCAACGTTTCGGATGCTTTGCATCAGCCGTGTTCACGAGTCCCCATGACCACTTTCAAAAATCATTTTCAAATAAGTTTAACTAATATATCGCGTTTTAAAACGTTAAAGTGTTTTATTTAAATATTGTCTAATACTCATGTAAACTATAGACAGTATGAATCAACTTGTTGAATTTACAGTATATTTATTTGTAATTTTTAAACATAACAACATTTTTCTTGCATAATTTCTTATATATTTTTATTCATTTTCAGTGTCTCAGCGACTTAGAAAACTCAAGAGATGATTTACTTTATGAGTTGCACAGATTACCAAACCAGTCTTCGCATGACAAAATAATGTTAAAAGCATATTTTGATGATGTTCAGGCTGTTTCAGAATTATTAGAGAAACAAATAAAACTAATACTAGCTAGAACATTGAACACGGTTCGGAAGGAGCCTACAGTTATTGTTACTGCTTTAAGAATAATTGAAAGAGAAGAGAAAAGGGACCAAATGGCAATACAGGTACACGGTATTATTCCACATACTTTTCAACCTGTCTTTGTTTATTTAACTAGTAATGAAAATAGTAAAGTGTGTTGCCTTGCCTCTCTCAGGGTTACCCCTCAATATTAAATCCAAGATCTCTCGCGCATACAGTAGCATTGCAAAAAAAAAAATCATCAATCAATGAATATAGGCAGTCTTTAATTATGTTTGTTTCCATTTTAGCAGCAAGATCAATCTGGCTTTATGCCACCAGGGCGACCAAAGAGTTGGCGACAAATGGCATTTAAGGTGTTAAAATCTGCGGTTAACGAACGTATCGAAGGCACTCGTGTAGACGAACGAGAAGATGATAAACTATGGCTCATCCGTTACTTGGAGTTAACACGACAACTTATATTAGAGGATTTACGAGTGGTGAAAACACTCTGCGTACCCTGCTTCCCCCCGCATTATGATATAGTTAACAAATACGTTGACATGTATCACAGTTGTTTATCTGCAAGTGTTAGTAAGATTGTTATTTTACTAATATTATAAAGAAAATTTAGTAAAATATTTTTTAGGACAAACCACAATAGAGTAACAGCATACTTTGCTGCTGTTTCGAGTAGCAGTTGTTTTATTCTTTTTAAATATATATTTTATTTAAACACTGTTTAAACGGTTTAAAATGTGTTATATATTTGCTAAACTCCACCCCTGACCACCGCTGCCGCAATGCAACTAAAATGGGCCGTAGTTATAATAATTTTCAAATAACTAGTTTATTTCGCGTTTTTAACCGTTAAAGTGTTTTATTTATATATATTTTGCGTAGTTCATTTTTCTTATTAATATCATGCGTCACAGTACATGTTTAATTACAGCTACAAGATGTTGTTCAAAATGGTTTGGAGGGAAACGAATATGTAACTCTGCTGTCGTGGATACTCAATACCTACCCTGGTTCTGAATTGATGGGTAGCCCAGAATTGAATATTGATGTTTCAACACTAAAACCACTGCTTGCCAATGACATCATGCAGAAATTACAAGATGATTATTTGCAGGTAAACCTGTTTATTAAACGAAATATTTCATTAAATACACGCCACTAAATATATTGCCTAAAAATAATAATAATTTCCAGCATAATGTCGATACCTTACAATACCCATTTATGTATATTTTAGAACTTAATTATTTTTTTATAGAAAATGGAATTAAACTACCGTGAATGGATGGACAAGACATTGGAGTCTGAGCGAGCGGAATGGGGGGGGCGATCGCTCCCCCCGACGTCGAACCACACACTTCGGCCTTCCACACACACGCCCCCGTCATCATATTTCAAATGATCGATCAAAATCTACAGGTCTTTACTTATTTACATATGTATAAATTGATATTGGAGCCGGATGCCACACTTGCTCCAAATCGTTTCACCCATTTTGTCATTTCTTCCTTTACGAAGGATGTTGGGTTATGGAACTCTGATCTAGTTGTCAATAAACTCGACAGATCATGAGGTTCTATACCTAGTTACGAAATCTTATTTCGGTATTTGGATTTTGAAACTTTAGTTGGGTCCTGGTTATTATTACTAATTTAGTGGTAATAATTGTGGGAGCCAGCTAACTCGCCCTGGGGCGGCGTGGTGGGTCTAACCCTTAATCCCTTTTATGAGAGAAAAGACCTAAGCTCACCTGTAAAACAGTAACAGGTTGAACTAATAAAGAACTAAATATTACTTTTACTGACTTATTTTGAACACTACAGTAATGATGTGAGTTTGATTTCAGGTAACAGAGACGATAACAAAAGACATAACATTTCAAGCTCTCTTGTTAAGTATTGAACAAGTTACACGTTTTGGGAACATGTACAGGGAAGGAGTTATACAATTTAAGGTAAACATAATATCATATGTTACATAATTAAAATAAATATAATTAAGTAAGTCTTAAAATTTTAATGCCATCAGCAAAGTAGTGCTCAAGTATTTCGTGTTCCAAACCATTAAAACTAGTAAATCTGTGACCGGTTTTTAATCTATACTAAATAAATAAATCATCTTTGTGTCGGTTAGAGCATTTATCGAAGACTTCATATAAAACATCGCGCTGTGACTATTAAAACAAGCGAAGATACAGAAAACAGGAATAAATATTCATCAATATCGACGATGTCTCGTATGATTCCTCTTGAAATGATCCAAAAAAAAGTCCGCGACAGTATATGTCAAACGTAAAAAAGTATATGTCAAAGAACGACGGGACGCGAATAAAGTCGTGGGTATAAGCTAAAAATTATAGAGTTGAACAGGACGTTTGCAACAACAAACTTGATGCCCATAATAACTATTCTACGCGGACGAAGTCGCTGACTGAGCTAGTAAATAATAAAATAAGAACTCGCGTATACTCTTCGTAATAAACAACAGACAGTAGGTATTTAGAATACAAATAGTGTACGTTTTCAGAACGCTCTCTTTGCGGACAGAGCTCGTGTGCCGTTTTTCACGCGCCACATGATAACAATCGTGAACAACAGCGAGCAGATGGTGCGCCTGGCGCAACAGATGCAGACGCGGCATTGGCCCCCCGGACGACACGACCCACCCGCCGAGGAGAAGTTCAATAAGATGCTGGCCACATTCCAGGTTTGACGCCTGCTTTAGATACAACAATAAGCTTTTTTAATAGTGTCTGTAGTTTACGTGAGTAGTACACATTTAAATAAACACTTTAACCGGCCAGCTTCGCCAAATACCAACTTCGACGGAACAGATGGCGCTAGCGTAGCAGTTTTTTACTTTGACGTCAGAGACATCCTCCATCTTTAGTCTCCCCGTTATCACGGCTGCTGCAAAGCATCCGAAACATAGAACCGTAGTTAAAAATGATTTTCAAATAAATTTAATTAATATATATCGTGTTTTAAAACGTTAAAGTGTTTTATTTAAATAAGCTTTTTTAATTATAGATAAGTATGGAGTTCACTCGATGGTGGAATTGTTAGTGTCACTTGAAGGTATTCCACCCAGAAACCAGTATACGTCAAACCGTATACCATACATTAATTTCCTTTAAAAAATGCATAAGACTCCCTTCGTTATTATTTGGGTAGGTTTTAGGAAGATTAGGTATTAGTTATTTATTAGGTACTTCCCTTTGCTTAGATTTCGCGAGTAGTCCACGTTTATGTCGCTTGATGGTTTGAAATCATAATTACCGTTTTTTCTAGAATCTGCGCGATGAAGCGGCACGTTTTCTACTCGAAGAGGCGTTCTTAGATCTCCAAAAGCATTTCGATGAACTCTTTACTGCAAATTGGTTAGTCACGACGATTCCGGTAGAGACAATATGTGTTACGCTCGACGATTATTTCCACGACTATAACCATTTGAGGGAGAAGAATTTCGAATACGTAATAAACGAAGCGCAATGTATGATTTACAAAAAATATATAACGGCAATGTTATCCAAGAAAATAACGTTTAAAAGCGTCGAGGAAGCTCAGCAGGCGGCGACAAAAATTGTGGAAGAGGCTAACCAAATTCGGGCGTTCTTTAAGAAGATAAAGTCGCAAGTCGTCGCAGCTGAAGGTATTAATGTCGACTGGCCTTTTGAAGTCATCACCACTTTGGCTGAGGTAAGTATCTGTTTTTGTTATAAAGAGGGTTTCCACCTTCCAATAGCTTTTCATCTGTAAAAATACCAAAGTAAATACTAGAACAATAGATTTGATTTGACAAAGAGTAATAAGTGTAACTTATAGTGTATTTTATGATAAAAGAAGACAGACATTAGCTTAACTTGACGAAGATGCGCTTTCGCCCATTTTCGGTTTGGATATTCGGAAATCCACAGATGCCGCAGAGAGGCGAAATCACGATAAAACTTAACGATTTCCCTTCAAACACTTTAGTGTAAAAATTAAAGAAGCCGAAACCACATAATATCGAATTAGACTAATTTGCAAATTTTTGTAATAGGAATCGTTACGATTTTCGTTATATAATTGTATAAAGCGATGTTTAACATTTAACTTTATGTGAACAGCTTTTATAGTATTATATCTTATCGTAGACTCCCTTATACAGGTACTCCGATGTCAAGATATTGAGATGCTGTCTTTAGACCTTCACGGGGTGGTGGATAAGTGCCCAGAAGTGTCAGAGGAGCAGTTGGCCCGCCTTGTGCTTTTGCGTGGCGACGTACCTCGCGCCCATGTTCGAGACATGGTGGCCCACGTGCGCGCCACGCGTCGTCCTACCCGCCCTTCTACCAATCCATCCCTATTCAAAGATATCGTCTTCAACGATAGATTACTTTCACACTTCACGCTTTAAGCAAATCATTAGCAATTTTTGACGTAGACATTCCGTGTTGGCGTGGTCACCATTCACCAACTAACACTGCAAACGGTAATGTATATACGATATCATAAGTGTTAAAAAATTGTTAAAATGACAGTTTTATTCAGTTAGATTTATAATTTGTACTATATAAATCTCGACTTTTCAGAGTGTTATTATCATTATTATTTTTACGAACAAATCGTTAAACCCCTTTAATCTTTATTTAAAAATATATGTAAATTAAGTACATAAAATATTTTGTATTGTATTTAGTCAAAATATAATTATATATAGTTATTTTTAATAAATTTATCGCTACGCAAATGAACTTGTTTTACTAAGATACTGTGTATTAAACACAATGTCTTTGTTTTTTAAGATACTGTGTATTAAACACAATGTCTTACAATTAAACCTTTAATTTCTAATGTAAGACGACAGCCGAGGCGAATATTTTAAAGTTTAAACGGTAAGAAAATTTTCTCATACGCAATAACAGTTTCGTCATTATGTATGTATATCGCGGCCGAGACGGCAGCGGACGCGCAAATTATTTGGAGAATAACAAATAGTTTTTCACGACGGACTTTTAAATAAGACGAGGCAATTTTGTGCGTACTGTTCTGATACGTTATGTTTAGGATTCAGAGGCGTTGGAACTCGTTTTCGTGACCAGGGCAGTAAGAGAGGGCGGGCGGCTTTCCGCTTCTGTCCTGTACGACAATGTGGCGCTTAGGTGTGCTGTTAACTCTTATTGCAGGTAAGAAGATAACTGCTTATCATGTTAACATGTTGGAAATTTCGCAACAATGGGATCTTTCTCATCTATAGTTAACTCGGCGAATGTGAGTCATACATCTAATAACAAATGAATCGAGCATTCTCTTCGTTTTCTAATTTATAAATCTTGTTTTGATAATCACATAAATAAACTAGGGACTTTAATTTAGTATTAGGGATAAAAATTCCTTTTAATGTCAGATAAGTAAAAGTATTTAGGCATTCTGCACATTGTTTGTATGAAATAAATCAAATTTTCACTTAGTGGTATACTATCCCTCTATGAGCATACATTTTGATACAGTAAATATTTGTACAATACGGTAGGAATTGAATTAGTAAATTTATAAATCATCAAAATATTTTACGGTCTGTCATAGCTACAGGTATATTAGTTATAAGGCAATATTACTCGTAGTAAATAAAGTTTAATAAATTTATTTCTTTTTATATGAGGAATGGCTGTATGAGCACAGAAGCAGTCGTATAGCGCATCCTCTTAAACATGATTAGATAATAATACCAACTCTATCGAATAATTCGATAATCTTATAATCGACGCGTGCGATATGCCTACACTGAGGTCGCTGCCGACCGCGGTGGTATTTTTAACATTCCCGGACCAACTCAAGGTTGGCCAAGATAGCTGCTTATTCATTAGTATATGACCTAATTTTATATACGATTCAAAAAGGTTCTATCAAAATAAACTATTATATAAATACATCGCGTTACTAATCGATTTTATTTGAGTAGTTGATCACAATGTGTCCTGCTTGAAACCATATGTTTAGTTTCCAAACATATGAAGCCAGGACCTCTCATCCTTTATGTTAATAGAAAAAATATCTGTGTACTAACTGTAACCCTGTAACTAGTGTGTCTTATGCTGTACAACCGCAAACATAATTTAAAAATTAATGTAGGCGGACGGAGCACTGCTGTATATCATAAAGATGAATGGTGGCCTTTGAATTTAACTATGATCTAATGACAAATAGTAGTATTATCGCATATTCTAATTGTGCAATATATTCTCAACCTAATTACTACCCTTAAATAATTATAATGTTATTAATTTTGTCTATGAGTAAGCAGATAGTCGGCCCACATCAAACCACCTTTTTTATTCTAGGTATACACCGTACACTGCTTTTACACCACTTTCCACCGTCACACGTAATTTCCTTACTTTAACTTAATTGAGTTTCGATGAAGGATTTATCAGGCATCTCCATATAATCATCGTCGTTACTTCGCTTATAAATAAACCACTGGCATCTTTAATAAACAAACATAAAACCGTACTGAACGTATCATAAAATCCTGGAATCCCACGGAAATAAATTATTTTCGGGAGCGTTTTGTTTGCTTCCCATGCCAGGTTCAAGGCATATGCCAAGACAATTTGGTAACATTTGATACTATCACTTACAAAATCTTAACAGGTGATATAAAAGTAATTAGACATAACTTTCAATTCATTTATAGTAAGTGACTTTACAATTGACTTCTACGTTTTTGTATCTGTTTTACTGATCTATTAATTATTTATAGACTAGTAATTAATCAACCTTATTTGTCGTATAGACCGAAATAATTAAACGTTTCGTTGCAATTCGAACTCAGAACCACTCGCATTAGAAGCGGTAATGGCAGTAAAATTAATTCTAATACAATCGACGAAATTTAGGGATGTAGTGAAAGCACATAGTACTTATATGTTATCGCATTATTCTTTTCAGTTAGCGAACAGTTATCTATATTAACGTTCGATGTACCAAATGCAGTACGAGCGGGTGACGACGCTGCACTGCGTTGTCAATATGAGCTAAGTCCTGATGAATCAGATAAGACATTATTTGTGAAGTGGTGGTGGACGCCGATCAATGGCTCCAGCGACGAACGAAGTCAACTGTACCAGAGAATTGCTGGACGGGACCCAGTTGCGATACATCATAACATAAGTTGGTTTTTTATTTTTTTCAACGATACTTTTGAATAGGTTGAGATAATATATACAAGTTTAAAATGCTGCTAATATGTGTGTGTGGTTCCGTTTGCTCTGTGCGAAGCGTGAGGCAGACATTTATCTGTATCCGATTTATTGATAGATTTAACTAACAGTTCATTGTACTTCCTGACTAAAACAGCTACGTATTGAAGCGAAAATTTCATGCACTCGGACTTCGGAGGCGACTATAATAAATATAATTATGATAGTTATTTCCATCACTTTTAAACTTGGCCATGAAGCGTGCCATATTAACTGAAGGCATAAAGTGTTCGTGTATTTAGGCTAGTTAAACGTATAATTACCAATGTTTCAGAAATAGAAGAAAATGACGGCATTTTATTGCTCAACGTGTCCGTGAAGGATTCTGGTGTATATGAGTGCGAGGTATCAAATATAGACGAAGTTCGAGTCTATGAAAAGTTAATAGTATTCAGTAAGTTTATAATATTCCTTCAAACCTTGAATCATTATAACTAGTTCACATGATAGCTAATATAAATTTAGATTTTATTTAAGATCGATATATCATCTTATGAGGCCGTTCTAATTGCATACCAGCAATAACATACCCACTAAAATAGATTTGTCTTAACTTTAACTTTAGGAAGAATGCCACAATTAATTTTATATCCTACGCACTCTTACTTTATTATTTACGACAACTCAAATTTCACATCAAAATACAATAATACATAAATTACGAAAGGCCAAAGTAGCTTGAACTGAATGGCTCAAAAAGCAACATACGAGGAAACAGAACTGATCGTAAATAGATTAAATTAAACTATACTTAATACTTATTATACTATAAACATTTTTCGAAGAACAATTACTATTACTTATTTTACTTTTTACAAACATACACTCACTCGTCACACAAATACAATCATGCATTCACATAATACACAGTCTCACACACTCATTTTTAACTGACCAAAGTTAATCAACATAATTATAAACTAAATGTCAATCTTTTAATGTAGATAATACGGGAAGGATCGAGGCTGTTCCAACGCAAGTTAGTAATAAACTCTCTGGAATAGCCTTAATACTATTTGTAGTTTAATTATTAAGAGAGAGACAATAAACATATACATATATGAACATAAACGAAGATTTTTTACTTAAGTAGTAATGTATCCCATTACTAATTAGTTACGTAAAGCTTCTTTCTAGTATTCAAATTGAAATAAACTTCAGTTTATACTGTGACTGTCTTACACAAGTTTAAATTTTTAGAACGCTTAGCCGATATCTTTATGTAGCTTCACGGGAGAGCATGTGGCAAAATGAATACAAATGTAATAAGGCTCTAGGTGTTGTTATGAATATTGTAATTATTCCAGCTCCTGGTAGCGGTGTAGAACTAGACGTGATAAGGACAGAAGACGGCCCAGATGCCGACGAAGACGAGGAGGTGATAGTTTCCTGCAAAGTAGAAGCAGTTGCACCTTACCCGCATTTAACCATCACTGTTGACGGGTGACTTATTATTAATTCAACGCTTCATACACCCAAATCTTAGATTTCATTTGAATAGTTGTTTAGTGACTATTAGGTATCCACGTTGGAAGTGTATGATATGACATGCCGTTTTTGTGATGTTGCCGTAACTGAAGTAAATATTACGCGTTTCAGGGAGTTGGTTAATACAACAGATTTAGTGATCAATTCCTCTGATGAGCTGTATGACGCCTATAGCAACGTGACATTATCGGACGACGCAACTGCCGGCAGCGAGATTACCTGCCGTCTTGCATTTGCTGATGTCAATGTAACAGACATTTCTTTCGTTGCCACAGAAATTTATAACGGAACCGGTAAGTATTTTTGTTCAGCCCTTCCAAGTGCTGGAACTTTAAGAGTGCCTCAAACTGCTGGCCTGTACCTATTGGCGGAGGACAAATATTGAAATTTTGCCTCTCGGTGAAGAAGAAGTTATTGACACGGCCTATCTATTTGTCAGATGCACGCCATGTTATACTTACATAGTGCACAAGTCTATTGTTCTTACGACTAAACCAATGTGCCCTCATGTTTTAGCATACAATATCTAATATGTATATCTATTAAACGTTAAGAGAGGTGTGTGTTAAGAAAGTTGTGCAACTTTGTATGACTATATTTCCTAAAGTTATGTGCCGGACACCCTCTTTCCCGAGATTATTTAATCTACTTATTTATACGTATAACGGTTAGAAAATGTTTTTAAATGGTATTGTATATAAGTTTTGGTGTACCTACAAAAATATTACGCGTATATGCAACCTTTCTGCGCCTCCCTGGGGTCCTACAATTTACTTCTTGTGTCCAAAATACTTATTAATAAGTACTCTTATTAAAAAAATAAATACAGTACAGAGTTGAGAGGGTAATAATGATGGAGTTCATACTCCATCCATATGATATTAAAAGTTGTATTTTCAGTTGCTATCTAACATATTCATCTAACAAAACAGCTGTGTATAGTGCCTGAGTCTACAAACTACTTTAATTACATTAAAAAAACACTTTTAACGTTTGAGATGCAGTATATTATGTAGTAACTAGTAAAATACTTAGCTGATTTTTACTACGAACTATAATTCAGATGTAATGTGTAGAAAAAGAGGGGTACGTTAAGAGTGTTTTATTACAAGTATACCACTCGTGTAACAACAGACAATACTTACTTTTATTTCATTAGCTCACCATTTAATTTGGAATGACTACAGCTTGGTTATGTGATGCACTAACTTGCTTTGGTTGTTAAAATGGCAGGATTGACAACGGAGAGTACCACTGAAGTGGCTTCTACAGAGGCCACAGAAAACTATGAAATCAACTGTAAGTTTCGACGCCCATCCCGTAAATTTATCTCATAAACTCTTAATTACGTAAATATTATACTTGCTTAAAATCGAAATTAGTATATTCAATTATTAAATATTGTATTGTACTTATTAAAACTGTAATTTATCTAATATGCCCAGTAACTAAAATCCATCTTTTATAATATTATATAATATACGTAAATACGTATCTAATATATGTTTCTCTCTGATAATTAAAACGCTGCACGACAAATTACCTTACAAAAAGTAAATATTATTTTTGCCAATTCTTTAAGCTTTATTGCTACAATAATATTTTATAACATTATGTATTCTTATATAGATAATAAGAATAATAATTCATCCGGTGCGCTAAATATCAGCGACTCTTGAGCGACTTTAAAAAATAAGCCCTTTTTTTCTTTTTTTATTCATAAGCAAACTTTTTTGTTTGTACGCGCATAAATTCGTCGTTCATGAATCGATTTATTCTTTACTATTATCTATATCTTTTATAATATTTTTCGTGTAATTAATTTGGATTGTTCATTAATAATTTTCATTTCGTCGTAATAAATAATAAACCCTATTGAACATACTTAATTATCTTAAGCATGATCTTAAATTAATGTTGTATAAATTTTGTTTTCAGCTCAAGCACTATCTTCGGTATCTTGGAGCGTCATCATCTTGGCCGTTTCTTTTTTATTATATTAAATGTTGAATATAACTTATAAATATTAAAATTAGTATCATTGCGATCATATATCACATAAAGTATATGCACAAAAAAGGGTTTTAACAAAGAAAAGATAAGTTTTATATAAATATACATTTATTTACAATTTCTATTATAAATTAATAGTATTGCCATCGGAACGACTGGTAAGACAAATTTATGTATTCGTATAAAAAGGAACAAAATTTTAAAGTGTGCTTCAAGCTGTTGTACGATATTTCCAGGTAATATATTGTAGTCATAAATAGTTTGTAAAGAATAGCTTCTTAATTATTTCATCCCTATGTTTTCTGAGGCCTCATATATGTATTTTCGATAGTTCTTGACTTTGTAGTTCCGTAGATGTGGTCCACGTTGTGAATAAAAGTAATGTTCTTTAACAGTTTGTTAAGTTTAAAAAATCTTTTAATGGAGTAAGGGGGTTGCCACAGAGCTTTGTGGGTTAGAAGGCATTAATGGCTTCAAAGAAGAGTTTAGGTTAAAATCCGAATTAAATATGGTATTAACCATTACGAGGCCTACAAACATAGGAACGAACAATACATTAATTTATTGTAATATGAAACTTCTTATTTCTTCCTTGATAAATGCATAAATTGTACTACTTTGTTTACTTAAAAACATATATAGACACCTGTTATACAGATAACAACACATTTACCTAAAAATTTCTGAGTATAACCCTAATACAACTAAGACATTACACATTTTGCTATCAGTTATTACATTACATAATGTTACTTCTAATAATACACTAATGTATTATTACAAGTAATAATTTGTTAACAATTACATACATAAAACATTGTTTTTTATTTTAAACAAAATAACTGACATTAAGACATCCTACATGGCCTCACATGTAGCAGCCATTAAATATATACCTACTTAACTTCTCAAATATCATGAATAATGATTCTAACAACGATATTATGCATGTACTATTTATTTGGCCACATTAAAATCTTATGTAATTTTACCTATAATTAAATTTCTTTGGTATCAATTTATTATACGGTACATTTTATAACTCTATAGTTAGACCTTTAATTCTATTTCCGGAAAAGGACATAGAAAATCAAGTACAATACAATGCTATAATATTTGGCCAGTCATTTTGGCATGTTTTAATACAGCGTTATTATTTATAATTAAAAATATTTGGTTTATTACAGAGTACCTACTAATAAATAAATAAAATAAATCTAAGCTATAGAGACCAGTATATTTTTGCCATTATTTCACTGTGCTTAAATGTCTCACTCTTATTGTGCTTCTCAACGCAATAATTATTTTGTAAAAGTTATTCACCTAATTATACACATTACAATAATCTAGATCTATATTTTAAATACTACACTACAATTATACAAAATTAATTTGATTTGACTTTGGTCAGCAACATTATAACTTTGGTTGTGCTGCGCAAAAGTATGTTTATACAGATATTTATTCAATTGATTGAGATTGTAATTTTTTTAATCTTCAATGATTTTTACTCTTTACTTGTGAAACTATATATTAGACAATATATATAGATTTTCTTTTACTTCCTGTCACAAGCATTTGCGATTATTACACAAGAATTGTGCTTACTCTTACGGCACGCATCTAAATTGGCATCTGCTGCTGCTGCAACAGATGTTAGAGCTACAGTTTTATCAAAATCTATTGTTGTATAGCCAATGCTTGCAGTCGGCACTGATGTTACATTATTGCTGCTCGAACTCTTATCAATGCTATTTTGTGAGACCATACGACTTCTAGCATGAGAAGAGTAAGAAGCAGTGCTATCGTTTTTAGAACTATTATTTGATTGACTTTCAGGACTAGCTGCTTGTAAATCTGTCCTTAATGATTCCTTATTTGTATCAATATCTAAAACAGCATAATTGACTTCCAACTCTTCTACTGGTGACATTGAAGTAAATGTATCAGATTCAGAAAATTTTTGGTGGTGATCATGCTTCCTCAGGCTATCGGCCATTTCACCGATCATAAGATTGGCATAGGTGTTTACCTCAGGATTTGAACCAATTGTCAAATTGCAATATTCTACTGGTTTTGGTGTAACTGGTGTTAGAGGTAATGGGTCGTTCTTAATTACTTCTGTCGCAGAAGCATTTACAGGAGCAATATTAACATATAATCTAGAAACATCTTTTTGGTCAACATTATTTGTCATTGGTAATGATTCTGTTTCAGTATCATCTGCTTTAGTTATAGTACTTTCTTTTGTTGTTGTGTCTTGGGATGGTCCACTCTCATTTTCCATGTATCTACCTTCAAGAAATCTTGTCTCATCTTCAATGTCTCTTATTGCAATTAGGGCCATTTCACGTCTTAATGTCTTTCTTAGCACAGCTAAGTCTCTGTTTAAATCATTTGTGTACATATGTCTGCCATCTGTTATGGCTTCTGTCTGATTATTATTATTATGTTCTCTTTTAAAATTTCTCACTTGATAAACATTGGTAGCATGAGTATTGGTTTGAGCGCGGTTCTGTAAAGGATTTATAACTTCCAATATATCTGCACTTGATGGAGATCTTGGGGCTGGGTTGCGTGGTAGTGGGGGCAATTCTGGTTCTGGCTGTCCATTATCTACTGAAGACCTATGAACTACAGTTGCTTGAACAGTTTGTCTACTTTGATGCAAAGGATTAATTCTTGATACAGGGTAAGTAGTTGTATCATGAACTACATTTAACAATTGAATTTGTTGTTGCAATGTACGAAACAAAACCGATGCCCGTCGACATCTAAATGCATAGATTCCTTCACCTGTTTCACATCTCCTACCTGTAATTATGTAATGTATATTAAATATGTATAATCTCCCTTTGTGAAACTATTATATTATATGTGCTAATTTAAAAAAATATACATATTCTTATTGGAAAATACCTTACCTGACTCAAAGCTAAATAAGTCTCCTTCAAAGCCGTATCGTCTTAAAGAATGTAATGGCCATACAGTAGAATCTCGGCCTTCTCTATAAAGGATAATATCAGATTCCGTGATTTCTAATTGGCCGGAACATAGGTCAGTTCCATTTTCGTCAATATTGACTACACGAAATATATTGGGATGCAGGTCTGAAATTTCCTTCTTGCTGTGAAGGCAACCCATTGTAGAAATATCATACAGCAGCGGAAAATTATTTCATGAAGTTATATCTAACTCCTTTCAACGCACTATTACTTAGAAAATACAAGCATTTTAAACAGAAAATTTAAGACCCCTTCCTTAATACAGAATCTAGATACTATTCCGCAGTAAGTGGGTACTCATTATTTAGTTTAAATCGGCGAAGTTCTTATTTAATGCCTAATACACCAATTACAAGATGCATATTTGGGTTTTTATTTTAATAAACATTGGGTCACAATCAACACAACTCACAATCATTACTGATATTCACAGATTACAAATCGTAACATTACTGTTCAATAGTAAGACCACAGAGTTGTATATTTGTATTTTCGTTTGAATAATATCAATACTATCTGTCATCTATGTTTAAGTTAAAAGAGACAGCTGATTGCAATAATATTAAACATTTATGCAAAAATGACTACTCGTTTAGAGGAACTATTATTTAGGTCTTTAGTCGAATGTGACGAAACCGCTGTTTTGCATTATGTATCTAAAGGTGCGAATCCAAATAAAATAACCAGCCAAGGCAAAACATGCTTAGGTGAAGCATGTAGAAGAGGAATCATATCTTTAGTCAAATTGTTATTGGAGTCATGTAATGAAGATAGCACAGAAATATCAAACGTTGATTTAAAAAGAAAACGTTTTAAATCTCATAAAAGAAAGTTTAAAGCTATAGAATACAATGGAAATGTAAGCAAATGTGAACACCGTAGTGAAGAATATCAAGTTGATGGAAACAAATCAAAATTGAACAGTAATAAAAGTCAGGATTATGTTGTTCTCCTGAGTAGTGATGGCTCAAGTAGTGATGAAAGTCGAATAGGCTGTAATAGTAAATCTCCAACAAGCCCCTTATCTTCAACAACAGTACCTTTAGCTGATTTGGAATGGGATGAGGATATAGGTACATTTGCACCCAATACAAGTGAAGATGAGACATGGTCATCAATGTATAGATGGTATGCAGCTATATTAGAAGATACAGGGGCAGCTATAGCAGCTGCAGCTAAAGTTTCAAATGGAATAAATCAACAAGATGCATTTATGAGAACAGCATTACATTATGCAGCAGAACAGGGTCATACTGAAGTAGTTAAATTATTATTGGACTCTGGGAGCAAATTAGATTTAATTGCAGGAGATGGTCTTACGTCCCTGCATGTCTCAGTTATTAAAAATAATATTGAAACAGTGAAATTGCTATTGTCAGCAGGAAGTCAAATAAACTATAAAACTCATGAAAAAATGACAGCATTGCATTTTGCAGCTTCCAGGGGATATTTAGAGATAGTCAAACTATTAATTAATAGTGGTGCTTATATAGAAGCAAGAGATACAAACGAACGCACAGCATTGTACTTAGCTTCAGGAAGAGGGCATGTAGATGTAATCCAGTATCTAATATTTTCCGGTGCCAATGTAAATGGAGAGGAAATTCATGGTTACACACCTCTTTGTGAAGCAGTTTGGCATAGGTACACCCAAGTGGTTGAACTATTACTATATTCGGGAGCACGTGTAACACATTCCCATAAACTTTTACATAATGCTATAATGCAAGGACAAGAAGATATTGTGCGAATGTTAATTAATCAGTGTGGAGGCATTAACTTACCCAATGATGCTGGTGATACACCTCTTTTATTAGCAATTAGACAGTCACAAATTTCAATTGTAAAGGAACTTCTAAAAAAAAATGTTAATGTAAATATTTGTAACAGCATAACTGGGGCAAGTGCTTTACATATAGCAGTTGAAATTATTAAGTGTCCAAAGCAGTTTGAGCAGTTACTTATTTATTTGTTGGATTATAAAATAGATATTAATTCTGTAGCCCTGACTGGTGATACAGCGCTGAACAGGGCTCTGTTGTTACAAAAAGATTATGCTGCAATATTGCTTATTCAATATGGAGCTGATGTCAACACATTTGACCTACAACCTTGTGGTTTAGACAATTTGTCAATAGTGAAGAAAAGGAAATCAAATAATCTTGCATCTTTGTTGCTTAAAGCTGGTCATTATAAACCAATATGTGAAGAACATCATAACAATTTAGAAAGAGACACAACGGCTTATTGGCTGTATCACATATCTAAAGAACCTTTCAGTCTTTTAGATCTTTGTAGAATCAAAATAAGAATACTATGCAAGCAGCCACTACATCGCTACATACCTCTGTTACCTTTACCAAATTGTTTAAAAAAATTCCTAATGTTTAAAGATCTTTTGTAAAATATTAAGGGAAATTAGCTAGCATTGTTTTATATAGGAAATATTCTAAAATATATTTGACAAGTCAATTTCTGCTCTTTTTAATGTCGATTTTGGTCAGATCCTTGAAGCATTTAAAATACACTTCCAATTTAGAAATACTCTCATTAATTGAAACGATGTATGCTTAAGTATACAATAGTTGAAACTTTTTTTTCGAGTTCATTTGGAAAAAATACCAATGATAATTTTTTTTTTAAGTTTTTGGTTACTGAATAGTTAACACACGCCATCGCTTCCAAGTGGAAGTATTTTATAGAATATAATGCTGTATTCGTAAGTCATCCTATTTATTCTATTATAAGATTAAGCACCTATAATGTATTATTAATTTAAAAATATAATGTTTACATAACGGAATTTTATGTACCATAAATTTACTCAAGCCGCCTAAAATTATTTTTTATTTAATTTGCGAATATGTATTTTATATTTTATCGTTTTTAAAGTTCCCGCTATAGATTGAGCAGAAATTGAATTCTAAATTACTGGTTGAATTAATCTGTGGTAAATTTTAAATAAGTCTGTAATATGGCTCTACGCTTTCTAAGTCTATATTCGTTATTTATTAAATTCAGTAATTTGACGAAGTGATAGAATGTTGTTATCAGTAGAAAAAAAACACTTACGTGTTTATAATATTTGACTAAAATGTGGGCTATAATTGTTTTGATTATTTTTTCTCTTATAGCCTTTTTTGTTACTGATAATCTGATACCGAAATTAAAGGATTTATTCATCAAAGCTGGGCTGTTTGGATATGATTTATGCAAAGTATCAAAAAATAAAATGTAAGTCTAATGTTAACTATGTATTGAAATGGAAAAATTTATATATTAAAATCTTTAAACAAATACCTATTTTCTGTTTTAAAATTTATTTCAGACCAGAAGCTTTAGGAGTCGTATCAGGATGTATATTCCTTGTAACCAGTTTCCTATTTATACCAATTGTTTTTGGAAACAATCTCATTGATACAAGAATGTTTCCTCACAGTGAGGTGATTTTCAGTTAATACCTACTACTAAAATCTCTCACCTAGAAATAGAATGATATATGATTAATAATGGTCTAGAGGTCCTGTTTTCATCATAATCCACTTGAAAAACATATTAAGTAACAATTGTATCAGTTCGCAGAATTGCTGGCAGCTCTGTTATCAATATGCTGTATGCTTCTCTTGGGCTTTGCTGATGATGTCTTGGACTTGAGATGGCGATACAAACTACTTTTACCAACAATAGCATCCCTTCCATTACTTGTTGTTTATTATGTGAATTTCAATTCAACTACCATCATTGTTCCTATACCACTAAGACAGTTCTTAGGACATTCGGTTAATATAGGTAACTTTTAAAAAGGTATAAAATATTATGTCTCATTCTTGTATATAAATTTCATACATAATTGTTATATTTCAGGATTTTTATATTATATATACATGGGTATGTTAGCAGTTTTCTGTACAAATGCCATAAATATTTTTGCTGGTATTAATGGCCTTGAAGTGGGACAATCTGTGATAATAGCTGTATCTATATTAATATTTAATATATTGGAACTTAAAGGAGAACAGATAAAAGCACATACATTTTCCTTGTATATAATGATTCCATACCTAGCAACAACTATGGGATTGTTAAAACATAACTGGTATGATGAAATTGTTATTATTTATTGCGAGTAGTACACATCTAAATAAAACACTTTTCTGCTGCAAAGCATCCGAAACGTCGGGCCGAAGTTAAAAATAGTTTTTGAATAAGTTTAACTAATATATCGCGTTTTAAACCGTTAAAGTGTTTTATTTAAATCTCATTTTATTATCAAAGTTGTCAAAAGGTTGACAACAAATTATAAGAAATTTCATACATAGAATATTTTGTTAATACTATTATTAGCGTTTATTTTAATTTGAAAAAGCCTTTAAAAATTCAGGTTAATAAACTAACTAATTACAACGAAACTTAATATGACATTATTTTTCAGGTATCCTTCAAGAATATTTATTGGCGATACATTCTGTTATGTATCTGGTATGACTTTTGCGGTAGTTGCTATTTTAGGACATTTTAGTAAAACAGTGTTATTGTTTTTTATTCCACAAATTTTAAACTTCATTTATTCTATTCCGCAACTGTTTCATATTATTCCATGTCCACGGCACCGTCTGCCTAAATTTAGTGCTGAAACAAATTTACTTCAAGCGAGCAGGACAATCATAATAAAGAAAGAAAATTCTTTTTTAAGTAGAATAGTTTTGGACTTTTTAAAATTACTTCGCCTAATTGATACGATCGAAGATGATGATGGCATTTCATGTAACAATCTTACCTTATTAAACCTTTTTTTAATTAAGTTGGGGCCCATGCCAGAAGTAAGGCTTACTAGGAACTTATTATACTTTCAGTGTTTCTGTTCATGTCTTGCCTTTCTTATAAGATATCCTATGGCATCATATTTTTACGATTTATGATTGTGGAGAATTACAGATGCTGTTAAATATGTATACTGTAAAACATAGTTTTAAGAATAATGTATGTAAATACTTATTAATTAGTATATTATATGCCTTATATGCACAGTTGGTACTTTCGATTTCAGTGCTACAAACTCTTGATCTCATTATTATTTTAAATATTTAATATTGCCTGGCTGTTTTGAATGAAGCCCATTGGTAAAGAATTAGAATAGCACACAGTTATAATGTAGTATGAAAAATAAATATTTTTCTTATAGCAACAGTCAATAAAAAGTGGCATAATAATGTACTTATTTGGAATGACTTTCTTTTAATAAAATTTACATACAAATACAAGCACTTACAAAGCAATAAATTATTGTTATTTACAATTTTTTACATATCTTACTTAAAAATTTTAACCATAAAAAAAGATATTATTACACTATTTATATATTTAAAAGACTTACATTATCCAGGCAATTGTTATTTATTCTCAAATATGACAGACATTTTTAAGCTTTGAACTGAGGTCTTCCCCAGCTTTCTATTTCAATGATAACATTAAAATGTATTACATAAATAACAATAATTGATTTCTAAATATAAATCAAACATTTTACATGAATTAAGAGCTCACTTTGCATAAATATGTACATTTAATTTAACTTAGGTAAGTATTAACAAGTAAAATACATGTATTCATTTTACAATACAAATATTTAATTTTCTTTTCCACAGCTTAGCCAGATGTCATATAGTATACTATTCTCAGAATCATTTTCATTGATAACCCTTAAAGTTTTAAGAGTTTGCAAATAAAATGTCAACTCAGAAGTAACTATACCATGTTGAGGACTTCCATTTGCAACAATATTCATCTTGGCCAATTGCTCTCTTAATTTATCTTTAAAGTTTTCATGAACTGTCATATAAATTTTTTGGATTTGATCCAGGGGTAATATATCAGTTAAAGCTTCATGGAGTTTCACTAAATGTTTTGAAATTTTACGGAATGTTTGAGAGGGGACTGGTGGCTTAGCATCCCAATCGATCAATTGAGAGCAGAGCATATTACTTACAATATATGAAATTTTGTTTTCTATTTCCCTCTTATGTCCTTCAATGTCACTTATAATACTAGTAAATCCACTAAGAGAAATTTCTTTTAGAGACAATTTTTCAAGTAACTGTACTATTAGTGGTAGAAGCCAAAGTATTACTTGCAAAGATCGCGATACAAGTGCTAAATTTGACGTGGTAATAGTTTTAAGACCTGCACTTTGTATTGCACCAGCACCTAAAACTAATTGACAGCACCGAGAGTTAAAAAGTCTTGTTAAATCTATCATACAGTGCACTAAGTACTGAACTATATCTGGAGATTGTCTTGTTGCATCACAGTATTCTAACAATATCTTTATTAACAGTTGCACAGTAGCGACAACAGCAAAGTTTTCTTTATTGATTACTAAGAATTTCCCATCTGGTTGTCCAGTATCATAGTGTAAAGTATTTGGTATCTTACCCAGGTTGCAAATTGTTGTAATCACACTTTGGAGTTCATATGGTATATCAGCTATTTTCCATCTTTCATTATTTAAGGCAGTTGTAAGTTGTGATCTTCTTTGCAAATGTAAATTTTGAATATACTTAACTGCAAAACTTCTGAGGGCTAGTTTCATTGCATTGCAGCTGTGCCCTGATATTTCTTCAGTTTGATGAGAAAATGTGTCAATTAGCTCTGATAATTTTGATAACTGAGATAGGTCAGAAAAAACATAATCTTTGTCAGTGTTAGACACAATAAGATTGGCACATCTTTCGTTGCTGTAATCCGATAATAATGCAATCAATTTATTTACTCTTCCTTCTAAGGTAGCAATCTCAATAGGTGACCAAGTATCTTCATTATCATTACCAGTAACATCACTCATTTGGCTTACATCAAAAATTACAGCACAAATAGCCATAACCCTCCTAAATAAATTAACTATGTTTGGAGTTACTTTTTGAAGAAATATAATACCTTCATTACACAAAAGCCATGTATCTGTATTAGACCCTCTTAATACAATTTCAGAATTTCCCTCTCTCTCAGAAATAATTTCAACAACACATTGCTTAATTGTTGTTTGAATTGAAGTCATTGCTTCCATTTTAAAATTTTCTAAGAAATCAAATTCCTTTAATCTTAGGATTCCAGATACTATAGAAACTACTTTATCTTTGTCTGGCAATTCATCCTGGTCCTTCTGAGATCTATTTAAATCTGCACTAATGAACCTAGAAAATTCATCATTAAGCATTCTTTGAATCAACCTTTTCATTTCAGATAACTGTGGTGACAGGTGACGAAATGCTTGAATACCTGACAGTCTTGTGGATAAAACTTTCTGTGTAGAACCTATTAGGTCTAAAGCAGCTACGTAATCAGATGTACTTAATAAAAGTTGAATCATTGGTTGGGTTTGTTGAACCGTACCCATTAATTTTAGTAACTCATGGACATCACTTAAATTATGACTAATTCTTGTGAGGCTAATCAATTTCAAAGGACTTAAGGTTAAATTTTGCTTCACTCCAATAATTTGTGTTCTGGTAACCTGGACTGTTTTAATGGCTCGGGCCATTTGATCCATAATTGTGTCATGAGATAACATAGCATGAAAAAAGGCATCTGATTTCTGAGCAACTTGTTTGGAAATTTTCATCTCAATCACATCTAGATAAGTACTCAATGTTTCTTGAAGACTTCTTATTACTGAGTTTAAATCTTGTGAATTAGAAAGCCCAGGAAATACTTTGAGAAAAATCTTTGGATCATTTAATGTCAAAGACTGCTCATAAAATATACTTGGAACGTCACAACTATTGTCAATGACTGGAGTTTTTGCTTTGATTGGAACATTATCTTTTAATTGACAATGCCTTCTATATCTCTTGGAAATTCTTTTACAATAAGTTTCAAAATGTAATACTGTAATTTCTGGTAGATATGGACTAGGATGTATATCAATTTTATCTATAAAACTATCTCCCCAGGTTTTAGTAAAGAAATTACTTTGTTTGCCTCTATTAGGGTCATTTAAAACAGCTGGTAAATTTTGAGATGATGAGTAGAAATCCCAGTTCTCAGATTCATTTGTATGATACAAATGATGTTGTCTCACATGGTACTTAAATCCAGCCTTTCTCAGATCACCAAACTGCAGTGCAGAACAGATACCATTTGATCCATATTGGCATAATATCATTGAGCCATCTTTCACACTATGCTTATCTTGTATATGCCTGGAAATTGAGTAATATATACTTATTTACCTTTAATTTCTGTTCAAAACCACTAATTAGATTTTCCCAAAGCATATATTATGTGACCAATAGAATGACAAAAAATACTTTTTCACATTTAAAATTGTACATATTTTATAACAATAAACGCGTTCATGACATGCGAATATCCTTGCTACTTAAAGCAACAGATTAGGATGGCCAATGTAAATTATACAAACCTTTCGAATTCCAATGCTGTTGTGAAAAGCAAATTTGGACAGTGGACACAATTTTGCCAAATTGGCGTTTTTGTACAAGAAGAGTGATTATTCTCCATAACATGATTATCTTCAAACAATGGTGTACTGTAATACTCTTATCTTACAGTCATTTTATTTTAAGGAAAAGTTAGTGATCGAGGTTAATATGATTAATTTTACGAATTACATACTTAACAAAATTTATTATTTTTCGGAAAAAAATGTATGTAGTTCGTAGTTCGTACACGCTTTCCGTCAAACTTCAACTTGATACTTCAACATTTTTATTTAGGGCACGTTAATGTCAGCTGTCATCATTGTGTCCTCGACTTATACAAAATAAAATTATGAATTAAAATTAAATATACGTATTATTAAATGATTGTGACGAGATATGTGATGAGATATTTACCCAGTGTAACTGTGTAAATATCTCATGTCGTAAAGTGTGTGCAACGACATATTATGTATATTGTACTTAGGTTTAACCGACTTAAAAAAGAGAATCAAAATTTTTATTTTATTAAGAATTCGTATCTTCCAAGGTTATGAAAAAATATTGAGAACGCTTTTAAAATAATTATCGAAAGCAAAGTCGCTTTTATTACATTCCCATCTGGTCTTTGAATAGTAAATATACTATATTTACCTTAATAGTATTTTTATAACTTATACGTTAGAACGATTATTGGCCGAACCGAAAAAGCTATCGAGGTGCATAGTCGTGGCGAGTCGATTTATAAATTTGCACAATTAAAGAGATGAATGAGTGCCTCAGGAGCCCCGTTCCGAATCATCTGACAACCTAGTAGAGTAATAATAATCTTTGCTACAAACTATTTGCGCGCCCAAAGGGACTGGGCTGGCCGGGGAATCCCTGTGTCGTTTTAGTGCATTATGATATAAGTGCGGTAAGTTGAAAATTACAGCCGAGGCGATATTACTGTATAATGAGGCTGTCATTTTCAAAGCACACGTATATCATACGACGTTTTATAACATATTTACGAGGAAATTAATAACACTCTAACTTAGTTAAACGAATAAATCTTTAATTAATTGTTAAAGCAGGTATAAAAATTTTTACTTGTCCACAAATAAGCGATGCGCGCGCATCAACTTTTTTTTAGGCAAAGGTACAAAAACAGCCAGTATTACTAATAAAGTAAATTAGTATTTTTGTAATAGGTTCTAATTTGTCAAAATTAATTAAATTAAAGAATTAAATGTTTATTTGTTATATTTTATTTCCCAAAGTTAATTTATTATTATAATTACTCATAAAATATTGACCACTTTCTTAACATAAAACCGCTTTGCTAAGATTTTTAAAAGTATCGTTCATTTTTAGACGGAGTATCTTAAAACTTTATTTTTAAAAAAAACACGTGCTTTTTACATTACATTATCGCAACAAGTACGTAATGAGATACATTACGATATTGAATTGAAACCACTTTACGAGCAAAAATGTTATAAAAATATTAATTGTATTGCTTCTAAGAATATAATGTTAGCGGGATATCACGAACCATCTCACGAACACAATATCCCCGACGCTCACTCATCTCCTAACGCCGCCACTATTAAGTAGGTATATGTATAAAAGATACTTACAATTCGTTCTTTTATTATGAACTAGCTGAGCCAGCGATTTCGTTTGCGTAGAATAGTTATTTGGGGCATCCAAATTCGTTTTTACCTACGACGTCGGTCGCGTTCCTTTCCGTCGTTCTTGCAAGATAATCTTAAGATAAGATATAGCGTCGCGGACTTTTTTAGATCATTTAAAGAAGAATCATTCTGTCATACACATTTTTTGGGTATCTTGAACCGTTTTTTCAGCGTACGCCTAGGAAACCCTAACCGGTAACCGGAATAATGATTAATAATTTTCTACTTTTCTTCACATATCTCGCTGTATCTTCGCTTGTATTAGTCACAGGGCGATGTTTTATAGCCTATAGTCTTCCTCGATAAATGCGTTAACTAACACAACAATAATTTTTCAATTCGAACCCGTAGTTCCTGAGATTAGCGCGTTCAAACAAACAAATTCTTCAGCTTTATTTATATTTGTATAGATTAAGAGCGTCAATAGTCAGCGTCATAGCAGTAAGCGAACCTTTTGGAAAAGGTTGTAAAAGTAATTAATTGAGATTCTAGGTTATATTTTAAAATGTAGGTAAATCAAAAATAAGTTCGTCGGTACATTTCACAATTTATTTAACGCAACTTCCACTTCCTTTAAGCTTTGATAACATAGACAGAGATGAAATGCGTAAAAGTTATGTATGGTTAATTGTTTGGTGGTACCATTAATAAATTAATATAATAACTTAAATAAACGAGTGAAATGTTAATTGGTTAACATCATTATGTCACAATATTTAGTACATATTATTTATATTAATGGATTTCTATAATTGATTAACATTACTTAGAACATAATAAAAGTTTTTAAGAATATATACGAGGGCTGTAAGTAGGTACGTATTTACAAATATGAAAGGTTTTTCTGTATTGATGTAGTCAATCAATAGGTAAATTGAAAATTTTATGTGTATTTATATACATAGAAAATAAAGGCTAAATTATTAAAACACATAGATTTTAATCCTTTTGACAGTGATAACAGGCGCAGGATAAAGCAGATTTAAAGATCAAGTTTCTTTCGCCATCAAGACACAATACCTTCGCAGGAATCTGAAAAAGTGAGATATTGTTGGGTAAAAAATTTTATATTGGGCCATTCGACTGGATCGTTTTATATAGAGAACACAGATATCTAACACTGATTGGCGTTAAGGTTTTATTGTGAATATTGTTTTGTAAAATTGGCACCTTATTAAATAAATCTCACTTACATCCTCCGCTTCCATGATATTGCAGCATTGTCCCAGCGATGTAACAGGGTGTCGCTTGAACCCCAGCATGATGCTGGGCAGTGACCAAGACTCACAGAAGCCTCGACAAGCATTCGTTGTTATTTTAAATTCCAAGCAATCCGGAATGCTTATAGTTCTTGTATGGCCTGTTATTAAAATAATTAGGAAATATAACGTCGTGAATTTATACAGAATTTGTGGTGCCTAATGAGCTTTACCTATTCGATGGCAGCCTGGTTTTTTCCATGACTCAGCAGCTAACGAATGACTTAGAATAAGTGAGAATAGAAAAGTCTGTAATAGCATATTGTTGCTGTCTGGGAAGTAGTCTTTGACTGAAGATTTCCACTTTTATACCTAACTATGCTGCTGCAAAGTAAGAGGTTACAAACCATGTGGGCCTTGGTTTTGCTGGCTTGAACATTTAAAACATTTTTCATTAATTTTGTTAATAACAGTTTATATACATTTGAAATGTATTTTAGTTTAAAAGAAAATGTGACTCGTTTGGGACTCGAGCCGTATTTTTAACTCTGCAAAACAAGGACGATCGACTTAAGTGATTTACTAGTTGCATTACGAATAAATGTAATATGTCTTGATTGTTCGCAATAACAATTAATGTAAATTATGTGAAAAAAATATCGATATCGAACTATGAAAATCAGTGCAGATGTTTTAAAATTATGAATGTTGAATTAAATTTGAACTGAAACTTATATTTCAAGTATATATCTACCATCCATCATGTAGTAACAAAATGTTTACATTTTCTGGGCAGAACAGGGAATTAATGAGTTGAAAGCGAAAACGCGTCTTTCAAAACATTAATTTTTGTTACTGAAGTCGTCGTTTGCCATAGTGACTACGTCATTCATTTGGAATGATCTTTTTTTCTGCAACTACTTTACGATGAAAATTAAGCTAGTTCCACTGATAAAATAATACTCGAATTATGTTGTGTTGTATTTGTTATTGTTATTAACTCTTAGCACTTAAGTGCTTCTTTGCGTTACCTTGTTGCCGTGTACGCCTCAAGTATTTCTTAGCAACCAGAAAATACAAAACAAACAGTATGGTACTAAAATCATGGATACAGAATACCGCATCTTGAATCTTTATAAAACTAAACAGTATGACGAATGTATTAAATTATGTATAGATACTTTAAAGTACAATAAAAGTAAGATTATAGAACATATTAGGATGCGGGCAATGACTATACAAGCCAAAGTTGCAGGGAACGGATATGAGGAAGTGCAATATTTTCCGCAAAATAGTGAGTTAATCAACAGTGCTGTGGCTAAAACTCCTCGACCAGGGACATCCTTTCAGAGGCCTATAACGGCTCAAAATGTCAGTGATTAAGATTTGAAAATATATATAAGTATAGATCTTACCCTACTTTTCAATAAATGTTAACTTACTGTCTTCAAATTGATGAAAGTTATACTAAAATATCCATTACATATAATAGGGTAGGACTTATTTAATAATAAGTCTTGCATTGTGCTCATCCTTCAAGTTGAGAAAAATACTTTTGTTTTTAAATTACAGAATTATTTAAGTATAATTAAAAATTGCATTATAATTGTGTGAAGCAAAGCTAACAAAAATATTTCCGTCAGGAAGCCGTATCTGCGACAACGCGGCCCAAAACCAACAGTGCCGTCGTACAAGTACGAACGGCTCAGTCAGCTTTGTTGACGGCGTCTCGCCTGTCCAGGGCAGCTACTGCAGCGGCAGCCGGTTCCTCATATGCAGAAGCTCCAGTTATCCTCCGTTTTATTTCGGAGGATAATAAAGATTTCTTACCAGTAGCGAAAACCTTATTCGAATACGTATACTACTGTGAAAGTAATGTGCGAAAGGTACACTAATACTAGATAAGCTATAATAATATTTAACGTGAAATGTTTTGTGCGTAAAGCGCAACAAGTCCTGCCCGAGTCGAAATTTTTTTCAATTCATTTTCGTGTATGTGTTGTTTGACTGACATTTTACAGGCAATGGAAATAATTTTTCAAGTAAAAAAAATGGATGAAAAGCACGACTGGTGGTGGAACTACTGTTTAGCCCGTTGTTACTATACTTTAGGAATGCATAGGAATAGTGAGGAAAGTTTGAAACAGTCGTTGAAACAACACAAGCACGTTGCTATTTATTTGCGTTTAGTAGCCCTTTATGTTAGTATTAATCAACCGCTAACCGCATTGGATGCATGTAAACAAGGATTATCAGCGTTTCACGAAAGCACTCCGCTGTTGTTGGAACAAGCCAGAATTCATGACATGATGGGCAACCAGGCTGTCGCTGTGAAGTACTATAGAATGGTAGCCATTCAAAATCCATCTAACATGGAGGCAATAGCCAACATAGCAATGTTTAATTTTTACAATGACCAACCGGAAATCGCGCTACGATACTATAGGTAAATAAGAAAAATATTGTCTTTTTTACTTAAATCCTAGCAGTCCATAATATAGAAAAAGGGTATTAAAAAAACTTTTTCTCAAAATAAGCTTTAATATAATAACTATTACTTTTTATACAAGAAAAACTACTTATAGTAAAGAACATGAAATAATTTTCACGCTCGGTTTTTTACAGACGCATTTTAGCTATGATCACGCCGGGACCAGAAATCTATAACAATTTGGGATTATGTTGTCTATACTGTAGCCAGTGGGATCTTATTTTGCCTTGCTTTAGACAAGCACTTTATTATTCAACAAATTTTGAGTCTCGATCTATCATTTGGTTCAACCTTGCACATACAGCTCTTGTAAGTTCAGTTGTAATTACCAAAATGTTCTTATTCTTTTTAGATATTGCCTACGTGAGTCAATAACTAAACGAGTCGGTTTTTGTACGATCATGTTCTTCGGAAAACATTTGCTAGAAAATAAAATCAGTTAGTGAAACAAAGAGAGAAGATTCTTTCCATGCTGGGCAAACTGGATTTACTTTTTATTATATACGTCATCTTGATTATTACTAGTACCATCTAAATTTGTTTTTAAAATATACATCAACAACCTTAACTTTGTTTCTTCTATTAGTAAAGCTCTGCTATTGAAGCAGTTCTTATTAAGATTGTTTTATGCTTTCAGTCGGCGGGCGATTTAATTTTGACTCGACGGTGCTTACAAAATAGTTTGGCGATCTCTGAACACGCTCCAGCACGCCGTGCTCTCTTGGCAATAGAAATGCGTTTAAAAGCAAAAACATAACTTGTACAATTATTTATAGCAACTTCAAAATAAATCGTATTTCAACTCGTTTCAAACAGATTTATTCTTATATACCTTTGGGCTATGTACCTACCCGTGTAAAGTACAATGACAGAAATGTTAGACTGAAGTTAATTTAAGCAATATAAATAATCTTTAATAGACGGATCACAATATTCCATATTTACTAAATCTTCACATTTTAAGGCCGTTAAAGTATCTAGAACCGGTTCTGGGTGAGTGCGTTTCATTTGCGAAAATTGTTTTACATCTGTTTCTTGTTCCATAGCAATTTTCGCGGCATACCTTAGTTTTATCTGAAAATAATATATGTATAAAAAGTAACAATAAATTTACAATACGATAGAAGAGGACAGACAAGCATTAAGTCCACTTGATAGAAGGTGAAATACCCCAGCCTTATAACATCTAAACTAGATGTGCTGTCGACCTTTTTATGCTTTGTATATTCCGATATCCACAGACTGAAGCCGAAACGCGATTAAATTTCAAGGCTTTTTCATAATGTGGTATACGAAGTCCAACATGTTTCAGAAAAACTATAAATTTGTTCCGTTGATCCGTTGATCGTGGATTTGATCCCCACCTTTGATGTTTTTAATAAATGAAGTTAGTCTCATAGTAGCAATATATGGTTAAGACTAACTGCCTGTGAAAATAATATATATATAAAGGGAGAATTTAACATATATTGAGGCAGTATAAATACTATGGCAGTACCTACCTGAGTTAATGTCGAAATAGGTACACCTATATTTTCCCAAGAGTCCGTGCCTTTTGGTATAACTAGAGGCTTCGAAAGATTTGTATTCTTTTCCTTCAAAGAAAACCCTTTTCCAAATGCCATCCCATAGCACAACTCTTTCAATCTTCGGACTAAAGTTGCTTCTTTGTGGGAATAAAATACCACGTGCGCTCTGTATATAACCGCAATACTCCTTAATGTTAAACATATAATTTTCTTTGTTTCACTATCTGGAACAAATACAAAAACAATTATGACAATTTTTAGGAATATCAAGTGATATCCTCTTAAAAGTTCAATTTACTTTATTATTAACAGATTATCGACTTTATCTTCTCTTCTAGACCGAACAAATATTTAGTTTTTGGAGAAGAATTGAAGTTGGAGCCCAAAACACACGTGCTTACGCAATGTGTTTTCAATTGTATAAAAATATGTTAAATAAAGAAACATACCCAAATTTTTAAAGAGATGGTAATTTCCTCCAATCAGAATAATTTCTGGTAATAAATTTGGCGCAGTGTAATTTTTTTCAATCGCTTCTAAACACGCTTCCAATGTGCTCCATAAATTTCTGCCTTTACTTAAATCTATCACTATGCAGAAGAAGAACTTCTGATGTACAGGGATAGATGTAAGCACATCTTTAAGCATCTCGATCTTTCCACCGTATTCCCATACATGACAAATGGATTTATCACCACCCGGTTTTTGTGATGATTTTCTACCGAAAGAATACTCCAATACTAAGGTTTCTTTTGGGTTCTCATTTTTTTCAAGGAATGAATTAATTATTGTCGATTTCCCCTATAATATAAAAAAAATTAAATCAAAGGATAGATATACTTTTGTCTATACATATTACACTAAGTAAGTGCAAAAAAGTGCACGATCGAAGTGATTTAATATAGGTATATCGCCTTTGACTGAGTTTCCATCCAGGCGTAACGCAATAAAAAGCACGTTTTACAAACTAGTTATAAAATATTAGATTTTTATATAAATTAAATTCCTAACGATACGTGCAACAGACAGTCAGGGGGTTTAAAATCAAAAGAAAATAGTTTACCACATATTTACTTCCAGCCATTATGATCGTGCTCGAAGTTTTATTATAATTTGAATCTGCAAACGATTCTTTCACTAATTGAGAAGCAATGTCAGGAAGCGACATTGTTATTTAGATGCTCAATATTATAATATTTATGCGATTGTTAGAAGCTTAATGAAATCATTAAACCGTAGTGAATCATGTTTAATAATGGGTTGCTAAGCAACTAGCATAGAGGTCTGTAGAGGCGGCTGTCTTTTTTAATTTACACAAGGGACTAAAACGATGAGCGTGTAATAAAAAAAATCTCTATTTCAGCATTATTGTAGTAAACACGTGCGATGCAACTAAGTTATGACAGATTTAGTAACTAGTCTAATGGGGCACGTTGCGAAATCCTTTGTTTTTATATATAAATAATCTCGTTTCCTTCAAGAATATTGTCAAGTTCCACTTCCACTAATCTTTACTTAAGTAACGTAGTTATTAATGTATTTAAGATTAAGCTCTTTTTTTATATTATTGTTATTATATTCTTAAGTAAGTAGCTTTTTCTGCTGTCACGCATACGACTTACCGAGTGTATTGTTACTGAGTTTCCTTTTTTCACCGCGGTTGCTTGGAAGAGATAACTATTTAGCCATAACGCTGCCGTTTGTCCTTAATTTGCATACATTTTTACAATAAAGAATATTTGTATCGTATTACTATCTACGTATTTTCTTTGCAATGTTTGTTCCGCACCCAACGTGTCATCGATAAATCTTTAATAATCACTTTAATGTCTTTTGACCATACTATCTATATTCAACTTGACGGGTTTTGTTATTGCTGTTAAATTTTCGGTAACACTTGACCAGAAACATAATAGTTTTGAAGTCAAATTTTTAGTGAAATAAGACACGATAGTAAATTTCTTACCTTAGGTAAGTCGTTTATTTCGTTCAATATAGTTTTGAAACATTGCAATAAAGAGATCTGAAGCATATATTTACAAAGTTATATGTTAAAACACTACGCTATACTTACAAGTAACGAAAAGGGAGATAATTTTAAAATCTAAATTTGTACTGAAATATGCAGAGTTAAACTCTTAATTAAAAACTATTAACGAATATTTAAAACTGTCAAAATTAATAATACTTATAAATGTTGCGTAATAAACTTCGAAGGAATATAACGATATACAATTTTAACATTGAATTGAAGGTGCAATAGCAAACAAACTTCGCAAGGGCACTGGTATTAGACATTAAGTATATATATATAAAAAAATAGCGGAATCTACGACATATGGAGTCCAGCCCACACGTGACGTGAGGAATAAAATAATACGTATTTAAAAGTAACGCCACCTCTGTAAATACAGAAATGAAATCTATCGTTCTCGACGCGCCCTCTTGGCCCGCGCAGCCGATCCAGTATTTTGTTCCTCGTCATCCCGTCTCTGAGTTTGGGGTCTTTGTAATTGACTTTGTGCAGTCAACTGCAGTTGCAATGCATGCGTGTTCAGGCGTTCAGCTAGAAGCAAGGGTTTCAACGCTGCCATTTTATGGCTGTAGAGCGTGACTCGAGGCCTGCTGTTCACTGCCGCTGTCAACTGTTCACGGACTGACATTTTCACATTTTCAGAAGCATCGTTCCAGCTATCATTGCTTGTTGTCGGGTCTTTATTCTCTGCGGCCTCAGTAATCTTGGAGTCGTCGCTTATAGGGTCGTCGGTATTGCATACAATGTGAACTTGTGCTCGTACATCGCAATCAAACTTCGAAATCGTACTCACGAGGGGCTTAGCCCAACCGATATGGAGAATCGGAGTTTGACTGCCCTCTTCCCACTTACAAATTCCGTCGTAGAATCTGAAACGAATAACTCTATTTTGTCGAGTCTCTTTATTTAAATCAATGTGATCAACTAGTTGCAATTTACGTCAACTATAGGGAAATCTTATTAAAGTTATTGTGAACTTTATTAAAAAGAAAACTTCTCTTCCTTCTAAACAAACATATGATGTGAAATGCCTTTTTATTGATTTTTTATGTTCTCATAACTACAGACAGTACATTAAATGTGATCCCTTTTTATTAATAACAACAAACCAAAGATCTACATTTTTACCTTATACCTTACCTCAACAATGAAGCAAAACATTCTGGATCTTTTAATAAAGATCTTGCAGAGTGACCAGAGCTCTCAACTTTCATAAGTTGAGGTATCAGCTCATTGGCTATTTCTGAAAACTCCTTATATATTTCTTCATCGTCTCGAGAATAGTTGTAACTGAAAAGAGATGTAATAATTAATAAAAAAATCATATAGGTTGCAGATTGTACTTGATGGAAACAACAATAAAAACAAAAAACAATGATTAACATGTTATATATATTTTCTAGTTGTATCAGCGACTTCGTCCGCGTAGAATAGTTTTTTTTTAGTATGTTTCTTTGCTCCTATGAGTCACAGCGCAATGTTTTATAGCCTTCCTCGGTAAATGTTCTAATTAACACAAAAATAATTTTTAATTCAACCCAGACTCTTCAATAGCGTGCAACAAACTCTTCAGTTTTATATATTAATATAGACAATACAAACTGTCGAATAACGTCGCCCGCGCAAGCCCACGCGTGGAATGCTTCTTTATACTGCTTGTGACGATGATAATATCCTCCTTGGAAGGTATAAGGATAAACATGTCGATCTTCGTAGTAATTTCTCGAAGAACGTATTGCCTGTAAATACAGTGAGGCAACATCTGGCCTAGGGTTATTTATTGCCTCATCACCATTTAATGGGGAATGTTTGTACTCATCAATACAATTTGGTAATTTCATGTATTCCTCCAAATCAGCTAGATTACCTAATGCCATGGGATAGGCGTCCAAATGCCCTGAAAACAGTTGTATATATAAATAAATAAAATATACAAGGTAAATTAAATAAAGCTACTTAGTGTTATCTTACCCTTTTCATACAAGATCATAAGGAGCTTATACTGCATTAAAGCAATCTCATGTATGTCTATGGTTGGAGTCAGAGTGGGATTAATAGAGGATACCAAGGCAGCAACTTCCATAACTCTAGTGCATACTACAGGTTTCCCTGCTACATACAGCCAGGAATGTGCTAAAACACCATCCCCCACTGGTCGGCCTCTTTTATCTTCATTTCCTTTACCATGCCATGTCACCTGAAAGATTAAATAAAAGAGTGTATCTATAACATATATTGTAGTTATAGACAAACACTCTTACCTCAGTAGCTTACTCTATAGACAATTTATATTTCTATAAGTATAAGTTATATTTGTATATAACATTATTAACTATTATATGTTAAAAAGGCTAAATAAAATCAGCTATTTTTTATTTTTAGAGGGTTTACTTCCCCGCTGTCAATGCATGGAGATTTCGCGATGTGACCAATATAATTAAAACCTTACCTCTGCTGTATCCTTTCCATCTTTTCCAAAAACTACCCATGCATGATCTTCCGACAGAGCAAGATGTACATCATTTTTACCTAAAACTTGACAGGCTGCTGTAACTGCAAACGCGACTCCGAAGCAGTCCAATTTATTCCCGGTCAGGAAACTGTATATGGACTGCAAGTGCGCTCTATCTTTATAATAACTACGCGTCAAAGAATTCCAAACCACATCGGCAACCCGCTTTACTAATTCTCGAGTAGAATATTCCCCAGACAACAATTTAGCATCGACGCCGCTTCTCATCAAAGTGGCAAATCGGTCATAGAGCGACTTAACTTCGTCCCAAGCCACTGAAGGAAATTTCATCCTTATTTTGTTCTGTGTTACATTTACATCTTTATCGCTTGTTTTGATATTAGTCAGATTGTTTTCAACTGCTCCAGCAATTATGGAGAGTAAAGTTAAATCCGGCTCTTTCTGAGGACGCAACTGTTCTTCGAATAATTCACAGACTTTTTGAATACTATCAATTGGGAAGAAAGCTTTGTACTCGATGAGCCCGCCCATGTTTCAAATTTTTACATTGTATTCATATTAAATACATATCGGCACATTTTAATGATATCCCAAATCCAATCACATTATACGGTTTTATTATACAATGTTTAATAACATCACTTCACAGACTAACTGAAAAATAGAGATGGTACAACGTAAGTAGTTAAAAGTAGACTACTAAATGTCTATGATAATAATAATGTCGTACCACCCATCAATATAATCTATGCTACCTCTAACCCAATATTTATTCATTCAATTTTAAAGCTAATTTATTATAAACGCAAAGGACTTCTCATTCACTTAAGTATGAATAGAAAAAGAAATGTTAATTTTATAAAGCCCGACGACCCTCCATTTTTAAGAGCCTTAAAAATCCAAGCTGGTTATGACGACAAAAATCACAAGTTTGACGAACTCCATAATAAAGACGAAGACTTTGTGAGTGATGATGATAGTGAATTACCACAAGTCATAGTTTTAAAAAAGGGAGACCTCACAGCAGAAGAAGCCGATGTTGAAAAAGAAAAAATCAAAAAGATTGAAGCTGAAAAAAAAGCAGACTTAAGTCAGAGAGTTGTATTTAAAGCTAAGAAAAAAATTAGCTAAAAATAAACAAGCAGCTGTGAAGAAGGATGTTAAAACCAAAACAAAAAAACAATTGTTATCATTTAATGATGAGCATGAGGATGATGACGAGGATTGAAAGAATTATGGTGCTGCAAAAACCCTTTTGAGAAGCAAGTTGACTAGCACCTTAAATATGACGAGGTATGAAGGGCTTTTGCCAAGAAGCATGGGAATTGAAATTATTGTAAATTTGGTACTTTTATAAAAAGTTGGGTGGAAAGTTATTTTGGTCTTTCCCAAAAAAGAGGATTTTATTTTGTACACCTAATTTCCTACTTATGCTATTTAATTTGTATTTTAATAGCTCATCTAGCAAAAGTTTATGTGTTAACTTTTTAATTCACACCATTTAATATGAAGAGCTATAAGCAACATTTTTGACATATCTTACTGTTTTACTATAAAAAGAAAAAAGTGCTGTTCAAGCCAGAAAGATTGACAAACATCAAGGAAAAGCATGCCATTGTGAGTTAAAAGGAAGTGTTTCACCATGATATTTTGAGAGCACATTGCATCACACAAGTTTGGCTCACTTTTTGGATTTTGCCTAACAAACACAAAAATTTTCATGACTATTTATTACTACCATCCGCCTCTGTAGCCAAATGGTTAAACATAAAATTGTTTCGGTCAGTCTGATCAACTACTTGCCTGTTAAAAAACGGATCAGTGAAATGGAGTCAGAAATGTGTTAGCCCCATGCCTCACAAGGGGTAAACGGGCTTTTACACACTTTTTTTATTGATTACTACCACATAGCAAAACTGTTGGAACATAATAGCCATATATAATTTAATAAAGTATTTTTTATTGTACAAAAACTACCTATATTTTATTACAAAAAAAATGATTTTCTAAAAACCAATAATTTGTTTATTAACAATTTGTAATCTTATAAGTCTATTTGAATATGAATATTTAGTGGAAAATTAAATAAAATAAAACTACATATTTAAATAATAAACAAATACAAATTCCTTATTGTGATCTTTTTTATTCTCCACACCATAACATAAGGGGTTATGATAATTGTTTTAAACTATTAGTTGTTCTACAAATGTAATGAAAACACTAGAGTACATGTCCTGTGGATTTAATTTTACCTCAATGTTGAAAACAGCAATAATTCATGTTTTTTATAATTAGGCATGCACTGCCTTTCAGAGTTTTAAGGCACACCTTATGGCAAAGAACTCTTTCCAGACTCTTCTTGACTTTTTCTTTTCTTAGGTTTTGTTTTGGCACCATTTATAATTGAGGCGACCTCGTTCTTATAGTATAAGTGTGAATTATCAACATCATTTTCATATTCAAGCAGTTTATGTAACAAAAACTTCCTCTCATCTTTAACAATTTGAATATTTTCTTGTACTTTAGCAACCTCATCACATAATGCTGCATTTTCCTTGGGCAGAAAAATACTGATTTTATTAAATTACAAATTTATGACACATAAACAATGAATTAAAAGTTAGGGTACTAACAATTATTAGACTTTTTACTTTCATTTTCATGTACTTGTATTTTTTTCTATACTTCAGATTGGTACATTCATTCGGAATGTTCATATTTAGTAAGGTCATTAAATTATAAGCAAAACTTGTTAAACACACATGTGCCTAACGTACAATTTTGTAAAATAATAACAATTTATAACTAATAGTTAATATCTATTAATAAAGGAAACTAATTAGAGATAGTGTCGAGTATAATACAATTATTATGAAAGTGTCAATGTATGTAAACAAATGTGACGCATCCACAGAGGTCACACATTTTAATCAGAGACATCGACATAGACAATTAAACTTTCAAACGAATGATAACCATTGCGTGTGAATACTGAATAATTTCGTCAGGGCATGTAAAGTGTATATCTTGCGCATAATTAAGATGACCAAGGTACAAAATTTAAACACGTCCGATTACAAGGAGAACGGATAAGATGTATATGCTTTCGATACGATTCATGAGGCACTACGTGCTTATAGTTTAAAATCCTGCCTTGATAAATTTGGTGCTTACACCATGTACGATAATTTCAATAGTTATATTTATAAGTTGATTCTTGACGTTTCTAAGATAATGAATAAAATGTCTTTTGAAAAAATCATATTTTGTTAAGTTAGTCTTAAAAAAAGAAAGTGATTGGTGATCAGCCACGTTTACGACTGCTTAATTCTTTCCCTTTCATCAGTTTCCAAAATTACAACTAGCTATTCCGTTATCCACTCAACCATTTAAATGGAATAAGGAAGGACGAGTTTCATTAATATTTAATAACTAAGACTTAAATGATATTAAAAGTATAATTTCATTAATGAAATGCACAGTTGTACCATTATCAGCTTGATACAAATTCAAATATTTGTGAATAATCTTTTGCTTCAGTAGATCTTGAACTCACATTAAAATTCGCAACAGCTACTCTTTGATCTCCAGCTGCAATTAGTTTTTTCACATCAAAATCAAGGCTATATATTGGTGATGATTTCTTTTGAGTAAAAAACATCTGTAACATAAGTAATTATGACTTGATTATAAATATATGGTCAAAAACAAATGTTTATTACAAAATAATTATTTAAACATATATAGGTTGAGATATTTCGGCAAAATCAAAAATACTATAATTTACGCGAGTAGTACACATTTAAATAAAACACTTTAACGGCTTAAAACGCGATATATTAGTTACACTTATTTGAAAATGATTTTTAACTCCACGTCTCCGTAGCCGTGACCACGGCTGCTGCAAATCCTCCGAAACGTCGGGCCGAAGTTAAAAATCATTTTCAAATAAGTTTAACTAATATATCGCGCTTTAAACCGTTAAAGTGTTTTATTAAAAAAATCAAAAATAATAATAAAAAATAAGTAACCAAATAATATATAAACCTGAACATGGTGTGGCGAGCGTAAGTCAAAGAGCACACAACGAGAGTATTCTGCTGATCCAGTTACAACAGCATTGTCTCCATCAGTTTTTACACAATAAAGAGCTGATTGAAATGGATCCCTGATTTCATAGGTCTTAAACAAGTAACATCTTTGTTTAAAATTGCTTTACTTCACTAAGATCTTACAATATATCAAGATTAAAAATGTATTTTACGACCCGGGCGGGCATCCAAAAACCAATTTAAATAGATTTTTACTTCTATATGCCTTAACATGTGATTTTTTTTAAATATCAATAACTTCTTTTAAATAAAAGTTCATAAATCTATAACTATGATATCAGTCTAATAATTAAGTAGTATACAGAGATATCCTCCATCTTTAGTCTCCCCATGACCACGGCTACTGCAAAGTATCCGAAACGTCAGGCTGAAGTTAAAAATCATTTTCAAATAAGTTTAACAAATATATCGCAATTTAAACCGTTAAAGTGTTTTATTTAAATTAAGTAATATTTTTTAATAAAATGAACCAAGTTGCATGAAAGATCCTCATTTATAAAATTGGGCCAGTAGTTTACCATTCATTTGTGCATTGAAAAGGCTACTTTTTATAACAATAAATTGAGATTTGGCATTAAAATGCATTGTTTTTTATACTTACTACAGACCCAACTCTTGTGTCAATATACTGCAACTTTCCTGAATGTGTTACAAAAACTATTCCATTTGTGTTGTGCCACTGCAAATCTCTTACTAGGTGTTTTTTTCCTCTCAGATCTTGTTTAGGGCTCATAACATATTGACCACTAAAATTTAAATTATTCAAAGCATGAATATTTTCTCTCAAGAACAAAATCACAACCTGTTTGGTAAAAAAATAATATACATATTTAGATCAATGCAGGCTGGCATGCCATTTCCGTTAAGACCAATGGCCAAGTTTTTTCCCAATGCATCAACGCTTAATGACCAACAACCATCACATTCAGGAACTTCAAAGTTTTTTACAATTGAACCTTAAAGAAAAGTAATCATAAATATTGTATAATAAATTACAACATAATATGATTGCTGCATGGCTCTATGGTTGATCACAATTCTTAGCGTTCTTAAATCCAGGAAAATTGTAATAAATAGTCAGAAATATTATAAAAGTCTTATCAACTACTTGTCTGTACCAAAAAATGATTGGTGACATGTGCATAGAAATGTGAGCCACAGAATACATTAACTAATACAAATTACTTACAATTATTTAACTGGGACCCAAGAGTGTTTCCTTTTAAATTCCATAAATTAATATAAGGACTAAGATTTGAAGCTGTTATAACACAATTTTTAGTTTTTTCCACTGCTGTTACCTCTTCTTTTCCACAGTTATGGCAATTCTGTATGTAATGAAGCAAGTAAGGCTTTTCCCTAATATTGTTATACTCATATATTGCAGTGTTACCATCTCTATCAACAATAATAAAAGCAAAAAGTAGTTAGATTCTCACTTCCTTATTATTATAAGTATAGTAACAGAGAATATGAGGATAATACTCCATACATTGACATTTTAACTCACCTATTACCACACACAATAAGATTATCTTTAACAATAAATCTTGTGACATCATTAGTTCGAATATCATATCTCCTAGTTGTTGGTACATTTATTTTCCAGATTAGTCTTTTACTGTAACGAGGGGGCTCGAGAGAAAAGCAGTCAAGATCAGATCCAAACGAGACTAAAAGAACATTTGTGTGCACAAGCTGCATCCATGGCAAAAACTTTGTTTGATTCTGAATGAGAATCTGTAAAAGAGACATATTTTTTATTAATAACCTGCTCTGCTTGTATTCAAGATAGATAGAAAAAACGAAACGTTTATTTTTTATAATAAAAAAATATTTATTACTTTATTCTTGAATATCCCTTTACACCAATTATGAGATAGTCTGCAATTGGTATACCAGCTCTTAGACGACCTGAAATAGTGTAATGACGTCAATTTAATACGCTAATTGTGAAAATAAACATACTATAATGTTTATCCTATTGTATCTTAATAACCAGGCTTACTCTTTAATACTATTATTATGATTTATTATAAGCTTGTATCGACAAATGAATTTCCACAAGCTAGACTCATTAGTTATAAGGTCCTTTAAATATTTTGATGTTATCATTACATTTCGCAAGTCTTTTAAACTGAGCAATTTAAGTATATTTATTAAAATCTCTGGAGGCAACTTTTCAAAACAATTCTTATCCATAGTAAATGTGTTCATGATGACAGCTCAAGTTGATAACCACTGTGTAATTAATAACATGGATTTCTATATTCTATCAGTTTTATCACAGATATATTATGAGTATTTCTTTCGTACTACAATTCTTTTAATACAGATGTATTACACGATAGATTTATTAATACAACCGTAGTGCATAATATAATTATTCGAACATATTTTTTATGATCTCAATAATTCTCATTCTGCTCTTTTGTCATAATAATAATGATGCAAGAGCATCTGCGTTTTGGAGAAAATCAAAAAATTTTGAAACGTGTTAATTTTGTCAAGTTTTATCGGATATAATCTTGGCAACACCTAAACGACGAATTTAACGGTCCATGGTCATGTACAACATATAAAAAAAAGAAAAAGAAAACAACAGGCTAGTGTGTATGGATGGAAGTGCGTTTGACCGATTACGCCGCATTTAATAAATCCCGGGTAAGTTAATGCTACATTTATTTTTCAAAATTTTATAGCTTTTTAGTCATATTAGTTGATGTTTTTTGATATTTTACAGACCCTTTGATGGTTAATAATTGTGTAATGTAGTTATTACAAGATGTGTCAGATAGAGTCTACGGGTGTGTGCTGTGAATTTTTGTACCTTTCTAAGTAGCACTACCATGTGTCAAGTATTTCTTCCATCTAGCTAGCAAGCAAAACGCTTAAATGCCGAAGTTTTGAATTGTAATCTTGTTTTTATGGACATTACCTATAGAGGTTATATTATATTCAAGCGTTCTGATTGTGTATTTGTTTCTTTCAGTGTGGCGCTTCTTATGGAATGAATACGAATAAAACGAATTCTGTTTAATTGCTTGTAATCGGAAATAAATTGATAATTCTTCAGAAAGAATATCATTAGAATGGCCACTTTAGAGCAACAAGCTTCTAAGCTATTGGATTTTAATCAAAAGTTAGATATCAATTTACTTGATAACATTGTTGGATGTTTGTATTCCACTGTTGGTGATCAACAGCGTGTTGCTCAAGATATTCTTACAGCTTTAAAAGAGCATCCAGATGCATGGACAAGAGTTGATACTATTCTAGAGTTTTCACAGAATCAAGAAACCAAATATTATGCCTTACAAATATTGGAACAAGTTATAAAAACTAGATGGAAAATATTACCTAGAAACCAATGTGAGGGAATTAAGAAATACATTGTTGGCCTTATTATTAAAAATTCATCTGATCCTGTAATTATGGAAAACAACAAAGTGTATTTGAAAAAGCTTAACATGATATTAGTTCAAGTTTTAAAAAGAGAATGGCCTCATAATTGGGAAACATTTATAAGCGATATTGTTGGAGCTTCAAAAACCAATGAAAGCCTTTGTCAAAATAATATGGTAATTCTAAAACTTCTTAGTGAGGAGGTATTTGTTTTCAGCACTGGTGAACTGACGCAAACAAAGGCCAAACACTTGAAAGATACTATGTGTTCTGAATTTAGCCAAATTTTTCAGTTGTGTCAGTTTGTACTTGAGAATTCCCAAAATGCTCCATTGGTAGATGCTACACTTCAGACACTTTTAAGATTCTTAAATTGGATTCCTCTAGGGTACATCTTTGAAATGAAATTGATTAGTACTCTTATTTTTAAATTTCTAAATGTACCAATGTTTCGTAATGTAACTCTAAGTTGTTTAACTGAAATTGCCGGAGTGACTGTAAGTAATTATGAAGAACAGTTTGTTGCCTTGCTAGTGCAAACTATGGAGCAACTAGAGATAATGCTACCGTTAACTACAAATATAAGAGAAGCTTATGCAGCAGGACGTGATCAAGAACAAGTTTTTATACAAAATCTTGCTCTCTTTCTTTGCACTTATTTAAAAGAACACGGTCAATTGATAGAAAGGCGTGGATTGACCAACACATTAATGAATGCTCTACGATACTTGGTTTTGATATCTGAGGTCGAAGATGTTGAAATTTTTAAGATCTGTTTAGAGTTTTGGAATGCTCTAGCTGCTGATTTATATAAGATAGCACCATGTTCACATTCTACTGGTCTCCATCACAATTTAGGTAAAAGTATGGGAAGAAAAGTGTTGTATGCAGATGTATTAAGTAGTGTCCGCTATATAATGATATCCAGAATGGCAAAACCCGAAGAAGTTCTTGTTGTTGAAAATGAAAATGGTGAAGTTGTAAGGGAGTTCATGAAAGATACTGATTCCATAAATCTCTATAAAAATATGAGAGAAACATTGGTATATCTCACCCATTTGGATTATACAGATACTGAACGTATTATGACAGAAAAATTGCAAAATCAAGTTAATGGAACAGAGTGGTCCTGGAAAAATTTAAACACACTTTGCTGGGCTATAGGATCCATATCCGGAGCTATGATGGAAGAAGATGAAAAAAGATTTCTTGTCATTGTTATTAAGGATCTACTGGGGTTGTGTGAACAGAAGAAAGGAAAAGATAACAAAGCAATCATTGCCAGTAATATTATGTATGTTGTGGGGCAATACCCTCGCTTTCTTCGCGCTCATTGGAAGTTTCTCAAAACTGTTGTCAACAAATTATTTGAGTTCATGCATGAAACTCACGATGGAGTGCAAGATATGGCTTGTGATACTTTCATTAAAATAGCAATTAAATGTCGTCGTCATTTTGTTACGACACAAGTTGGTGAAGCATGTCCATTTATTGAAGAAATTTTAAGTACCATAAGTTCAATCATTTGTGATTTGCAAACACTTCAAGTGCACACATTTTATGAAGCTGTTGGCTATATGATCAGTGCCCAAGTGGATCAAGTAGCTCAAGAACAACTGATTGAAAAGTACATGTTGTTGCCAAATCAGGTTTGGGATGACATTATTTCACAAGCATCGCATAATGTAGACATACTGAAAGACCCAGAAGCTGTCAAACAACTAGTAAGCATCCTAAAAACAAATGTTAGTGCTTGTCGTGCCTTGGGTCATCCTTATGTTGTTCAACTTGGAAGAATATATTTAGATATGTTAAATGTATACAAAGTGATGTCCGAAAACATTAGTCAAGCTATAGCACTTAATGGTGTTGTTGTCACTAAGCAACCCTTAATAAAAAACATGAGAATAATAAAGAAAGAAACACTCAAATTGATTTCCAATTGGGTATCAAAATCCACTGACAACAGTATGGTTCTAGAAAGTTTTATTCCACCACTTCTTGATGCTGTCCTGTTGGATTATCAGAGAACTGTAGTTCCTGATGCCCGTGAGCCAGAAGTTTTATCATGCATGAGCGCCCTTATATATAAGCTTGAAGGACATATAACATCAGAAGTACCAAAAATCTTTGATGCAGTGTTTGAATGCACTTTAGAGATGATAAACAAAGACTTTGAGGAGTATCCTGAACACAGAACTGAATTCTTCCTGCTATTACAAGCTGTCAACACCTATTGTTTTAAAGCATTCCTTAGTATACCACCAGCACAGTTTAAATTAGTGTTGGATTCCATAATTTGGGCATTTAAGCATACAATGAGGAATGTTGCAGATACTGGTCTTCAAATCCTCTATAGATTACTCCAAAATGTAGAGCAGCATCCTCAGGCTGCCCAAAGCTTCTATCAGACATATTTATGTGACATATTAGAACATGTTTTCAGTGTCCTTACTGATACTTCTCATGGAGCTGGTCTGACAATGCATGCCACTATCTTATCGGAAATCTTTTTCCTTGTGGAGAATGGTCGTGTAACTGTTCCTCTTGGGGGAACACCTGATAATGTACTTTATATACAGGTAAGTCTCTTTTCAAACAAAATGTATTGTTATTAATAATAATTTTTAGATTTTTTTGAATTAACATTTAAATTATATAACTTTATGCATAATTTCATGCTTTTGAGTTAATATACATTTGAAAACATTAATATTTTTCACATGTTATTGCACATGAAGGCACTATATAATTTAAAAATCGAAAATAAATTGAAAAGCATAAGGCATTGAACCTTAATACGCAAGTGTTAAGGTTTAAATTACATTGCGCGAGAGGTGCATGTATCAATAAGTTGAAAAAATTCGACGATGAGGTGATTCGATGACTCGGTAGCTCAATTGGTAGAGCAACAGCACGGAACGCTGACGATGCCGGTTCAAGTCCTGCCCGAGTCAAAAATTTTTTCAATTTATTTTCGATTTTTAAATTAATATACATTCCCTATTTTTACAATAAATGATTATGTATGCAAATAAATATATGATATCGGTAGAAATCATATTGAGATGAATTTAAAATTTACAGGAATATGTTGCAAATCTTCTAAAAACAGCATTCCCGCATTTGACTGATAATCAAGTTAAAATAACAGTACAGGGTCTGTTTAACTTAGATCAAGATATACCTGCGTTCAAGGATCATTTAAGAGATTTCTTAGTTCAGATAAGAGTAAGTACTCATTCAATATATTTTAAATGTAAATAATTTGGAAATATAATGACAAAATTCACTGATTAATAGGTATATACTATCCAAATTATATGTTAAAGATATATATAAACGAGTTTAATAGGGATACATTTTATATTATATATGTATTAAATATTTTATTTGTTTGACCTTGTATTGTGTATTATAAGTTTTTACCCTGTGCCATATTTAATGAATTAAACCACACTTGGGCATTGTTTTTAGGAATACACCGGGGAAGATGATAGTGATCTATACTTAGAAGAAAGGGTGTTTGCGTTGCGTCAAGCGGAAGAAGAAAAGCGAAGGGTGCAACTCTCAGTGCCGGGTATAATTAACCCACATGAACTCCCTGAAGAGATGCAAGATTAATTTCTATTAATATTTGTAGTTATTACGTGATAATTGATAACAGTTCACTTTTGCAAATATACACCTTTAGAGCTAGTTCATTTTGGCAACAATATATCTGTTTCTCAATTACAAACAAATATGGATTTTATACAAAAATATGGCAGATATTTATACTAATAGTAACATACAAAGTATGTTATGTTGCTATAATAGTACAAATATATAATTGACATACAGATCTAGATATTAGGAGTAAATAAATCAAGAATCAATGAATATAAGTTATGTATACAAAACTAACAGTACAAACAATCAAAATGAATGTAGGAGGGAGTCTATTATTGCTGCTTGTTCGTCATGATCAAATTATTTAAATTTGATTTATTTCGTTTCTAAATCTTCATAAAGCAATTACATATTACGATTGTTAAATTATTTAATCCTAATGATACCATTTTGCCATTTTTCCATTATTCATATTATATATCCAGTAAAATAGAATGTATGTAAAATGTATTTGCTTTTATTAAATAACAGTGGACTGTTATCATATTTAATCTTAACAAAACTTGTGCTTAGTTTAAATATTACCTTGTTTTGTTAGTTTGTACAAAGGGTCGCCTGGTATAATGTTAGATGATGTATGCAAGTGTAAGGGTTAAATAAACAAACCTTTTCAAATAAGGTATATTTTGCAAGCACAAGAAATAATTAGAGTACGGCCTTTTTAAACTGTAAGATGGAAATCACGTTACTTTGCTAATTAATTAATCTATACAATAGAATAATAATTTTCCACTCAAATTTGTCATAGTAGGCAAGGAAATCTCAGTGATGGACTCCAGTACTGGATATTCGAGATGAGTTCAACAGAATCTGAAGTATTATCAAGTAGATTCTAGGGAAACTATATAGAAAATTGCTGTTAGTAACATTGTTTTATTTAATGTTGTTGGAACTAACTATTTGATGGTTTGGGAATACATCCTTTTAGGATTCCAATTTCATTTTGGGCCTGATTAACTGTGAAGTCTTTCAGTTTTGTGTTTGAATTAAACAGATAAACATAATGCTTCTTTTTTTAACAATTCTATTTTTTTCTTCATCTTTATTCTATTTCTAAAAACTGTGTTACATCTACAAAGGGGAAATATATTTAGGAAGAAAAATACATTATGAGCAATAAAAAAAGATAATGAAATTCAAGTAAAACGTGAGAATAGACTCCATATAAAACATACTATATAATTTATCATTTCGATTTGTTATAAATAATGAAACCCTTAATTGAATTAAGGTGGAACAGTGTATCTCAACTACATTTATTGTGACGACCTTCGTAGGTCAATGGTTCAGCGCGTTGTCTAGCGTGAGAGGCCTTGGGTTCGAATGCCCAGAAAAACGCTGGGTACAGAAGGTTTGATCAAGTCTATAAATGAAAATTGATCAGTAGATCGATTCACTAGTTATCTCTGACTTACGCCCGAACTAGGGTAAAAGATATTTAATTTTTATAATTTTCTAGGTTGCGTAGAACTGGGCTCGGTTATTTGAGAAATCGTCAGTAATCAAAATAAAGTTTTAGGATTGTACCTTTGAATAACTAAACAATATGAAATCGATGGTTTATTATAATAGAAGTGTTAGCGTAATGATGTATGGATGGATAGTAATCTATAAATTAGCCAAAAAGTTCAGTTACCAGGCCACTCGATTTCGTAAAAAGCGCATATATAGCAATAGACGTATGATAATTGTCTATAGTCATTCAGTCTGGTAACCCTAGTAATCATAGATTGCCATAGAGAAGATTATGTAGTGACTGTTCCTCCATGAATAGCGATTAATTAAATAAAAATCAATAAAAATTATTCCTCTTACGTAGGATAATGGCTAGTGTTACTGAAGAAAATTCTACAGTTGAATCTGATAGTTTAGTGCCCCGTGGATCTAGTACGGAAAATCCTGATGTACAAAATGAAAATGTGGACGTAAGTATAGTTTTTTAATGATGATATTCATCATTTACTATTTTTCCATCTCACATAAACTTCAACAAAATTTATAGTATATTCTGCTCTGAAAAATGTGTCACAGTCTCAAGTAATCTTTGTTTATATTTTTCAGATTAATGCTCAAATTGATGAACAACGTCAAAGAATGCAACCCACTAAAATGGAATCTTTTTTTGCTATAACAAAGTCGCTAATTATTAGAGCTCTGGTAGTTTATTTTATTACATCAATGTTTCGGCAACCATCATCACCAAAAACTGATGTTAACAGTTCTTCAGGTGTACCACGGATACCTGCAATTAATATGTTTGAAAACGGAACAGTTTTAGATATGTTTGCCTACTTATCAGAGGACGAGTACTTAGATAATTTTGATCATTCACAGTTAATATGGAAACAGACAGGTCTTGTTTATGGTGATTGGCTCGGTGGGCCCAACAATGATGGCACCTACTTTCACTCTACTAGTATTGTACCTTCACAGTCCTTAAAGAACAATGGCTCTATTTACCTGCATGTTTATGTCACCCCAACAGGAAAATCACCTAATCCCAAAGATAAAACAAACTTTGCTGGTCCATATATTACATACGGAAAGAAAATGGTTAACAAGTACAAAAAGTTAAAGTACCTAAAAACCCACAATCTTTTAACTGGACAAAGTGAAAAGTCTGAAGAGGAATTAAAAAAGGCTGAAACTATGAAGGAGGAGATAATATCTCATTGGCATCCAAATTTAACCATAAATTTAGTGACAGATCAGACTAATTGGCTGCAAGGTAGTGTCCCTCCACCGTTAGATGAATTTATTTACTTTTTACCTGATGGCAAAAAGTATAAACCAGCTGTTTTTTTAAATGATTACTGGAATATGATGCGAGATTATGTTCCTTTAAATAAAACAGTTGAAACTCTGGAACTTCAGCTAACATTTCAACCATTAAGCCTATTTAAGTGGCAACTATATACTGCTCAAGTGATGAGGGATAAATTGAGTATGTTTTCGGCACTAGGTGCTGAAGAGCAAGATGAAGAGCAGGATACAGTAAAAGAACTGCTTTTGGACACCTCTCCATATTTACTAGCCTTAACAATATCAGTATCTGTTCTCCATTCAATTTTCGAGTTATTAGCATTCAAAAATGATATTCAGTTTTGGAACAATAGACAATCATTAGAAGGTCTTTCAGTTCGATCTGTATTTTTCAATGTTTTTCAGTCAACCGTGGTGTTACTATATGTTCTAGATAATGAAACTAATGTAATGGTTAGAATTTCATGCTTCATTGGTTTAATGATTGAAATATGGAAAATTAATAAGGTTATGGATGTGAAACTGAACCGAGAAGATAGAATATTTGGTTTTCCAAAGTTGACCTTTACAGACAAAGGTTCTTATGTAGAATCAAGCACAAAACAATATGACATGCTGGCTTTTAGATATCTCAGTTGGGCTTGCTTCCCCTTGCTTGTGGGATATGGAATTTATTCCTTGCTATATCTAGAACATAAAGGCTGGTATTCTTTCATTCTCAACATGATGTATGGCTATTTATTGACATTTGGATTTATCATGATGACACCACAACTTTTCATCAATTATAAGCTTAAATCCGTAGCTCATTTACCATGGCGTATGATGACTTATAAATTTTTGAACACATTCATTGATGACATATTTGCTTTTGTTATTAAGATGCCAACAATGTACCGCTTAGGATGTTTCCGAGACGGTAAGTATATCTTCTTTATCTATGTCAGGGTCATATAAGATAAGATAATATAGGAGTTTTAATTCATTACAGATATTGTCTTCTTCATTTTCCTATACCAGCGATGGATCTACAAAGTTGATCATAAACGGGTGAATGAATTTGGTTTCTCTGGGGAAATGGAGCAGCAACAAAAACAGTCCACCAATGGCAACTTAGCCATAACTAATCAACAGAATGATACTGACAAAAAGAATGATTAAGCTATTATCTCTGTTGAAAAGTTTTAGAAAAATGTTAGATGAAGTTATTTTAAGTCTGTAGACAAAATAATCCCTGGTTTTGGATATATGTTCAAGTTACCTTAAGAATTATTATTATTATGGCTCAAATGTAATAAAAAAAATATTGTGCTTCAAACTACCAATTTAATTCATGAAACAGTATTAATTTTAATATTGTTGTTAGAAATTGTAAACCAGATCATTTTTCTTTTAAAAATGTTTGTTTCTAGAGGCATAGCAACAAATGTACAAGTAGTGTTATATTATTTTTATGCTCTTATATTTTAAATTAGTAAACCTAAATTGTAGCGCAAAATATTTTATATTGTACTTTGTTAAATGGTTACTTATCGTTACTATGAAAAGGATTTTATTATGACAGCTAATTAGTTATTTAAAGTTCAGTAAATTCGTTTGTAATTTATATTTTATTTTATGACCTTTTTCCTGAACAAACGTAGTATCACGGCATGCAAATTTAAAATAACGTCCTTCAGTACAGATTGTTCTCTATGTTGGCTTTATTGGATTACTCTGTGACTTTGGAAATTTTAACATTATCTTATCTATTGTAAGCTTTCGTACATTTAGTAATTATTGTTATTAGTAAATTATCGTTAATTCTATTATTTTCAATCTAATGTAACTGTGTCGTGTGATAATAATATTTATTACAGGTTAGTCATAATCTTTTTTTCATTATTTATAGCATAGTTTCGAACTAAGAATTTCTTGAAATAATGCATTTATCTGGGATTGTTTTCTATCTAATATTTTAATGTTCAATCCTCAATGAAATAATAATGGTATTATACTTGCTACTTGTTTTACTTATTTTATTGTGAAAAATTGTTCGAGCAAATAAAACCCCTCTTAATTTAAATCAATTATAATTAAACAATCTAAATTGTACAATAATAATAAGGTATAATTAAATAATTTGATGACGAGTATTACGGTCTAGGACAGCCGGGAGCCCAATGCCCTCTCGCCCCGCATCTGAAGCAAACCCCGTAGCCACCGTAATATGACCCTGGGACACCGGGGACACGTTCTCTGAATCGACGATTATAATGTCTTGTGGCGCCTGAAACAAGGATACGTTGACAGACTTTTGTTTATAATAAAACTATTTTTTTTTTGTTTAAAAATGTATTAACAACTTATCTAGTTTTAAAGCCAGCGACGAAATTTCCTATAATGCCTTAAAATTATTATTAACAAACCGTTACTAGTCTCGGCGTGCGTGGAATCTGCATCGCCGTCAGATCCACCGTCGGAATCACTTGAGGTGAAATGGTACCAAGGATCTGAGATGTCGCTAAAAATAACAACAAAATAACAGGTCAGTATCTATCAGCTACTTTTATCTAAAATAATCTTAGGCCTGTATGTACGTGTTTGTGGTTCTATTGTTTTATAAATAAGGGCCGTCTAAAGTATAGTAATCTAGTTACGCTCACACGTAATCGTAATCTGACCAGTTCTCCTCGTCCGTCTCTTCGCTTTCGAAGTCGTAGTTATATTCGCTTTCGGACGTGCTTCTTCTTCTGGAATAATAACATAATTGTAAAGAGTACGTTCCACTTACCGCGTTTCTATAAATACTAAATCTTCATGTATGCGGAAATGGATTTTTTTGTTCATTATCTGAGTATTAAAGCGTCCATATTTATTTAACTTAAGAGCTTACTTTGCGTGATCTAATTTAAAACAGGTAAACATTCAGTGATAGTAATTTTTTTAAATAATTATGACCCGGTAACGAGACCTTTAGCCAAGAAATGATAGTGAGGTATAAAATAATAATGTTCTAAAAACAGTCTGTGGCATCACAATATATCTTTTATTTTATCCAGTCTATATCGAAGCATACAGTCGATATATCAAGCCAAAAATTCAGATGTTTTTCAGAGATTTAATAGAAGTCATTAGCTTACGGTTTAAACAAAATGTTGAAATTAAAGCTTCTTCTGCACAAATAGGTAGCCTAGGTTTAATTTACTATTATTATTTATTTATTTTCTATCGGGGACACCTGTGGTTGGCCAGGTGATCAGTCCACGTTATCAGCCGACCATTTCACCCATTTCCTCCTTGCAGAGGTTCTGGGTTATTTACTATTACGCTACGACTCAGGTCTTATAGAGAGGCTTTTAGTAACTTTGTTTTGTAAGCAAGATAAAATCATAATCACAACTAAATATTACGTTTTATAACTTTTATTAAACAAATGATACTATCTATATGCCTTCATCGATAAATTAAATCGAAATCTGTCTTAGAATTAAGTATCATTTATGTACCTTTTCTTATTGTTAATAAAAACGAAATATAGCATACCGGCGCTTTGCTGGGCTGGGCCGTCGTTGTGGTTTATCATCAACTTCTGTGAATAAGACAGCTTCATAAAATAAACAACTAATAACATAACGCAAAGTAATTACAACTTTTACTATTATTATTTATTTAACTATGACATTTTCAACCCGAAAGTAATTTTGGTGCGTATATTCATGACAACAATAATATGATAAAAGTTCGTTACAAGTTTTAATGTAGTTAAAATAAGTTAACTAAAATAGTTCATGTTTTAAATCGTTAAAAGAGCTTTATTTAAATGCGTAATACTTAATTCAATGTATTTTTTAATCATTTGATGAAGATTTATTATTCTTTGCATTCCCTAATTAATTTATGTAAACTTATGAAGCCGCCTTGTCCACAAAAGAAAAGGATTTTTACGTCATTTAATAGTATGAAGAAAACCCACCTCTACTTTTTCTCATGTCTTCCCTTTTCTGCTTCATGTCTTCTGTAAGATTTTGCACCATTTTGTCAATGAATGAATCTAGAACAATACTCCTACATTCTGATGCAATAGGGGCTCTGCAATGTAAAATTAATTTCTTAATAAGATTTTCAAATTTCTCAATGACATTGATATAGCAATATATTATCGTAAATCTGACCTGCAAATAGGACAATCCTTTTTTTTCTTTTTCCACAAAGTAATACAATGTTTACAGAATGTATGAGAACAATTCAGGGTGGTTGCAAAAATGAATAACTCTGCACAAATGCTGCATTGGAGTTCACTCTCCATTATCTGCCCAACTTCTACCAACGTCTCTTGTTTTGATGGCCCAGCCACAAGTTTATCGGGCAGTGCAAAGTTTTCTAAAAGCTTTTCTTTCTCGGTTTGCACATTTTTTAATTGACCCTTAACCTGAAAAATAAAATAAAACATTTATGGCCAATATTCTACAACATTTCTTGATCTTCTGAGTCTTAACACAAAAAACATAACATTGTTTATGTAATTACAGATAGATAGTACTCAACTATAAAAGAGGTTTGTGAATAGCATACAGCATACTGAAATTATTATCAAACCTTTTCGAGTTGCTCTTGTAAAGAACTAATGACTTCACCAGATTGTTCAGATTGCTTTTGTATCCTGTCAGCTGCAAGAGTGGCTAATTCTACTTCTCGTGCTTGTACTCGTAACTAAAAACATAGCTTTTATTGTCCTAAAAATGCCTCTCCTTTTTTTTAAGTTTCCTAATTAATGTCATGTATATAATATATGTACCAATTACAAGATTAAGTGGTTTTTTTTACCTTTAATTCATCAACTGACTTCTTAGCTTCCTCTTCAGCGGTTAACAGTCTCTTTTGAATTTCTTCTCGTTCTTTAACCTAGAAATTTTGAATGTAAAAGAAATGTCAACATAATTCATTTTATTATTTTAGTTCTACTGTACCAGTTGATCCATTTTTGCTTTATCCTCATCTGATAGCTTTTTCATTTCTTGGACTTGGTTAGCTAGTTGTTCTTTAGCTTCACTTGTTTGCTTTTCTGTTAATTCAATTTGCCTCTCAAGTGTTTCCTTTATTTTATTTAGCTCCTCTGTCAGTTCTAGCTCACGTTGGTTCTTTTGTTGGGCGAGATCATTTATTTCCTAAAAAATATAAAGAATTAAGAAACATGTTAGTAATTAACAATGTTTTTAGTTCCATTACTGAGTTACTTATTTAAGGGTAAACAAGCAATTTTCAAAAAAACAAATGGTTGCTTATGCCATTTTTTGTACAAAAAGAACTTAACTACTTTGTTGGAAGTTATATATAATAGTTTAAGAACAACAGAACTTGCTTAGTAATAATATATAAATTTGCACCCTTAAAATCTACTGTAAGACATAAAACTAAAACGAACTAACCTAACCTAAGCCTGTGCATCTTTGTGTGTTTTATTAAAGAAAATCTAGTAGGCATAACAATTTGTCACCCTTATCATCATTGCTATAAAACTACAAAAGAAATGATTTAGATTGACTTACTTTTTCCTTTGCCAATCTTAATTGTTCTGCTTCATATTGCATAATTTTCTCCAAATCAGCTTTTTCCTTTAGTCTTATTTCTTCTTGTTCTCTGATTTTGTCTTGTAATTTATCAAGTAATTCTTGTTTAGAAGTACTTTCTCTATTAAGTTCCATAAGAAAATCCTCCCGCTCTTTAAGAAACCTCTCTTTAAGTAAATTATTTTCAATAACAAGCTCAGACTCAATTTTATTGTGTTCCCTAATTTGAACCTGAAAAAAAAAGATATAAAAATGTTCTATGGCAATAATGCAATAACACAAAAAAGAAATCCCCATACCATAAGCTCTTCAATTCTTTTTTCCATTTCTTTCTTTAGTACTGCTATTTGTGCATCCCGTCTTTGAATGAGTAAGCTTTTTTGCTGGGCTATATCTTTGTTCTCTCCTATCAAGTTGTCTATTTGTGATGCAAAATCTATTTCAAGTTGTTCCACTTTCCTATTCATTTGTTGGTGTATTTGATCTTTTAATAACTTGTTTGTTTCTTTTAATTGCTTTTGTTTCTGTATTTTATCTTCTATATGTTTTATTTCATAGTTATGAGACTCTTCAAACCTTGTTTTTGCATCATTTATTAAATTTATATCCTCCAACTGCATGTCTAATTTAATCTTTTTTTGTGAAATAGGACAATCATCTTTCTGTATAAACTTAAAAACAAATTCTTGTTCTAAATCTAATTTTATAATATCATTGTGGCATAATTTAAACGTTTTTCCTTTTCCAACTTTAACTCCATTTACTTCAACACTACATGAACTGTAATCTTCTATTAACCAAGAAGTATTTTCTTTTCGTATCTTACAATGCTTTCTTGATATTATTAAAGACGGTATAACAACTGAATTTTGCAATGATCTGCCTAAAGAGAACTGAAAAAATGAAATAAATTACATATATAACACTACTATTACTACTACTTATTGCGTGCTTATTTAATGTGATTTTGTGTAAAAAGAAAAATGTACTTACATTTTCAGAATTTATATTAATTTTCTTAAATTTACTATATTCATCTTTTAACGGCTTACAAGAAACTAAAACGGGAAAACTTTGCATTGTAGTTGTTGTGAAGTTTTGATAGGAACGATAAATTGTTTACATATTATGCGATGAAATAGTTTGGCTATTAAAATATCATACAGGTAAAGAGTAAAAGTTTCAAATTTCAAAATGTGTTTAGACACATTTCATGCGGAATGACACCACGCAGATTCTTAGCCACACGATAAACATAAGTTTTAGTTATTTTGAAGTTCAAATTTCAAAGCATTTGATAAAACTTACTCAAATACTACATGAAAGTATTAGCAATATTAAAACCACAGACATTGTAACCACAGATCTGTCTGAAATATTTATTAAGCCACAGGTTAAAATATTCCTTAACTATAAAGTCTATGGTGTCAAGTAACGAACCTCTACGACCATTAATATAGTACGTAATATTCTTTGATAACTATTACACTCCAAGAAGATATTACACATTATTTGTAATAATTTTAAAAATTATGGGTTACACCTGGTCGCGTTAGCCAGTTAAGGAAAAAGCTTGAACAGTAGGTACCTATTAACATTCTGCATTTCATATTTTGGTATGCTGTAATTTTGCACAAATAGCTCCTCTAATCCTTTTATTAATAGTGTCTGTGCCCTCCTTACTTTTTTATCCCCCTGCCACCAGTTTTGTTATTTGCTTAAAAACAAAATATAATGCGTTATACAAATGCATTAAAAATACAGTAAGATCAGTATAAAGAGGAAATTGTGAAATATAAAAACTAATAAGTGAAAATTATTAATAAGAGAAAAAATAAATATAATCAAGTTTTTTTTGCATTTAGTCAATCATTTTAATAACAGTATACACTACGATTATCTTAAAAAAGTATATGAAGAGTCTTTATAATCATGTAAAACATTACACTTATAGGTACTACATAGGTATTGATACAATTCAAATTTTGTAACGGAAAACTTTACCCAATCCACGCACATTGACAAATTACAAACATACTGTGAAGAATCCTTTTTGTTGTTTAAGGCTTGTTGAATAACAGTCTAGCTTTGTAAAAGAAAATTTGCTGAGAGTGAAAGCACAGGAGCAGCAAGAGGTTCGGATAAAACGAATAGATAGAGGTCTTTAATATAAACGAAGCAGACTTTAGTACTCTCAAAAATGCAAACATGGCGTTTGGTTACATGCTGAATTATTAAACGACAGGGTTTGCGGCTTTTCAGGCGAGCGTAGAATTTTAAAGTTTCCGCTCGTTACTTTTATGATCTTTCCGTCAAATTTTCTTGATCGATAGAAGTAATTCCTTCTCGTCAATATTGTAATTAAATCAACAATAATAATAATAATCAAGAAAAAACCTTAAATAAAATAACCGTGTTTACAATCTTGACATTGGAAGCTTTAACAGTAACATATAAACACTTTAACGGTTTAAAACGCGATATATTAGTTAAACTTATTTGAAAATGATTTTTACTTCGGCCCGACGTTTCGGATGCTTTGCAGCAGCCGTGGTCACGGGGAGACTGTTTAACTAATTATCTTTTAAACTAAAGTGTTTTATTTAATTGTATAATTAAAGTTTTAACTTATATTACTTATCTAGAATTATCACTTTCACAATTTGTAAGCATTGCCATTGGATATGACTTTTATATTAATGGCAAAAGCACAATGGACGAGGACAGTCGAGGTCCTTAATCTATTACACGAGAAATCAGATATTTTTTACAGTCCTTGGGGTGAACTCGCAAATACATTAATGTTCATTTTGAGTTATGAAAAATAGTATGGTTTAAGTTCATATATTTTGGTTCATATTGTTTAGTTTTTTAAGATCTCTGTCGCATTGGATTAAATCTGGTATGACTGTGCATATATTATGTAAACATACATAAATATGTATGTGAAAGAAATTTCATTTTGAGTATCATTGTGATTTTATAATTTTTAATAGAGGTTACTAGGTATATAGTTAAATAACCCATCAACAGTAAAGGATAGATTGCTATCGCAGATTACAGTAAGTATCTTGGTTATTCAAAACAAATAATAATCAATCACTTATTTTCATTACAATACTGAATTATTTTTGGTTGATTTGTTTTAGTAGGTTTTATGAAAGTGTTTGTGTATAATGGTTTAAAAGTATTTTGAAGAAGAACTATGATAGTAATTGTATGTATATTTATAATAGTACTATCGGCCCTGTCCCGGCTTCTCACGTGTAGAGATAAATAAGTACAGATATTAAAATTATAAGCATGCTAATTATAACGACCATGAATCACTAAATTAGAAAAAAAAAATGTATTTCGCGTGCACGCGTTCGCGAATTTCTAGCTCTATTTCCTTCAAGTCGCTGAGACGAACTTGCATTTTGTTCTGCAAAACGAACCTGAACATTCGACGATAGATTCCCTGGCTTGCGATTGGGACGTATACTATAATACTTTTCACATGATCATTTTAGGAAGAAGACTCTCCAATACGACAAACTTTGCTAATCTCGCTTGGGAACTATTCTTAGATAGATCTGCGACCTTCTTCTTCTAGGCATATTGCTATGAAGGATATTTATTTTAAATCAGAGAAATTAAGAATAAACTAATAATAATACAAAAGAAAATATTCAAGTTCAAAGCGATAGTTCTGAAAAGAACTTTGACAAATATTATGCAAAGTGTGATTCCTAATAGTAAAAATGTTAAAAAAAAACTCGAAATATTCAATTGTCGTTCGCGCCCACTGCGTAAGGAGCCCACTCACTGCCTCTCTATCGTCGAATTAGTTACTCGATGCGCGGCGTGGCGGCCGCCGCTGGCATGTACTTTTTTTATTATTTTAATATTATCTTTTGAATGGAATGTCCGATTTTAATAATTAAAAAAGTAATCGTCAGGTATTGAGACAGCCTTGAATATTTAATAAATTTAAAATATTTATTTGCATAAAAATTTATAAATGGTACGGATAACACGGTTTGATTTTGATCGGCATTTCTATCAATTTGTTAAATGTAAAAAAGTAGTTTTAGCGACGTAACTACAATAGTTAGACATATGCTCTCGTGATGTTTTTGTAGATATTGATAATTCTATAATATTGTCGAACATTTTTTTGTCCTATCATTAATACTTTTCGCAGCGTATGCGAAGAAAGACATTTTACGGCTAATTTTTATACGCCTTGCGTTGGTTTTAGTAAGAATTTCTATAGATGTCTATAGTAATCAAGTATTAAATATAGCCTATGTTACTCAGTGATAATGTAGCTCTTTAATGAATAATTACTAAAATCGGTCCAGTACTTTTTGAATTTACCCGTTACTTACAAAAATACAAATCTTTCCTCTTTATAATATTAGTGTAGATATAGATTACGATATACGATAGATATATGTACTCAATTGGTGGTATGAAAAAATTAATAAAATGACATAGATACACTAAAAATATATGTGCATGATGTAAAAAAAAACCAAATGAATCGTGTCGCCGCAAGGCGCATCGCGGAACGGCTTCGCTAAGGTCCTCAATATATCAACGTAGACAGGACGAAAATTGGACTGGACCCTTGTTAATGTCCCGCACTTAGGCCCTTCCACCCTTGTTTGTGATTATTTATTTAAGACCTATTGATACGCGTCTGTTTAGTTTATACAAATTGGGATTACTTCTTACTTATGGCTTGACTAAACTATCCCATAACTAAACTAACATTTCCGTAAACTTTACTTAGACTTGGCCATTTTAATAGAATTCTATTAAATACTGTCTGTAGTTTTCGCGAGTAGTACACATTTAAATAAAACACTAACGGTTTAAAACTCGATATATTTTAGTTAAACTTGTTTGTCTCCTCGTGACCACGACTGCTGCAAAGCAATGAAACGTCGGGCCGTAGTAAAAAGTATTTTTCAAACAAGTTTAACTTAAATGTATCGCGTTTTAAACCGTTAAAGTGTTTTATTTAAGAAAGAATTCAATTATTTAAAAATTTGTAGGAAAAATTGGGGTGAATAACTTAAGTAAATCCATTGTCATAAATACATAATTACGTTAGATTAGCAATAAACTTATACATTAGTTAGTTTTGTCTACATATGATACTTGCTGACCTGGCAAACGTTATTTTGCCATATGAAGTATTTTAACCGAAGATCCTTGTGCTTTAAACTTGAAAGACAAGTATTGTCGCGGACATAATTTTAGATTATATAAATAGCATTAATGCTTTTATGCATAATTCTTGGGTACACGGTTTCGCAACGCGCGCAACGGAAAGTCTCAAAGATGATTAATTTCCCCCGATTCTTCCACATATCCCCTCTGTTCCTTTGCTACTATTGATCACAGCGTGATGTTTTATAGCCTAAAGTTTTCCTCGATGCTCCAACCACCACAATATTTTTTTAAATTCGAACTAGTACTTCATGTGATCAGCGCCAACAAACTCTTCAGTTTCATAATATTCGCATTGATGCCACTGAATAAAGTGTTCGTTAATATCTAGAAATAGATAATGAAACTGTGTAGTGTACTAGAAATAAACGATACACATATAAATATTTCTAAAATGTAATTATCAATATTTTTAGGCAATTTAAAAATAGAGTTCAGACAAGGTAACAATTTTGTAGGGCTGTTTTGACACTTCCCCAATTTTGTGAAATATACATCCTGTCATGTATGTCCCTGCTTTAAATTCTGATGCGTGACTTCGCATTATTTTGTTAGACACTATGAAATTTTAATACAAAGTTTTCAGGACGTAGCGTCTCATTTCGCTCTATATTTTAAATCAAGAGGCCTACGTACATTTTGAATATATTATTTTAAATTGAAGAAAAAAATATCAGTAATGAAGTACAAGTAGTTTAGGTTTTAGCTTCTCCAAAAAACAATTGAAAACTATGATATTATTACGTTTTGTTATTTGGTCACTAGTACTAAGTACTTCATATCTTTGAATAGAAGTTATTTGATTGTTGGGGGTAGAGCACGACTGAAAAACTCCAAAAAGTAACGAATTGTGGAAG